TACGAACCGATTTTTTACAATTTCATATTCTATGTAAGTCTTTAACACACTCTACCTGAGTGTACCAAAGAGATTAAGGAGTTTACGCTTGGTTTACGAGACGAAGCGATTTCTGATACGCGTAAGGCGTCGCGACCCCGTATGCTTAATTTCCCTAACGACGATTTAAGTCGTTCCTCGAGAGCCCCGTTAAAGTCCCCCTATTTGCCTCGCGCGTCTAATGATCCGCTGTTCAAACAGCCGCATCAAGCTGCTTAATTCGAATGACTTTGCCGCTATTTGATCGCGTATCCGAAACTAAACCGTGCAGCCAAGAGCCTCGTGCGACAAGCATACTCGAAATCGTCCAATTCAATTCGAAATGCACGTGCACGCGTATCAAACATTCCGGCTTATTGGTCCTCCTAATTATTATTTGTCCGTGTCGCGTCCATTAATTGGACCGTTAATAGTATCCTATATAATAGCCCGGATCCGATGATCGTAATCAAACGACCGGACGAAGCTCGTAGTCGGATCTTCGAGGATTCAAATTACATTCCATTCCGAGCAACGCGTGGCAAAGAGTCCTCGTTACTCGAAGGAATTCGGCCTGAAAATCCAATCACGTTTCGATACGGTCCGCGTGGGACAGAGCTGTTAGAAACAAACCGGTAAACAGGTAAACTAGGCATCGAAAATATTCTACGCGATCGATGCTGCGAACTGGATCGTTCGGAATGGAATTTAAATATCTTTAAACGTGATCTTGCGTTTCTTTTGTTAATCGAGAAAAATTATTCCTGAACATTTTATTGTTCGCGTAACATCCGCAGGAATTGCTCAACGTCCAGGTCATTAAGATCGTTCGGCTGATTTGTCGAGTACTCTCTTATTATCAGTTAGAAGTAAGGAACCGTTAAGAAAACGTATCCTGGTCCTTCGAAATTTTTAGTTAAATCGGTCGACTCGACGTCACCGTTATTATCGTTATTACCGTCGTCGTCGTTAAGGGTTATCGTAGTCGTCCACAGTGCCGATCGAAGGATTCCATATTCCGTTTTTAGAACAAGTGGAAAAAGCATCGTTGGAGTCGACGTACCGGAAAGATAATTTACGCGCAAGTTTGGCGACCTTAATCGCCGGGAATATTTAGAGAGCGAGTTTCGATCGTTGTAAAGTTCCCGAATTATCGCTCGACAAGTAGCAACGCAGGAGATGGGAATACGGCTGCTCGTTTGGTTACCTAATTCCGTTCGAAGTTGAATTCGACCCTCGCACCACGTTCAAAGTGCATTCAGCCACCATGCGGTGCGGTTCGTGGCAAACGGTCGGGAGATCCATCTCTGATTCAGGTCAGATTTGTTGGAGTAACAATATGCGAACGCGCACCCTACCACGCGCCCAGTTCTATTCACTCGTTCCGTCATGCATCAAAATACCTTTGTGTCGTCGCGTTTCTACGGGCCCCGTGAATTTGCCCCGTCGAATTGCCGCGAAATTTTCGTTATCGAACTCGATAATTGCTAACGGTTATCGGACAAAAACTCCACTTGCCCAGAAACACTACATGTATAGAAAGTTGTGTTTTGATGTTTATTCGTAAGATATCCTTCTCTTTTATGCCATGGAAGTGCTGAAACTACTTTGGGTATGTAGCGTCAAAGTAAATGTGAAAATAAACATAGAAGACAGCATAAATTATAGTAGGTAGTGTAGTCATAGGATAGAGGATTAAATGCCCTTTAAAATGAGCGTTTGTACGAGTCGATAGCTTTATTAGTTCCGGAGATATAGCGATTTTAATTTCAAGTCGATGCGGTGGCTAGTTTCGGAGATACGAGGGTCCGAGCGTTTATTTACGTTTCATTGATGCGAGATGAATGACCGCGCGCGCGTAAGTAGTAGCGCGTAGTAAATTCTTGGAAATACTACGCGGAAGTAGGTCACGACAGTCACGTTCGTAGGGTAGGTCAGCACGACGCACGAGCGAGCGAGAGGTCCGACGCGCTAGACGAAGACAGCGATAGTCGAATTAAGAAAAATTACCTTTTACATAAATTACGATATCTCGAAAACGAAAAGTCGGATCGACAAAAACCAAAAGCCATTTTAAAGAGGAAGGTTTGCCGCCGCTAACAATACCTCGATAATTAATAAAACACTAGCAGTTTCGGAACTGCACGCGTCCAAAGTTTTAGTATTTTTAATACGCATTTATAGACGTTTCTAAGGCGGCAAGAGCGTGGGTAGTGGAATTTAAAAAATACCTCTTCACATAAATTACGATATTTCGAAAACGGAAAGTCGGATCGACAAAAACCAAAAACCATTTGAAAGAGAAAGGTTCACCGCATCTAACAATACCTCAATAATGGAGAAAACACTAGTAGCTTCGGAACTGCACGCTTCTAAAGTTTAACTATTTTAATACGCGAGTTAAAATTATTTCTCGCGTAGTTTAAAGCTTTCACGAGAATGAAAACTGAAATTTTGAAGGAAACCAAAATTATTATAAGGTGTAAAGAAGCCCACCGACCTGGATTACATTTCCTCGCGTAAGGAGATATGCACATACGGGCAGGTTAGGCGAACACATAAACGACGTTGCGGCATCGTAAAGCAAGTGCACTGTACATTGAAAGTAATTGGTTAAAGGAGTGTGAAAATAGTAAAGCGTGGTAGGGAGATGATAACAAAAAGAAAATAAGGAAAGCAGAAGACTTATCGTTCATCGTAAAGCTGGAAGTAAGAAGAAGTTTACTTGTACATAGAGAGTTTCGACTCGTAAAAATAACAATAAGTTTCGAGGTTTCTAGCGTCCAAGGAGTGAAACTGAAGTTGTACTTATCCATTTTTAGACTTGTGCTTAATATTAATCCTTTAGAAAATATATATTGCACGATTCTTGCGATACAAACGATAGCGAGCTTCCCACTTTCCTATTTTCTATTTCGATATCACCTTCTTTTCATGCTTTACTACTTTCACGCTCCTTTAAACAATTCCCTTAAATTTTCAGAACATTTGTTTTACTAGCGGAACCTTCCATGTTCGTTCAACCTGTATACACATACATATCCTCCCAGGAGGAAATATAATCCAGCTCGGTGAGCTTCCCTTCGCATCAAATATTTTCTTCCCGCTGGAAATTTTCTTTTAAAGCCCCGCTGAAACTTGTTTTCCCTCATTGTAATTAACCATCAACCACGAGAGCTCGTCGTCTCGAAAACAAATCCTCTTAGACTAGAATGGCATGGATGCTCTATTCTATATCGCGAAGTTTCTCGCGGTGGGGCAATTACGTATCTACCAAAAACACACGAAGTGCATTAAAGCTTCGATTAGGGGGAAAGTAGCGAGTCGCCACGCGTCTACGAGCCTCGGAAAATCGTTTTCTCGTCGCGAACTATGCGCGCAGTCTTCGCTCGGCACTCCGGGCGAAATTCCGAGTGCACGTGAACGAGGCACACAACGAAACGTTTAAAGTTCCCGCGTTCCTGCGACGCGGAGACGGAACTTTTGCGCGTCCGTAGACGCAGTTGCGAGTTCTCCCAAGTAATTGCGTGGAGCGTGTAATCGCGACGCTATCAGGAAATGCAACTTCGCGCCGTCGCGTCCCGCTCAATTAGCGCTTTGCCGACGAAGACCCAGCCAGGACCTTACTCCTGTTATCCTCGCGTCGTCCTTCCAGCGCGCAATTATTCAAATTGTTTCAGCCTGTATTACGCGCCGCTTGCGACCTACCTCGACGAGTTAATTCGCGCGTCAACCCTTAGGTTACGCCAAGACGCGTGCACGAAATCATCCGACGATAAAATCAGGAATAAACGAATATATTTACTGGAACGAAACGAATGGCTGCTCTCCGTTCGAATGGATCCACAGGTACCGGATTGCCTGAATTTTAACTTCGCGGAGCTGTTCTTGGGAATGTTTGCTGGACAAAGTAGGAAGTTTCTTTATGAAGATGGGCTCTCGTGGTCCGAGACGCGCAATTACGATCGTTTCGACGGTTAATCCGCCTGTTAGCGGAGCCTACTTTTCGTTCCTTGGGTTCGAAAGTTTCTCGTTTGCTCGGTAGTTACCGGCGCCAGATAGTTTAATTAAAGCTTAGCCCCGGGGACACGGCTGGGGCTGTCAAGTTCGAACGTATCACCGGGACCCGGTAGCGTTAAATTGCACGAGATAATGCAACGGATTGTTCCTTAAGCGGTGTCTTGGACGAGGACTCGGTAGCATTGATTGTAACCGGAGATCAGATAGCTGCGTTATGCACAGCTACGACCGACTGAATTAACACGGAATAAGGGAACTGAGACCGGGGACGCCAGAGAGCCGGGTAACTAAAGCCTAGCAAGTTAGACGTCGGCTAATGCCGTTCCAAGTCGCAAACTTTCCTACACCCCCTTGCTTCCGTCCTTCTCGCGACCGTTCGTCTTTCGTCGCCTCGTCTTTCTCGCGCGTTTGATAACGTTCTCGAGGCCCGCGTTACGCTCCCAAATGAAATTATTTTATACCCGTAAGTGTAAAAGCCAGCCTCCCGACCCCCCGCCGGTTGACGAACTCCACGCGTGGCATCGACTTCCCGCTCCTTCGCATGGGATTATTATAAGCACCGAGAACTGGTTCAAAGTATTTTCGATATTAAATAAATTACCCCCGGTGCCTGCAGACTTTGCCAACTTCGTTAACGTTTTCGAATTTAACGCGCTATGCAATCAAGCCCACGCGATATGCTCCCAAGTTACAGAACCAAAGTGCTTTCTCGAAGGAAATTCTTAATCCGAAATATACAGGATGTTCGGCCACCCCTTGGGAAAAATTTTAATGGGAGATTCCGGAGGCCAACGTAAGACAAACATCGAGGATACTAATTTGTTGATTGAGGCTTCGTTAAAAAGTTATGAAAGCTAAGTTTGTTAAAAGAACTCGATCAGAAAATACTTTAAGAACGAGGGTGGTGAAGTTTGGCAGGGATCGAGCGGATAAATCATGGACGTTTTGTTCGTTTGCTTCAGGCACAACGATCTCCCGTGGAACATACGCAAGTTTCTGAAGAATCAGCTGAGGGAATTCAGGTTTGATGACCTAAGGGACACCCACCCTTGGTCGCGTAGCGCCTGGAGCCACACGGATCTCAGAAGATTGAAGGAGGGCATGGTTGCAGCGCAGGTGAGCCCGATAATAACCGCAATAACGCGAACCGCTCGGCGAAAAACATTAATCCGGGGCAAAACGAGGCCGGGGCCATTTCGCGAATCATAGAGGGTCGTGATATATATTCGCCACGATGGGCCAGACAGCGTCGAGTATACTCGCCGCCCGTAATTCCGACGCTCCTGGCCGCGCCCGTTCAGCTGCAAATTTTCTCGCGGAAAACTATTCGCGAAGAAAGGAGTCGATGTTCCATTTGAAACACTTTTCCCCCGGAGTCGTCCATTTCCCCGCGGGCGATTTACGGCGCGGCGAGAATTACGAGCCACCCTTTCGTCTCTTTCCGGGAATCGATGGAATCCCGGGGATGGCACAAGATCGAACCCCTGTGCGACGAAACTTCGCTCTCCACTTTCACGGGTACAACTCTGTTTTCGTTCGCTGCGAATAACGACGAGTAAATAAGCGAATATACGAAGGTTCGAACTTTGTTTGCCGCGAGCAATCTTTTTGGCGTCAGAAACAGTGACTGCGCGGATTCTGTCTCGGGAACGGTAATCGAGAAAAATCTGGGTATTTACGATATGAAACGCACCGTGTTATTTGTTGTAAAAGGTGGTTTAGATAATTGTTCGGGCCATCGATCGTCCTACGACGTTCAAAAAGTCCAATTACGTTGCCTCGAGAGCAATTTTCAATTTGGGTAACTGAAATAAATGATAGAAAGTAGAAACAAATTCTGTTTGTCGCGAAGAATTACCAAACGAATCTTCCCAGCGTTAATTTGAACGGGAATCGATAATTAGGCGGCTCGAGCACGCGATTCTCGTGTCTGGAAGACGAGAATGCAGATGGGAGAGTCGCGTGTCGTCTTTCCTAGCGGGTGGAATCGGACGGGAAAAATTGCTTCCAGAGACGGGACGGAAACTCCTTCGAATTCGAACAGAAACGAACCCGTAAACGCGAAAATCGCGTGTCACCGCGAATTCTTTGCCCAACGCGATGTTTCAATTACTCCGCGGCGTCGTGTCCGTACTCGGAGGCCGTAAACGCCACAATTAATTAACATCACGGCGTGAAACGCTTTTCGACGTTCGTTTCCCGCCGCGTTGATTGATCCGGATCACGCGATCGCGGGGGGGAAAGAATCGGCCGCGGGATCGGATCGATCGACGGGATCGTCGCCGTGCAAACCGAAGCGACGAGATCGCCGGGAACTTTGGTAATTAATTTCCCGCGGTACCCCGAGATTACGCGCTGACGAAAATTTACCGCGGGGTCGTTCACCCCGCCGGTAGCCCACGGATTAATCTCGGACCTCCATTACGAACTATCCTTTCGTGCAACTTCTGCGGACCGGAGAAAAACTAGCACGGGACTCTCTCTCTCTCTCTCTCGATGTTTCTGATCGGCCGCAGCCTCTGGTCAGCTTTCAACGGGGCAAGAAAGAACGCTCGACGAGGGAATGAAAAGGTTGCACCCGAAAAGTTCACGTACCCGCCGGGACGAATGTACACTCGAGCAGGAGAACGAATGGCCGCCGTTCCGGCTTGCCGATCAAATAAATCTTTTCTTCGGTAGCTTTGCACTCGAGCCACTCGAACGGCCCCCGATCGGGACTTTTCGTGTTTCGGGAGAATGTTGGTATAACGGGGATCGAACGAGACGCGACCCGTCGATGCGAAACCGTTCCCTGAAAATAGAAAATCGGCTTTCCTTTTTCGTCGAGCTCCTCTTTGTGTCTGCCCTTTCAACGACGTAGCGCGCCAAGCGATTCGATCGAGATTGCGATCGTATTGTCGATCGTATTGCCGTCACGGTGGTCTTTGAGGAAAAAATAAAATTTTCCCCAATTCCTCGTTATTAATTCGACGAGTTCGCGTATTCTAATCGAGCTATCTCGAGACCTCAAACTTAGCGCGAGGTATTAGTATTGATAACGCGATGTTAGGAGAACGATTTATGGTACGCAACATTACCAAAGTTCATACGTTCGTATTGCATTCCGAGCGTATGTCCTTGTAGTTTAGCTTAGAATTCGACGCTACATTCGCGAGTAGATACGAGGATTCTAACCCAAGAGTTCCAAGATGAAGACCGTGGAAGGAGAAACTTGGAGGACTCGGAGGACGAGGTCACGTAGGGGGTGGCTACCAAACCGAAAGTTTAGACGCGACAAGAACATACCTAACCGAAATTCTAGCTGCGACAAACATTTCTATCTCGGTTTCTTATCGAGTTGTTCGGCTTTCGAACCCCGCTGCGACGTAAAATCGGGTCAAATATTTCTCCGAATTATACCTTTTCGTAGAGCCAACAATTTGCTCGCCCTTTCGTTTCAATATGACTCGTGACCCTCCATATCGGGGATCCTGGCCAGGTTCTCTCGATCTCGAGCGTCGCGGGAGATTTAAAACCGAGCGCAGGGAACAAAGTAACGGTTCGATAAGCGATCTTTATTTGCGAAGCAATTGTCCGAGGCGTACTTTAATCGGGAGGACCACGACCGAGCTCATTATCGAGATTAACATTTCCCGCGATCACGAATTCGCCCTTATCTTCCGCTTTCCGGATCGAGGGGACGCGCGGTGCACGTCGGAGCGGATATCGATTTTCGATTTAAGCGAGAAACAAGAGCGCCTTCCGTCGCTGTACGGGATAAGTTTCGCGAAGTTCGCGGATTACTTGGAAAATGATTTTCGCCTCGTAAGTCCTACAATGGAAACGTCTTTCCGTTTCCAGCGCGCTGACATCCTTTTACCCGACGCCGCGCGAAAGATACGCTTTATCTCGCCCCTCAAACCCACGGAATTGGGCAAACCCTCAAACGAGAAACAAACATTTTTCGACGTCGATTTTAAAACACCATCGACGCTTGAAATATTCAAAAAATCCCTCGCTTTCGAACCATCGATCTACCGACGATATTTCTTTATTTTCGTCAATTTTCGGGGGTGTTTCGTGGTCGGAAACGCGGTTTCCGGACGCGGAGGGAAATCGTGTTTGGTCCACGCGAGCAGCGCGTGTCGCGGCCACGTTCTAATGAAACTTGCTACCTGTGAAATTGCTTCCGCGATGAAATTCGCGGGCACCGGTGTCCGCGGCGACTCCGCGATCCGTACAACGCGCATATAATATACATAAACCGCGACACGGTCGGGAACAGACCGGTCTAGACGAAAGTATTTTTGACACGGAACTCGGAGGGTCGATGGCCGACCGAGGCAACTCCTTGGAACGCGCATGAATGCCGAATTTGACGAAGCGCGGCTCTGTGCAACCCCTATTTCATTCGGACTTGGCTCGCGCTGAATAACCGATGCGACTCGATGAAACGGCATTAGTTGTATCGGTCCATAGACGTCCCACGAACCGGAGACGCGAATACGCGTTACGATGCAATATTGACTCTTTAGCACCCGGATGACGCGCTGATACGTCTTTTCACTAGCAAAAGCTGGAAGCCGTTCGCGTCTTTTCAGCGCCGTGAACAGAAATTTAGTCGCCGGAGCGCGACTTTGGAAATCAACTCGAGTACCTCGCTATATTCCTCCCTCGAGGAAACTTTATCGGAGAAAATTGCGAAGAAGGTCTTTGCTACATAATTATTTCGATAGGAAATTGAAGTTAACGAAATGAGTGAAGCAAAAATATGAATCAGTTTGCGATATCGCAAGCGACAGTCTCTGGTGTTAAAATTTGCAGCAAGTTTCTTTCGTAACGTTCTTCCGGACAGTGTTCGGACGTCCGATCGTCCCAAGCCGGTCTGGTTTCCGTTTTATCCGAGTGGATTTAGCTTTAAGACGTCAGAAATGGAATTCCATCCGACGGGGTAACATCTGTTTCCTCCCCGAGCGTCTGGAAAGAGCGCGATATACGGTGAAATCCACGAAGAGCCCCGGCCCGGGGAAACACAATTTAAAACAACCCCCGCAGACCTTTGGAAATATCCGGGGCTACGGAGTTGCTCCTTAGCAAAACAGTCGCCCGGCTGATCCCATCCATTAGAAGCTCGTCTAGACGCGATTATGGCACACGTGAACGCGTGGTACGGCGCATGATAAAGAGGAGCGAACGGTTAGTCCGAAAAGTCAGCCTCGCGGGGCGAACGTTGAAGTAAGGTTCACTCCATTACTTACCCTTCCTAAACCCACCCCCCGGTTTGCCCGTTTTAATGCCAAGGTGTCGCCGTGGTTAAGGGGGACAAAATTCAAATAAGCTTCTTACGGAGCCGCACATGCGCGCGCACGTACTAACCGGCACAGAGGCCAATTTAATTAATACCGTAATTAAAAGGGAATACTAATTACGCGAACAGCGCCGAGCCACCGTAGTTACGACTTCGCCGACGATAGCCGCAAGATACGCTCCAACTTATCTCGAATAAGTACGAGCATCTTGATCATTCTTTACTAATAAACACATCGAACGTCGTCTCGATGGATCTCAAGAATCGAATCAACGTCTTTTTAACTCGCGATATATTGCTTGGTGAGATTGTGAATCGTTTGGAGAAGAGAGGACATCAATTTTTGGTGTGCTCTAGCGCGTTGGTCGAGTCCTGTGTGCCACTCCTGGCTTAGATAGAGACGAAAGGGGTGACTGGCCGGTTACGTCCACCGAGACGACATCGTATACACAAGTGTATGCATAATATAGAGACAGCGAGTGTGTACAGGAACCGGCAAACTGCTCCCAACTCTATCCATCACTGTCCTGGTTAATTCAGACGGGGGAAGGCATCCGTCGCGAAAAGGTTACCGAGCATTGATCGCGATGTCACTCCCCATGGACTCGAAACAGCCTATCTCCATCCCGATACCGAAGAAAATTACATTTTCGTTGCAACTAGTGTCAGATAGAGTGCCTGGAAGAGATCGAGCCACACCATCGATCAAAACAGCGAGTCCCTTATTCTTTTGCAAACGTTGCACGATCATAGAAGACGTTAAAGGACACCCGACATTTCTAACTCGAATTATTTTCCACGATTGACTTTTCGACCATGTGAAATTAATTTCGAAGTTTTGGGACCGATCACTTTGCGCGGCGGGTAAATTTGCGGACGGACTTGACAAAAATTCACCAGGGAACGAGCGCATCGGAGCAAAATGCAGGCGCAGTTGCATCGAAAGTTCGGAACACTCAGCGAGCATTTTCGATTGTAACTGGAGGGCGGATCCTACCCCCCGAGCAATCGGTCGCGGTTTCTAGCGACTGCGTCCCAAAAGTGAATTCCGAGCGATTCGAAATAACTCGAGTGTGTACACTATTCAAAACGCTCGGTCCTCGGGGGAATTGGGTATCTTTCGCGATAAAAGCGTGGCGCGGAGAATACGTTTACCGAACGAACGGGCAGACATCCGAGCAAGCCGTCGTTTATGGAATTTCTTCTGGAACAGTTTGCGCACGAAATAGGGTGATAAAGTAAATAACGCGCTGCGGCGTCGAACAGCATTTTAAAACTCGACGTTCGATGACGGAATCCGAAAAATCCCAAAAATTGCCCTCGAGGGCCGACCAGCGTCGTTCGGAGTAACAAGAAACGTAACCGAATTTAAAGAAAATTGGTCGTTTAGATCCATTACGATTTCAAATCGTCTCGAGGACCTTTGCGGAGCAAGGGTGGCTTCTAATTTCGTAAGATCGCCGCCGGTGTGAGCAACTCGTCTATAAAGTGGGACGACACGACGCGATTGCTCCGTAGGCGGGTCGGTGAATATTTTTACAAACGTCTGACCTAAAACCAGACCGTGACTGCTGCTCGATTTTGCGCAAAGCGACGGGAAGAAGAGAACGCTCCGCGGAAGAGGGAACGACGTCCCCACACGTTGACGCGTTTTCACAAAACGTCTGACCTAAAACTCCAGGTGAGCTAGATTCTAACGAGACGCGCGAGACGTCTAAAAAAAGCTTCTATAAACAGTCCGCTATTTGCGCATCGTCCCCTAATTCACTGTCGCTGGAAAAGACGGCGCGAACCTCCGCCATGCTTCCCGACACGCAACGTTTCGGCGCATTTAACTCTTTGCGGCACGATGGCTGCCTCAACTGACCACATAAAAAACTTGAGTCGCAGGACTTTTTCATCGAGGAACTAGGAAATATTTGTTTGGGGTGTTAAGGGAGGAACCCTCAGTATTTCCCCTAGCTCGTGCAAGCTACACGAATATGGTGAAAAATTATTCGTATCGTAGGGGTGGAATTTATGAGGACTCTCTCCTGAAATCTTGAGATTCCTCGACTTCCGTTCAACCGTTGACAAGGAGTTAATTCGTGTCGCGAGTAAAGCCTGTTGGTAATTTATCAGCGAAATAAGGGAACGATTGCGTAAACGGGAAATGCGAAAAGTCCCCGAGGAGCTGTCGGTTACAGAGCAGAACGTTACGCGTCGGGTCCAAAGCGGGAAGCTGCGGGACCGCGGATTTAATTATCGTCGTGTCGCAATTAGCCCTCGGCAAAAGGCACGGCATTCAGGTATTTTAAGCCGCGGCGACGTAAAAGCAAATCGTGCCGGCAAAGATTCCGGTCGGGAAGGCAACCGGGGGGTCGCGACAACCACGATCGAGGCGACGCGGAAGGAAGCGAAGTTGTCGCGAATGAAACGACCCGGCTGACACGAGGGGTGTGGAGGAAATTTTAGCGCCGCCGGCTGATTTACGACAGCTCGATTTATGTCACGCTCCGGACGTACGTTTCGTCCAACGCCGTTACGCTAAAAACTTTGCCAACTCGTGTATAGGTCGCTTCGAACGAAACGCGGCTGTCTGAAAAATAAAATCCTTCTCGCTGACTGTCGGAAATCCGCGCGACGTTTAACCGTGCATCGCTTTGAGCATCTTAACGCTCCGTGTTACGCGTAATTCTTACCCGTTTCGATGTTAAAGAATCGATTAATCGATCTTTGAAGAAACACAGTACACAAAATATAGGCAGAGATAGAATCTGAGAAGAGTTGAGAATTTCTTTGTTGTCGTGGAGCAGAACGAGTGGCAACTGCCAATGGCGAGGGACAAACTTTCTAATTATTCTTATTTGCGAAGCTGCGTCGCGGGATAATCGTGTCGAGCGTTCAACAGCGATAAAAACGTGGCGCGGTAGGGATTTTTATGCGAGCTCACGTTCGCCGTAGCGTCCCTTATCAAATCGTACGAAACATCACGAGCGGCCGTTTAATCCCCCGGATCTGATACATCGGTTTAATTCAGAGCCTTCCCCCAAGCAACCGAATACATTTTCTTAGCTTGTGCTCGCCTCGAGGCGCCGGAGATAAATATACTCCCTTATTTACGAGTCCCGATATTCCCGAGATTTAAAATTCAAAGCACCCCGGTCGCGCGGCCGCGTAATGGCCCTTTAATTATTTCCAATGGTCTATCCGATCGCGAATCGAAATGAGAAACGGCCGTTTATCGTCGTAACGAGTCCGGAGGATTTTATATTTACGCCCGGGCGTTCCGATCTGCCGATTATCGGACACGGAAACCCGTGTCAACGGCGCGCAACCCGCCGTTATTTAAACCCCCAAGACACGCGACCAACCAACGACTTCGATTCTCCGTGGTTTCGCGTAAATCTCCGCGCGCCCGGTTAACCCCTTGCGTTACGATTTAATTCGAAACCGTGGGGCTGCCATGATCGAGCACGGAATTTATCGAGCCCGAAGGAAAAACTCGCCCTCCCGCCAACGTTGGCGAAAATGGCGAATATACTGGGGATTTCGGAACGATCGCGTCCGCTATTATTATTTGAAAATATTAAATGACCATGGTTTGGCCATGATCGAGTTCCACGTTTGGATCGTGATAGGAAGACAAAGGGTTTATCAAGTCTTTAATATTGTTACAATGGTTTGCCACAAGGACTCACCAACTCTTCTTGTCTTCTTCTCTGTTGCAGTTCTGGTCAGCTTACGTGCCCTGCTCCTCCCAGTACCTCGACTCGGTCCAGCTGGCCCTGGAGCAGATCGACCTGATTCGCCGGTTGGTCAACAAGCATCCTGAAAGCATGGTCCTCGTTACCACGGCGGAAGGTGGGCCATTTCGCGATTCTACCTCTTTGTGTCTACATCCCAGTTTTTCCTGGCGCGACGAGGCACGAAACGGTCGAGTCGACCGTGTTTACACGGCAGTTGCCTCGATGCACCAGAGAATATCCCTGCTGACAAGTTAATGCCGAATCTGCGTCATTGTTCGGTAAAGCTGACGCTCGCGTGTTTGAATAAAAAAAACAAAAAAAATATACGAAGGCAACGAGTTAAACGCAGCTTCGCGTCGGCGAATTACGGACCCCGGAAGTCCAATTTCCTGGCAACGCGGAGAGAAAAATAGTTAATGCGATCATACGGAATCCGCGAACGAATTTGTCAGAGATTGCGGTTTAAAAAATGCACGCTCGCGGTGGATTTCCCCGCACCGTTGCTCCGGAACGAAAGAGTTAATAATAAACGAATCCCTGCACGAGTGCAGAGAAACTCGCGGCAGAGGTTCGTAGGCGAGATCCATCGATCAATCTTTTTTTAGCCAAAGCGAAGCATCGTGGCACAGTTTACGATATTAAACGTAAGATCGGCGTTCTCGAAGCCCGGCGCGGCCGACAGCGTGTTCGAAAGTCGTCGATGTCGAGGATCTCGGTAGGACGAGGCTTCACACGCGAGGAATATGAAATCGAGCTTCGAGGTCGACGAACGTCGGGAATTACCATCCTCTATTTGTTCCCGGAATGGGCCGTCCAACGTTACACACCGCCAGAATTCCTGGCGGAATGCCAATGTCAGGGGGAGGCGCGGCGGCTGTTGGCACACGCCCGCGAAAAGAATGCCTCGACTTTTCCGCTTTAAGACGAAAAATCCACCGAGCGGATCTTCCTGCCTCGGCCAGGCCGCGCCTTCCTCGAATTTAATTAATTTCTCGCCACGCGGACCGACCGAGCAACCCGCGACGTGCCGACCGGATAAATTGACCCCCACCGGAAGAATTAGGTCCGCCTGACGTGCCCGGGGAACGACCTCGATCGCCAGTTTCCCTTTATTTCGCCTCGCTTTATCCGGCCTCTTTATTGCACCGTTGCAAAAGGGCACACAAAAATCCTGGAATCGTTTCTTTGCAAATCGATGCTTCGAAGCCAATACCATTATTGCAGCATATTAAAAAATTGCAAAATTCCTCGCCGGGAGTCGGAAGTCCAGGAGGAAACCGGATGCAGTATCGTGGCTATTACAAAACCCAGATTGGAAGACGCAATATTCGCGGAGTTAATAAACTGCTTTCCGCAGTTGCGAAAAATAGAACTTTCCCAGAACTTTGGAAAGAAGTTCCGGAAATAGGACGAAGTTTGGGAAAGAACCGTCGGAGGATTTTGAGGTGGACTACGAAGCAGTGATTTTTAAGATCCACGGATGGATTTCTGGGGAATATTAAATATTTATTTTCGTTCGTAGCTGATGACGTGCGTTCCCTCCGATGCAGTAAATTCACAGTCTTTGCAGCTTCTGAAAAACGAACCGTTTCATTGGGTATATATTAGATGTAGCGTATTAGCAAAAGGCAGTTTGCTTTAAAAATTGCATTTTGGCCGGTCCTTCGAGATTCGGTCACACGCGCTGGACCGGCGCCAGCGTCTGATTAACGCGATTGAAACCGTACGGCTTTCGACGTCGTGAAAAAGTTGGAAGAGCCCGCCCACCGCCCCCCCCCCCCCCATCGACGTCGTCGTCACCGTGGAATAGTTCTTCAAAAATTTTCGAAGCATTCTATAACTCGTGAACGAAGACGCCTTCGTTCGGAAACGACGCGTCGCTCTCTCGATGTAACGAGCAGTTTCCGAGCTACGAGGCTCGGCAAACCTATTTCGCGATGATTTGCTCGAACGTTGAGTAAAAGATAAATGGAGGAGAGGCAATGTCGCCGTATATAGAAAGGAAACGAGACCGTCGATCTACGGAGCGAGGAAGTCGATTTTCTGGCAAACTTTCTCTGCAGAAATTCCCGCCGGGTATCGAACCGACGAGCGAAAGCGCTCGGAACGCGAGCTTCAATTTGACGACAAGTTATTGCTAATATGGAATACAGGAAACGGGAAAGAACAATGAAACGGCGAAAATACAGCGAAACGAGGAAAACGGGATAAACGGTTTCTGACGCCGATGCACGCGCGGACCTCGTTCAATTTCTCGAAACCGTGTAGATAGAATCTTATCGATACCGAAGAAAATTCTGTCCGAAATATATCGCGATAAGGTAACTCGATGACAAAAACGGCCAAAACTCTACATAATTAATCGATCGATACGCTCGTAATTGAAAATGTAACAATTTCGTGGGTAACGAGTTAATCGAGTCCGATGATTCACACTCGCTTTGATTACGTGCGTTATTTAGTGATTATAATTAGTAATTAGTAAGTAATTGCAATAATTAATTACCGGTTCCGTTACACGGTGATCATAATCGTTAATCACAAATCAAATTTGGTTTCGCCCGACACCGATTCAACAAGCAGCTAATAAACTTCAGGATATCGCGTTAACGCGGGCACGGACAGGATTGCCAATCGAAATTCCATTCGCTTCATTTTCGATTCGAGACCCTCCGCTTTAAACCCATCATCCTTCGTCACCTTTTTTTGCCGGGGAGATGAGAAACTGCTGTAAATCGATGAGGGATCGGATAAAAACGAGCTGCTTCGCCTTTGGCATCGCGACAACTCGACGGGACTGACAGAAACGAGAAGCGAAGAACAAGTAGTTCTGAAAAAGGTGCACGCTAGGCACTTGCTACTCGATATTACAAAATATTCCACTCTTCGTGAGTCTCTACAAATTTACAAGAGGATAATTTTCAGACCCCACAAGCTTCGAAAATGAAATTGTTCGTCCAAACAAATCGGTAGCCCCAAACTCGATACCTGTATCGTCGATAGAATCAGGAAGAGTCGGAGGGAAACTCATTACGGGAGAAAAGCGGCGGATAATTTTCAAAGGATGCAACGAAGGGTCGATCGCGATCTGACCTCGCTTTCGCTCGCGTCGGAATTTAACAGCCACGCGTATCGACGAACGTTCGATCGCGATTTCGTGCGCTGCGCCGCGATAATTTGTCCCGTTTCGCGCGGCGCGAACGGCGAATCCGACGAGAAAATGTCGGGAAAGCTGGGAAGATGCAGCCGGTTGTAAATTCCGGCTGAAATGGAAAAATGTCAAGCCGTACCCGGCGACCCGGCTCGTTCGATAAGCCGAACCTCGGCGACTGCATGTCGGCATGCACATGCATATGTAAATGGACATGCAATACGCGGTGGTACATACTTCGCTCGTACAGAGAAAGGTCCGATTGTTCGAATTTTGCAAGCTACTTCTCGCCGTCCTAACACAGGCAACTAATTAAAGAAATAGCCGAGCTTGGGAATCTTTAAGAAATCATTGAACTTTCGTATATATCACGTATCACGAATTTTAACTGGATACACTCACTAATTAACTTATTATTTAATCATTCTTCGAACACTTTATTGTAATGGAGATAAAGTACTTACATTGAAGACCCCATTGGAAGAATACTGCGAAGGACAATGCTCCATGGTTTGAATAAAAACCATTCCTCCACCGTAAACAGTATTGCAACAGGCTGCACACCGGTCACCGATGACCACCGATCGGTCAACGCGTTAAAACGTGAATCGCGAATTTACGAGAAACGAATAATATTACAGAGACTCGTGAAACGCGACTAGCCGACTGACTACGGAATGCCAGGATCCGGTTCGTACCAGGCCTAACCCAAAACAACAGCCGTCAAGATCGTGACCGTTTATCTACGACTTATTGACAACCATCGGTACGGCGGCCAATTCTAAGAAACGATAGACAAAGTAGGTGTGTTTACATCGACCGATCGACGCTTCTGTCTGGAAACTTTCGACGTAAAACGTACTTTCGCAGCGTTACTTCGGAAGAGCAATAGTTGGAGTCGTCCGGGGAGTTCGAGACCGAGGATTTATGGAAGACAGAGACGAACTTGGTGCTCCCGTTTACAATGCTCGCGCGACCGAGTCGGCTTTTAATTTAAAACCGACACGGTTGCTCCCTTCCTGGGAGGGTTGTAATGTATCTTTTGTCGTTTCTTTCGATCGCAAGAATCCTATTCGAGCTAGACGCATTGTCTATTTTTCTTTGTGCAGAGGGTAGTAAAAACGGGGGATGAAACTTCATAGATTTATGATACACGGTTAGACGAAATTCTTTCGCAAAAGGGAACGTTGAAGAATCGAGGGTAAAATATTGGAAAGGATTCGCGAGGGATTAGTAATCGTAGATAAATCGCTGTATCATTCGAGTACAAAAGAAAATTCCTGTTACTTACGAGATGACCAGACAATGGAACCTCCGACTCACAGAGGGGGGATATAAAACCGACTTCCGGGAGGGGTGGAAGATTCACCCCGTGAGGAAGAATGGAGGCATGAATGCGAGAGATCAGAAATTCCGGGGGTAAATGGAAGAACGGTTCCGAATCGGCCCGATAACGTCGAAACTTGGGTCTACGCGAACGTAATCGGCCAGAGGCGTTCGTATATGAAATACTCTCGCACGCGGACGCTTCTGGAGTCCGAAAGTATCCTAGCAGGGGTGCCATAAATCAGCGAGCGCACTAAATCGAAGTTCATCGACGGTGCAAGGCTCGCAACCGGCATTCCTTTTTCGGTTGTTCTTCCATTAGGGGCTTAATACAGCGTAATCGTCGGGCACGTTCGCTCGTCGGGGAAATTAAACTTGCCAGAACAAATGACCGTGACAGGGGATGCTCGATTCACCAAGCTGGTACGCCCTCGAACCGTTATTCAACTTCTTGCAAGCAACATTCAAACATATTAAAGTTGTAGAAGATTTTAACGCCTGCGAGCAACAAAAGCTCGATGAAATCGAGGTGTAACAGCGGGGGTAGTTCTCTGGTCATCGCGTTAAATTAAGCGTCACCGTTAATTGGACCGTATCGATTCCTTTCTGCGGGTATCGACAAGCATGTCGTCGCAATAGCGAGTTGACAGAGACTCGGAACTTTGTGAAATTCTTCGTAATTGCGGTGGAGGCAGTTCGCGTCGATAAGTTTGCGCAAGAGTCGTGGACTTGGCCGCGTAACGCGAATTACGGCAAAGTACTGGCGTGTATCGAGATCGAATTATCGACGGAACGACGCCGCGAGAAAGTTTTAATAGATCGCGCGGAAAGGAAGAGACACGACACGCGGTCGCGCGAATTCATAGCGTGTAAATTCCCAGGGCCGCACGAGGATCAGGGGTTCCATTAACGCGAACTCGAGGGGATACCGGGTTCGCGAGCGCGGTCAAAGGCGGAAAAGTTGAAGCTGCCGCGACAAATGGCGTTTCTGTTTCCCGATGGATGCACACGCGTGCTCGCCCGCGTCCCCTCTGTCGATGTGCCCCGGAACCGGCGAGCCTAACGCAATTTGTACGCGGTGTTTTAATCGAATCGAAACGACACCGAGCCCGCGAATCCGATTTCACGGGGCCCCCTCCCCGATAGCCCGCCCTTACACGCCCGGGCTCGATTAAAACGATTAAACGACGGGGGAAATCGAATTCGCGGCGCGCTGACTAAATACTGACAAAATACCGGCCGCAAGGAGGATTTTCCGGCCGTTCTTCGAAAGCCCCCGCGGTTCCATTATCCCCGCGGCCGTGGGGGGATTAACCGAGGCCCGTTTATGGTCGGTAATTAATGATCCGCGAGATAACGCCCCCGTCCGCCGATGAGTAATTTAAATCGTTTGATTAAATCGACTCGATCGAAGGTGAACTTTATTTAGCAATCAATCGACCCCCGCCTACCCCGACTCTACCGCTACGTCGTCGTTCATTATACCCAACGAACTTCTCTATCGACTATCACATTTATTCCAAAGTAGTAGCGCCATCATTTGTATTATTGAAAGTGCATTCTTAAGGGGGTTGAAACGATCCATTCCGAGTTTCTAGCCCTGTACAATTGGGAGCATAAAACGACGATCGAGACCGTTTAAGGGAGACGCAACGTGTGATTTCAGGTATCGAGAGGGCGCACAAGGAGGGTAGATTAGCGAGCCTGATAGGGGTCGAAGGAGGCCACGCGGTTGGTGCGAGCCTGGCGGTTCTGAGGATGCTGTACGAGTTGGGTGCCAGATATCTCACCCTCACTCATACGTGTAACACGCCTTGGTGAGTTTACCAACTGAGATAATAGTTAATCGCGACGACGCTTTCGCGAATACGGCGCCAAGCAGCGATCGAGAGTAGAAAATGGCGCGATAATACGTAGTTCGAGTACCCGGTATCTTGGGAATCTTCGTCGACGAGTGGCGCAACGTGTCGTTGCACGGTCGCGCATCGATCATCGGTGTTTTCCCTTCGTGCGCGATTTAACGGTGGAAAATGCCGTCGAAACGTAACACGGTTTTCATATAATACAGAAAGATAACGGGGAGACAAGCCGCGAACGTTTCGCATAAACTGGTGAAATAGAAACGCGCTAGATAGTTGTCGCGTACACCGCGCGATGAATGCGGGCGCAGTTTTATCGTTGCGCAGTAAAAGTGTACTGCAAATGACGTAATAAAGGAACTGTGCGAGATACGGCCTCGAAACTTTTCCGACCATTGCGTCCACGTCCTAGAGTATCCCTGTACCTGTACACGACCGAATAAAACCGAACACTCGGTTCGAAATTATCGTGTCCCACCGATTGACGGCCCCCTTTTAAAGCAATGAACCAGTTTTAATCTTCGATAACGACTAAACAAATTCTAGCTCGGTTTGATCGCGGAAAAGGTTTGAGTTTCCTGTGTAGAATCGTTACGTAACCGTGTCGTTTATCACGAGTTGCTCTTTCCGGTATCTACTCGCGGCCCGTCAGTTTTCTTCCTGCCAACGTGCTGTCGAAGCAGCAAAAGATAACGGGAATAAAGTGGCGGAGAACGATGGAAACGATAGGTTTTTGTCGCGATCGGATGGCTGTTTTAAAAGAGGCTCGGAATTACGTAAGGGTTACGAGCCGGCTCGCGAACCAGCTGGCGCACCCGGGCGTCGACAGAAACGTTATTCCAGAACAAACAATGGACGAATTCCCTTTTACGAGGCGACACCGACTGCAACTAAGCAAGGGAAAAACTGACGACGCAGAAAAGAGGGCGGAGAACAATAAAACGTCGCGAACGAACCGACAGCTTTTGCGGGAGACAGGTTGCGCGCGTCCCCACGGGTACCCGGTCCGAATTTATTTTGCACCTGTGTACACGGGCTACAAAATTAAAACCGTTTCCGACACGCCGGTACGTTTAAAACCCGTCGGAGAATGGAAACTAAAGAAATTCCTTGCTCTTTGCACGGTATCGTAATTTTCCGCGCGGCAGAAGGGCCGCGATTTATCGTCCGGAAAAAGTCACGCTCGAACACTCGACTCGAACCGAATGACGTTTATGCAAACGAGTTTTTAAAACGTGTCCCCGGAAAATTACGACTGATTCAGTTTCGTTGATATAATGGTGTACCGCGTGAATTTTTAAAGCCGATCTCCCCCGACGCTCGGGGATTACGGTCGATAGAGAGCGAAAAAGAGTTTAATCGAGGTTTTAATTTTCAATTCTCGAGCGTGGAATTCGCGTTAACCTGCTAAATCAGGGGAAAGGTTTCGAAAATAACTGTTTCGACGGTTTGATAAAAACCTTGTCGTTTCTGGTATCCAGTTCGTAAACGGAAGGACAATCCAGCGAGTTGACCGCGACGCGTTAAGTAATGTGCCAGTAAAGTCGAAAACGCGACACCGAGGATCGATGATTTTATCGGTGGCCATGAAATTTATACCGCCGGTAAAAGCCGACATCCTTTATATTTATACGCCGAATTACGCAACCAACCGAACGATAAATCATCCATGGATTAATGGAACCGTAACAATATTATCTGCGTTTCGGTGTTTCCGGGATCGACCGCGCGTTTTACGACTTCGATAGATTCCCCCGATACGCTGATAAATATCTACGAGGAGGGGTGGTTTCGACTACACGCCCCGTTGTCCCGGTCGAGCAACGAGCAAGCAATTTCCCCGGATTTCGCGACGAAAACTTCCACCCCCAAACTGACCGATTTCTCCCCGCGTCGCGCGCTAATAGAATTTCCCCGGGATTCGCTTCTCTCCGTTTGCTTGACCGCCAAACGATCGATTATCGTGGGGTGAAACGGGCAAAAAGATGGTCAAGCATTCGTAGACGCTAAAAAAAATTGGATAGCGTTTTAAAAAATGCTTCGTATCGCGATTTTCTTACGTCGAATTAATTTTTACGTTGGACCTTTGTCAAAGATAAATAGATCTTCGAGTAATAAACTTTAATAGACTCTTTCGCGTTTTAGATCACAATGCGTCGTATAGTTTTGCTTCCTAACTTACAGAACATCGCGTTAATGCGAACGATTATCATCCAGGAATTGCCTGGGCTCCTCGAAGCCTGTTCCTGGTCCGAATCTCGCACATCTCCTCTGTAATCCTATCAACGTGATAGACATTTGCGAATCAGCCTTGCAAACCGTTATCGTCGTAGGCAAATTCGTCGGGATAATCGAAACTATTAGCTCCCTGCTCGCGAAACGATGTTCTTATCAATTAAGAGGATATCGAAGTCCATGGACCGCTAAAACATTTCTACATCACTTCGCGTGCTCTGATATTTGTAGTTTCATGTAAGAACAGCAATGGATTCGAGCATTACCGTAGAAGTACCGCGAAACAATTGTCTGCAATTTACGGACCGCAGTCTTCCGAGTCCGTGACTAGATATTCGAAGGTATTTACGTTTCGAATAAAGACGTTTGTACACTGTATGCGGCGGAATCTCCGCGGTCATTAATCGAGGGAACAATTCCGGCCGCGTTGCTTAGTATTGCGGACATGAAACTCTATGATTAAAGGGCATTGTAGAACACTAATGCTGAGGATTGTTGCCAATGAGTTACTGACCTATTGGTTCGTTAGGGCAGAATGCAGCACAGCGGATGAACCCGGTCAAGTGGCTCGCATCGGTGGTCTCTCCAATTTTGGCAAGGTGAGTACAAGAAAAAAAAAATATATACTTTTTTCACCCTCGAGCGCGATCGATTCCTCGAAATATCGCGAGAAACGGTGCACCACTCGCCGGATATAAAACGTAAAACTCAGGGGGGAGGGAAACGTACTCGCGATTCACGACCGCGTGAAAATTAAGCTTTCTGCTCCCGAACTTATAGCCCCCGGCGGTTACCGTGGTAATTGACACGAATTACAGACCGTGACCGGAAAAACGAGCGTCTGGTTAGGCGAATCGGTCCAGTTTTTGTCAGGTCGACGGAGGAAGACGCGTCCTTCGTCCTATTCCACGAGGATTTTCCAGAGTGACGAGGAACTACGGTGTTTTACACGGTGGATTAAGGCATCCTCCTGGCTGTCTATTCCGACCAGCCACGTCGCAAAACGGACATTTTCCCGGTCGAGCGTTTTCAACCGACTTCGATCGTAAATCTACCGCGCCTTTTAACCCCGCCCGTCAGATCGATCGGCCATAAATATCAGAAGTTCGGCGGGAATTTGTAAGAAAGATCGATTTGACCGAACCGCTTTCAGAATGCTCTCGTTGCAACGGAGTATTACGTATCCATTACGGCGGATGCTGAGACCCCCAGCCTGGTCGAAAATGGAGCCCAAAACTCTGCACGAACCCTCGTATACGAACGCTTTTATTGAAATTTTGCACGTATTTGTCGCGTTAAGAAACGGCAAGATGGAGGGAACGTGTTCTCAAGTTTTACGACGCCGTCGTTCTGTTTTAAGGGACGGTGAACCGAAGAGATTAGCGGTCGTTTCGAAACTCGGCTCGCGCGGGCAGCGACCGCACGCTTTAAATGTAGGAAAATAGTTAGGAGAGCTGCTCGACACCGCGGGCTCTCGAAACTCCTGCAGGAAAATTCGAGCGCGAGTTATTTATGAAAATTGCCCGCCACTATTCGCGGTATTCGCGTCGAAGTATTCATGAATTCCTGCCCCGACGTAGCGCCTATGCGAAAGAAAATTATGGCCCGCATCGATCAGCACAGAGAACAATCGGTCGCATTTTAAACGCGCATAGCTCGAACGATGGAGGTTCCATTTTAAACCGTGCCCGGAACCGCCATTCGAAATCACGAACGACTCCGATATCGCTCAGAATTCTCCAGGATCCCTCATTTACGAAGTAACTTCACGTTTTTCGAGATCTCTGTCTTTCTATGTAAATAAATTTATTTGCTCTGGAAAATGGAAGGCGAGATGGTCCCAGAGGCGTGTTCCATATTCGAAAACGCAATGACAAATAACGTCGGAGACGTCGGTGCGACCTTCCGAAACGTACGAGCGTGTGACTGCTTTCGTATTCGAGGGAGGCAATTCCACTTCTTTCGGGGGAAAGTCTGAATAATTCTTTCGATTATTAGACAGAGTGGAAGGGGACGGGGTAAGTGGATTTCGCAATTTGCAAATTTAAACGCCGAACGAGCGTGAAATGTCTCGAGAGGAGACACGATTTTCTAAGATAACAATCGGCGCCAGTGTGTTTACGACAGGACACAGCACACCTGGATAGAGCGTTCCGTGTAATTAACGACGACAGTGACATCGTACTCCGACGATTAAGACCACCGACGAACTTACAGTTCACCGTTTCTTTCCCTTAAGTGTGAATACTGGTGAACTTAGCAGCGCTACGGCAGCGTGTTCCATTTACTGAACGCCAGAAAAACGCCAGACAGCCCCAGGGGTGTTTTCCAACGGCAAGAGGAATATATGAGAAACGACTTGGAGAACGTGGTCGCGATATAAACTGGAAGCATGCCCTATGGGCAAGAACCGTAGGAACCGGGATAAAATATTGCCGGCGCGTCTCTTGCGTTTAGTCAGTTTCATTGTAATCCAATTACTTTCATCAAACGTTTACGTTTTATTCGCCGTGAGCGGTGCGGGTACCCAGAAAACCGATCGTTCTCCTCCGCGAACAGAGAACCCGTGGAGGACGACGGATGGTCCGAAATTATGTTCGCAAATTCCCGTTGCGAAAATACACCGCTGCGAGTAGCTATAAGCAATTTCTTTGTACGTAACAGCTGGAACAAAAGCTGAAAAAGTTTCTCGGGGCGGACTCCGCGGAGGAAGAGATATGGACAAATAGACGGAAGAAAGTTAAATGTATGAGAAACAACTCGGGAACTCCCACCTGGACTCTCTGGTCGAAGAAAAATTCCGCGGTCGAGACGAAAGGAAAGATAAGAGCGGAAGGTCGCTCAAATATTTAACGAAGACCGCTTACGATTGCTTTAACCTCGTTAATGGTCGACTATGTCCGTGCATTTGTTTCACTTACGTAACAGGAATGGAATACCACTTACCCGACTCGATCGTCCGTTCCTCCGCCTCTAATCCGCAGGATTTTCCAATACGAAACTGTGGAACTTTCGATTCCCGTAGCCACCTTATTTGTTCGAGACTCCATCCTGAAAAGATACACACTGAAATTAGTAAAATTTATTGTCAAAATGTGGCGGAAACGAGATGAGAAAGATCGATCATTTTGGATGCTTCCCTCGCGATTGTCCTCCGTCGTCTCTAGACTTCCCGTTCCGCAACTTTGCCGCATTATCCACGAAACTTTCCGTCTGTTTGCGGAAAAAAGGAACGAAACGATCGACTAACGGCGAGCCTCTATTTTAAAGCCTGAAACGCTACGAGATACCTATGGATCCTTGATTTCCAAACGGTCCAAACTATAATAACGCGAAGCTGCTTTCCCGAATAAATAACCGACGGCTACCTGGAACGTATTAAACGCGTTTTGCATGAATTTTCCGGAATATAATGCGTCTAACCCCCGAGAAAAATCGGCTCTTTTTCCAAGCGGCCTCATCTGCGGAGCGAGACGTTTTATATACGATCCTCCACTTTTCTTTTATACCTCGTTCGGCGGCTACGCCATTTCTCACCCACACCCGTGTAATAAACAGCTCTCTCAAGTACTCGATAAAAATTCCGCGCGGTCCCTCCAAGAAAAGAAGAGACACCGTCTGGCAGATACTTTTACCTGGCTACTTCCACCCCCTTCCGCCATTCTCGCGCCACAATACTCCGTATTTAACATCGGATCCAAGCTCCTTCCATTACCGTCGACGTACAACGATATCGATAACTGTGTTTCGTTCCCAAGATTCTTTGAATCGAGTCTTTCACGGCACAAGCGCCAAAGTCCGCGGTTGCTCTTTCCGTCGATCGTTCTTCCTCCCTTGCCCCCGGTTTCGCGCGAACGAAACCGCGAAACGTTTCGAACGCGCGTAAACGACACGCCCGGGACACCTTTAGAAGAAGATGGAACGACGTCGAGAAACAGAGAGACGTTTATATCCGGGTAAAAGGGTGCTCGACGGGAAAAGAGAAACGCGTCTCGCCGTGAAAGCTGCTCCTCGATGATGCTGAAAAATTTGTACTTTTGTTCTCGCCCCCTTCGAGGTTATCACGTTCCTGTCTTCAAAGGCCGGGAGAGTAATCCTGTATTCGGTCGTGATGCGGCAACTTTTCTCCGCGAGGAAGAATGGAGCCGGAGAGCACCGAGGAGAAACAGTTTCCCTTTGTTGGGGCAAGAGAGTTCGCTTCCTGGGTTAAATCGTTATTCCGCGGCGGGATAAACATAAATTCATTCTGCCAAAATTTTTGTCAGCCCCTTCGGCTCGAGGGCAGCCAGAATTCGAGGGACGAGGCGCAAGATTCTTTTCAAAAAAATGGGTTGAACAGCGGAGCGTCCCCACCCTTGAACGCAAGGATAAACACGAGTTCCTCCGAACGGAACAATTTAGTGGTCCCGTCCAACTCCGAGCGAGTCTGGCTGTAATTCTAACCAGACGTCGGTTTCCAAACAATGTGTGGGTGATCCACGACCCGGAAGTCGCGGCAAATTCAAGAAAACATAACTCGAGAGGAGTAATTACACCGGGAACCGGTTGTTGGAAGCGCCACGTGTTTCGAACGCGTTGCAGGAGGTTCGGTATCGGTTAACGCGAGAACCGCTCCTCGCCTCGTATTTCCAAGGTACATTTTTCAACGGAATACGTGACCTCTCGCGTGGATTCTCACGCCGCTGAAAAACAGTACCAAGAAATATCTGATATCCACGGATCGTTGGCTCTCTATTGACTAAAAGCACCCTCGGTTAATTGCCTCTGTACAAATCGAAACAAGATACACGCTCTACCGGGAGAAGAATAAACCGGCTTGTTCGATTATACCTCGACGCCGCCCCGACGAGTTATTATCTTTTCAACGCGGCTACTAAGTCGCAAATTAAGTATCACGAGGAGGGGGTGGAACGGGAACGCGATCGATTATTTGTTTCCGTGATTAATTACACCGCTGGAGGCACCGAGCGAATCGGCGATATAATAAACGGAACAAAAGAGAAGAGGAGAACGGAAGAAGCATGATTTATCGTGTCGTAGAATCGAGACCCTGGAGAACAATAGGGTAATATCGTTGCGAGACAGAGGAGAGAAGTTACCAAAGAAACAGGAATACACGCGGCGAAAGGTGGACGGATATACTCTTTTTTTTAACCCGAACGTTCCATCGATATTAATTGCCACGACGGAATGGACATCGAGGGTCTCCATCGTTCCTTCCTATTTTTTTTCTGTTTTCACGAAACTTCACCCGCCAAGTATTAGCAGTTACTCCACCGCGCGAAGAACCTTCGAAACTGCATTATGGTTTCCTCCTCGGACCGGATCTTAATTCCGAGAATCTATAGACTGTCTCATCAACGGGGCTAAACTTTCAAACACCGGTCCTTTATTAACTTCTACGCTTATTCCCTCCTTCAACGTCCTCGACAAACATTCCCGCGGATCGATTTTCACTTCGACGCGTGCAATGCACACCAACCGAGTCCTTACCCGATCTCTTTAATAAATAAAGGAACGGAAGTTTCCGGGATTAGGGACGCGGCTCGGGATTTTAGCGCGACTTAGCCGAGCGATTTAAGAGAACTACGAACGAGATTCACCCGCGATGCTGTACTCTACGAGGTATTTGCATGCCAAGCAGTTAATAAACGGGCTAATGGAAGAAAAACCTGGTTATGAATTGCAACGCGCCGCTCGCGGCGTAATCCCTGCTTACCACCGAATATATACACTCGCTTAACCGACGATCGAGGACACGCATAACCCACCAACTCCTCCATCTCTAAGACCAAACAAATATAAAGATTTTTGTTTGACGAAGTTTCAGCAAAGGGTGAAACGCGAGATCGAGAACAGAGCCAAGTCGAGCGATTTCTCGGTTTGAACGTCGTCGAAGGCGATTCGATTAAGCCGTTCGCGTGGCTGGACGGCGAAAGCAGTTCTCGGTTTGCGAATCGTCGTCCTGGACAATGTCGGAGGTCCGAAGGGCGATCGTTGGCCGCAGACTCGGAGTTCCTGGCGTTAAGTTCTGGAAGGCATTTCGCGGGAGGCCAGCCGCCCTTTTGAGGCCAGCTGCCGACTTGTTTCGAAAACTTGCCGGTCTAAACAGGCCACCGTGCATCGACGGTTTCGCGGGCAAAGTTGCCGGCCAACCATATCGCCGGCTGACAAACAAAAGTATCGAGGGAAGTTTCGTCGTACGCGAAGAACAGGCCAACCGGACGACTGCTCGATCGAAAGTCGAGGTTCCCCGTTGTTTTCCACGCACGGATAAAAAGGGAAGATGGCCCGAGTTTCGGCTCTGTCTCCGCTTTTACACGATACGTCGTTCGACCATCTGCTCAACTTTTAAACGAAACTTGGGAAGCGCGCGATCTCGTCGAGGTGGACACGGTTTATTATTTCCATTCGCCGTACGGTGGAAGAAATTTTTCAGCAAGAATCGCGTTAACACGATAAAAGAGCAATAAACGGGGAAACGTATACCGGTCTGGGAGCACACGCGAAAAATAAGGCCTATTCGTCATCCTGTCGGACGGTCGGGTGGACACGGAGTATTACGAAACCTTTTCCCCCGGGGATCCGCGAGGGTGGATTCGTCGAATGGTCGAAGAGAAACGTAACCGTCGTGTGACTTATGCTCTGGAAGAAACGAATAGCCGGCTAGCGTATCGCGAAAGGCCAATTCGACGACGTTCGCCGGAACTTTTCGAAACTTGCGCCGTTTTCCATTCGTTAAACGCCCCTGTACGCGTTCTTACAGCGAAACGTCGATGTCCCTCGTCGACGGTTGAAGGAAACGCCGGGTCTGTTCGAATGGAAGCGGTTCCAAAGCCGGTGAAAAGCTTTCGAACCGCGGAACAATACGGACGAAGACGAATAGCGCGATTGAATTAAAACGGAGAGCCTTGGAATGATATATCGCTGGAATAATCTGGAGGAAACCGACCAACCGGAGTCTACACGGTACTCCCGGAACTTTTATGAAGTCAAATATCGCCCTATCGCGCGTCATTCGCACGTGTTTCACCCCCTCCTGTTCCGTACCGCGAGATTCTTCGAGTTTTCTCGTTCCTCTAGCCGGACAAGCGGTTTTTAATGGATGTTTCCGCGACCCTCCTTTACTTCTCTTTGGTCTCGTGTTTTTCATCAAAATTCTATAGATCGTTGTTTTCCACGGACGGTTCCCCTGGGTATATGCAGATTAAAGAACCTTGCGCTTTAATTAAAACGAACAACTCGCTGAAATCACTGCAAAATCTCGCTAGGAAAACGAAACACTTGTAAACCGGGCTGGGGGGAGGAGGGACGCCGAAGAGTGAAGTTTATCGCGTAGTTACTCAAACGAAGCATTCTCGATTAACGGATGCACCGTTCCGCGCGAAAGACAGTAGCGAGAAATCCTCCGGATTCGCGTGATAACACTCTCTCCGCGTCTAACGAGGACTACTTCGCCGAAAGGCACTGGAAACTTCTCTAATTTCGTGATAATGACTGCTGCAGTTAGCGATAAATTCGTCCTTCGGCTAATTTCCTTCGAAACGACGAATTTCGGCGGAACGGGGTTGGGTCGACTGGCGAAAAGAACCCTGAGAGAATACGCGTTATGGTTGGAACGAATATCCGCGCGTCGACGAGCGGGGAACGGATGCGGGGGGGGTGGCTGGAAAGTTCGAAACGAGAAGCCCGAGAAACGTGATAAACTAGAATCTTGAGAGATTCGGTCCATGACGGTGCTGATTTAACAAAGCATTCGCGTTTAATGGATGCAACGTTCCCCGGAAAGACGGACGGGAATGCTCCTGGAATGCGAACGATAACTCTGTTTCCGGCAGACCTACGCCCGGGAACGTCTCGGGAATGAATCGTTCGCCTAATGTTGTTATTAGCGAGCGTTAACGAGTAAATACAGCCTGCCGGGTCCTCGCGAATTTATTCGCCCGGTAATCGTTTCCTTCCACGCCGCGAAATTCGTACAAAGAAGACGCTATACGCATTGATATGATTTGAAACGAAGAAACGTAACAGAGTCGGAATTAACGGGGGTGTAGGTGAGATACGGTCACGGCGGGAGGAAGAGAATCGTATCTAGTTTTGTTCTAGAGAAATGACAAGTGACAACAGTGAAATCGAATTTTGTAGTAGGAGTCGTGTCGCGGAGGCCTGACGGCGGATATCAAGGAGGATATTTCCCGTCACGGGGGCAACTCTCCTGGCAGGACTTATCGAAAATCTCTTATCCAACAGAAATACAGTTTTCTGGGTCTGGAATTCCGCGGAAGTTTATTGAAAATCTTGACGCCACCGTGGAAATCACTGCGTCGGAATAGAAAATATTAAATTTAACGCGAAACCGTGGCTCGGGAAATTTCGAGAAAATGTCTGCCAAAATTCGGGACGCGTCGAGCCACGGGATCCCGGGCGTTTCCCGTTCCCGGATCGGAATTCCTTGCAAAACAAAGCGTCCGAGGCGCACCGTCTGTCGTGAATTTCAATCTGATTGAACGGTGCCGGCAATAAGTGTCACGGATCACGCGTGAGCCAGCTGCAAAGCGGAACAGTACGTAAAGAGAATTTCACCGTGCCGCGGACAGCGTCACGGAACTCTGTTTAACTTTTCAAAGAACACTTTTGTATCGACGTTACGATCAACCCCGATAGTCGCGTAAAGCTCCGCAAACGTTACCTCCATTCTTATCGCCGTTTTCGTTCGAATAATGTCGCCGAGGTCGCTTTAAGCCGTCGTTAATCCGGGATTTTCGATTCTTGAAAGCGGTCGGTAAATCCGCGAAATGGCCTCGTCGATTTTAACGCGTCTATGAGACCTCTCGAGCTACTTTAGACCGTAATGTCTCGTAAGCCAGAGCCCCGTTATCAGGCTCTTAAGGATATCCGTTGCTCGCGATCCCCGAGACTTATTAGCCTCGTAATTATCCGACGATACGAATTTTTTCACCCCCAGAACATCGTGCTGGAGATGAATCGTCTGGGAATGATGGTGGACCTGTCCCACGTCTCGGTGCCCACGATGCTAGTAGCCATGCAGACCTCGAGGGCACCCGTTATCTTCAGCCATAGCAGCGCCCATGCACTCTGCAATTCCTCGCGAAACGTGCCTGACCATGCGCTTAGACGTTTGGTGAGTTATGTGATCGATTCTACCATCCGCTCTTCGGAATTTAAAGAGACTCGATACGTCCACGACTGCACTCCGGAGTTATCGTCGGCTTCCTCTGTTTCAGGCGCACACCGACGGTATAGTTATGGTATCCTTCTACCCCCACTTCATCAGCTGCGGCGAGAAATCGACGCTCGAGGACGTGGCCGGTAAGAATTTCAAAACCTCCTCCCGCGAAATGCAGATCGCGGAGCAAAACTATCGAGAGTTAAATTTATCGAGGCGTACGGACACCATGGAACGTACCAATATCATATATATTTATAAACTCGACTCCCGATCGCGATAGTTTTACTCACAAATGTATGCTAACTCCAGCGTTTTCAGAATTTTTCCACGAACGCGTAAGAAACTGTTGAGTGCTTCTTCGCAAATACCAGTCGATGAAAAGAAATGACCGTCTAACATTTTTCAAAATTCGCTATTATTAAAACTCCCTGTAAATGGCGCGGCTTATGTTTCCGTTTATTAGAACCGTTTCCATTGGCGGCGATAAAGTCCCTCGGCTAATTCTGTTCTTCCCTGCTCCAATCAACGCTGCCTTTGCCTTTTATTCTCCGTCGTTTTGACCGCGACGCTATCACCGTCCCATATTCTAGGATAAAAGCTAATTGAAGGGGACGCCGGAATCGCGTCTAAATTGTTCTTTTTCCTTTCTCTCGTTAATATGGTTTCGCACAGCCAAGCCGCGGCTTTCAGCCACCTAGCATCTGGAGATTGAACGCCCCCGCGTCTTCTCAATGGAGCTGAGAATATCTCGGTACAGCCGGCAATTTTCTTGCACAACCATTCTGACCGGATTTTACGAATGGAGAACAAAAAGTAATCGCTGGCAAAATAATATCCAGAGGGTGCATCCGTAAGGGTGCAGAAATATCTTCGAGACAGTATACTTTACGATTTAACTGTTAACTGGTATGGGGCATCGCTATACCCCCTAAATTATACCATTAAGTAACAAATAAAACAAATTTTAATCGAAGACCGTGAGAGATACGGAGAGAGTTTCGTTGAGACAAAATAAATACAGCTCGTCACGCTTTCTCGACCGTTCTATCGACGTCCGCAAACACAGGAATAAATAGGAATAATAGTTCGTAGAAAAATATGCAACCATGTATTTGCTTCCCAATCAAACGCGCTCGTGCTGCACACGGAAGAATAGATTCTTTTAATGCCTCTACCATCGTCATATTTTTGCGTATTCAGTTTCAACGACGGGTCTCCTTTTCAAAAGTTCGAACCCTTTGAATTCTACCGGGAACATGAAAGAAAAAATACAGTCGTTGACGGTTGAAATTGAAGGCGTCGATTCGCGGCGAAAACACAAGGTAAAAATATATTTATGAGCGAACGACCCGCGCTTTGAATAAAATTCGTCTTTCTGCCCCGGAAACGAAATACACGGAGCCAAGATCAAATTTATGCAGCAACCCGTTCTCTCGGCGCGATTCCGCGACAAGAAAAAAGAATTCTCATCGAATTGAACCGCGGCGGAAAGGTGGCAACGAGCAATTGCACTTTCATATCCGCGAACCCTTTGTGATGCATGAGACACGAACGCAGGTAACTTTAGAATTTCAACGCGAGCGCCGCGGAACTTAACATTTTCCCGTTCTCTTCTTCGAAATAAACTTTTCCGACGTATTATTCGGGATTCCAATGCGGATGCTGAGGCGTACGCGTGAATCAGACCGAAGAAGAAGGACGAAAGATGGTTCCATCCGTTGAAACAAGGTTGGATTTTCGCGACGGTCCTGCGATCATAGTCGCGCTTTCGTTTTCAAGTTTATTTTTCGTAATTATATTTGCAATTCGGTCAATGGAAGCTTTAAAGCTTTCAATCCTAGGTCGGCTGCTCTCGAGATTTGTGCTTACGAAATATATAAAAATGTGCTCGAAATTTATTTCGTGCCATTCAAATTGATTCGACGATGTTTCAACGAGAACGTCAAAAATAAGAGTCAAATGAAATTCTGTTTACAACGTCAAATGTGAGATTTAAATAAAAATCCCTCTGAGTCTGGATCTCTTTGTGCCTGTGAAATACTTGCCGATATATCCTCTCACGCAACGTTCGATGAAAACGCTGCCACCTGGACTCTGATTTCCCCCAAAACGAAACATTCCGCTGGCAATGTTAGCAAGTGATTTTCGCGAAACGAAATATCGAATCGAGGATTGCCAGTTAGTGCTTTATACCGCGGTGCTAGGAATTCCGAACGTATCCGACAGGAAGCAAATATCGTCGTTGGGCGCGTCGAAATAAAAAAAAGGGATAAAAGTCGAAACCGAAATACCGCGGCAACCACTCCCGACCCTAGCAGTTATAAATTGTATTCGCGGAATGGCGACCAGATCTCCACTCCGGAGAGAGTCGATAGAGCCGATGAGATGAGCAATAAGGCAACGAACGGCGACAGAGGACGGTCTGATTAAATCGCAACTTTTGTTTCAAACTTTCAGCCTCTCGTTTACCAACTTCTTATTTGCCCCGTTCTCTGTATTTTATTGGATCGTGTAACGAGACTCCTTTGAATTCTGATGCCGCGTATAAGGACCAAAGAACAAGGTCTCCAGTATTGCTATAATTATAATTGATTGTCTGTAACAACAAACGTACAAAGGAGATTTCAAATAGTAAGAAAACACGTTCCATAATTCATGATACGAATTGGGTCGTATAGATTCCGTGGCTCGAAACGAAAACAAACCAAAGAATAACGAAATTACGGGGTTCTAGAGCAGGGAACGCGTCGTTAAACCGATTCGCAGTAACGATTTGGACAGTTCTCATCGGGATTACGTTGCTGTTGTGATTGATTTCTGGTTGCTGGTCAAGTAGCACGTTGCTGGTCGGGGCGCAACAATTACCAGCCGGTTAATAATAACCGAACCCCGGCCGTGACCGCGGCATTTCGAGCCGGCGCACTCTGGCGTTTACGTACGCCGAATAATGCAATTTTCACGGGTCTGGTTGATGCGCTGCGCGTCAAATGCACCACGTACTCGCGTTTACCTTGGCGTGTTACTGGCGTTTGCACTTACCGCGCGGAAGGCGGCTCGCGATGCCGGTGTTTGCAGAACCCGATCCTCCGCGAAACGTCGGATGCACAGCGTAGATACGCCCGTCGGCGTCGAGTTCAAACGAATTACAGATACGACGATCGCGAAGAGACGCCCGTTTCGCCTACTTACTCGCCGCTTACCGTGTACACGTGGATTTTTTAGGGACACCAGTCTCCTTACACCGTCTCGATCCGTTGCAAATATGCTCCCTTTTTGGGGGAATTTATTTCCAAGCGGTGAGACATCCTCGTACTTTACGAATACGACGTCAGACTCGAGGACGCTCTACGCCACTCTGTCAGAAATCTTTTCTAACAAGAGTGCAAGAGGATCACTGCTTCCACATCATCTGTGCAAACATATACAGGCCACCGACCTTTTCAACGAAGCCTCGATCAACAAATTGATAGTCTTGATTTTCGTCTTAATTTGGCGTCCAGAATCTCCCATTAAAATTTTTCCCAGGGTTGGTCGAACACCCTGTATAGAATAGAAGGATCATCCTTCAACCGAGAACAATTACCGGACACTCGTAGTACAACGAATTCTATACAGATATAAGCTACACGTAATTCAGTTTTTCAATTTCGCTCGGATCGCGATCGAAATACCTGAATTTACGATTCGACGCGACGTTACGCTTACGATACGCTTTTGTGTAAATAAGTACATCCGTTTATTTATTCCCGTGTAAATTATCGGTATCTTTTCAATACTACGGGACGCGTGTTTGTGGTACGGCGGCGTAATAGCTGCTATCGGCGTAACTGAAAAATGGTCGCGAAAATATTTTTAATCGTTGATAAAGTAATTTTACATCCGTGTGCTGTGCGATATCGAAGCGCAAATTGAGCCAAGGACCGAAATCAGTTTAACGCGTTAAACGGCGAACGATATCGACGTTTCATGGAGTTTACATTGTTCCCGTCCCCCCGGAGAGACGATACAACGCCGCAAATGAAATGCAATTAAAAGTATTATCAACAAGATACGGCAACCGGCTCGTAACGTTCGGATCGTAACGAAATATTTATGAGAAACGTACCGAGAAGAATGGTTATAACGCTCGCAGTTCCGCGCCTTGGAATCTCGTTAGCCTGGTTTAAATTCGCTCGACTCTTCCCCCTGCCGTTTTCTGGAAGCTAAATCGTATTCGCGCCCTTTTGTCCCGATGATTCAAAGAAAGAGATTGAAACGAACTGTTTGAATTTGGACGGTGTGCAACCGATACGCGCGACGATAAATATAAATAGAAGAATGCTTACGATGAAACCGAGGAAATGTTTTCCGCCTCGCTGTTTATTCTTGTTCGAACGTCTCTTTAAAGAAACGCTCGAAATTAAATATGTCTTGCCGATAATTTAACGATATTATCGGTAGCAGGACGAATGGATCGTAAGGTTACTGGTTTCATGGCACGATAAATAATCTCGCCCTTTATCTTGGTGTGTTGCAGCCCACATCGATCACGTGCGAGCGGTCGCTGGAATCGATCACGTCGGAATAGGAGCCGGATACGACGGGATCAATCTGTAAGTCCTGACTCCTCGTTCACCCTTTTTCTTCCTGGTACTGTACAATTTGTTCTCGGATCATCACCGGGAGCTTGTAAAAATATGCTTGCACGACGCTTTCTCGTCTAGCGATAAATCACCGAAGGGCACGCTAGGCCGCGCCCGCGTAAAACAAATGAGCCAAGCTTTAACGAACACGACGAATTAATGCTCGAAAAAGGACCAAACCGTTCCGACTCCTTGCGCTGTTTTTTTCTGTTTTCTCTATACTGCGCGCGATTTACGAGACACCCGTGCAACGGTCATAAAGAACGCGATATTTCTTTTTTCTACGGTGACCAGCTTCCCATAAAAATTTAATGCGACGCGTGTCCACCTTCTCTAAACAACCGTGTCGCTCGATAAATTCTGAAACTTCTTTCGACGTTGGGAGAAGTACCAAATTGTAAACCTTGTAACTGTACAGTACGAACTTTGGAAAAACATTCACCCCGGCCAGCAAAATCGTTAGCCGTTGCGTAATCGGCACGCAGTTACAAATAATTCCAATCCACTCATTGTGCTTGAAATTCTATTAAAACAAATTGTACCGGGGACAGCGGCGCGCAGAAATATTACACAAACCATCGAAAGCGGCTTTTCTCCGGCGAACATAGCGAGCCATTATCGCGTTGTTTCGTTTCATTTGTATCGCGACTCTTCGGTAAAAAGTATTTAATAAAATTTAATCGTCGCGAGAAACAAAAGCGCGGGGCGCGGGAGGGGATGTAGAAAAAAAAAATCGATGGAAACGCACGCGTGTCGTTCGTCGGTATTTGTGAAATGGCCGACACGTTACACCTGCCCGAGGCTGGAATCGCGGCGCTCGCCATTAAGCCGCGGCCGAAAAAAAGGCGCGAAGCAAAGGGGAAAAAGAGCGCGAACAGCAGCTGGTAAAAAGTTGTCGGGTTTTCCGGAATCCGCGCGAAAAACACGCATGGGCGTGGCGATGTGCAGCCGGAGTGGGATCGAAAAAACCAACGTGAACGCGACGCGGCCGCGCATTTGCACACCGCGCTATAAAAAGGTGAAACAGAAAGGAAAGGTATCGTCGTGTCACTGATCGAATACGACCGGTTAGCAACGTTTTCGTACTTTTATCGGGAAACCGGAACGGATCCGGCCACGGACCGAACAAGAGAGGCGATTATTCCCGGAACTACCCAATGTTTTTCCTCCGCGTTGATAATTCCCCTTCGGTACGAGTAAGAAAGGAAATTGCGATTTGTCGATACCCGAGCTTTCACCAAAAACGGACGATCGACCGTTTAATAATTAATTTAGCTACTTTCGAAGCACCCTCGATCGTAACTTCAACTTCGCAGACATCGAATGGGAAAATTGCTCGTCGATAGTAATTTAAAAAGTAATTTTTGTTCCGTAATATTGAAAGGGATTGGAGGTCTGAGTTCTCGCGGAGTATTCGACCGCCTAACTGCAAAGCCGGGGGATCCAGGAGCGCGTTCTAATTGTCGAGGAAACAGAAAAGAACAAGGGATAACACTTTCAGCGACGCTGCGAGCAACGAAGAGGAATCTGGAGAGGAAGTTCGCCTCGGAATGAAAACAATGCCCGATTCTTCCCTTTTCACCCGACGTTTGCGCCACTTACACCACGATGCGGATAGGTCGTAATAGCGGGCTTCAAATTAAAAATTTCACCGAGCCGTACGAAAGGAACCCGTGGAATTTTCTACCCGGGAACTGTACGCGAGAGGCGAAAAGCGTGAAGCCACGAGAAACCCGAAAAAACGGCCATTTCCAGCTGCGCGGTGTTTCGAGGCGTTTTTAAATCCGGCGAAAAAATGAACGTATCACCATAGATAAATGCTCGGTGTCGCAGCGAGCGGGATGATCGATCAATTAACAAGGCGGAACAATTTATCTTCGACGGGTATTTTTCACTCGTCGCGTTATTTAACGAGAAGAAGCGTATTATTAACTGGCGCGGAAAATCAGAACGTTCGCTAACAATGAACTGTTAAAATTTTAACGAAACGATTGTCGCTAAATGGCTCGCTGAAAAATTAAAATCCGCGGGGCGGCGAAGAAATCGATCGTAGCGATACAAAGAGGAAATGAACCCGACGAAAAATCAACGGTTAGGAAGTTAACGAACTAGTCTTGAAATTAGCTTCGCGAAGAATCGCTTCCACTTCGGCCGACAATTGCTAAATAAGAGAGTCGTTTCTTTCATCGGAAGAAGAGAAACTTAACGGTGTGCAAAAGCTGATATTTCATAAAAATGCATCGTCTGTTCGAAGTGTACGTAACCGATCCCTGAACCGAATAATCGTCCCTGGTACAATTTCAAAAGAAAACGAAGCGCCGTTTAATTATTTCCGTGAAAAAGAGACGGTATCGACTCGAAATAAACGGAGATAAAATTGGAAATCGAGTGGAACGAATTTTCCAGCAATCGATATTACTGGCAACCGTATTAACTGGCGAGTTCTTCCGGGGATGTTAAAATTCATAGTACCGAAATACTCCGACGGAGGAATTCTGCATGAATTATCATAACGGAATACTATAACTATATTTATTACGAGCAAGAGGATATTACAGGAAGGCAGCTCTATTTCTTCGTGTATTATTAAATTATGCGACGCTAAATTGCAGATTAAGGAATATTCCACGCAACCCCTTGAACCTAATTCCAATAAATATTCGACTCGAAGCCGCGTTCGAGGACTTACATGGAAGCGTAAAAAACTAAATGAAAGAAAGAAATAGATTTCCATCCGAGTTTCCCCTAAAGTCCGTCCTTTATTTTCGCTTCTCGTTCTATCCTGGAACATTTTTATGGAAATTTCGTATTACGGTCTTTTTATATCCCCCCCTCCGGTCTCCATGTTGCTATAAATCACTGTCAAGTACCTGCAGCGAGTACCTTCGTGCGAGAAAAGAGCGTATCCAGGACCCCGTGAGTCTCGATTCCATCGATACGGGGAAAAAGTAAGGATGGAAAAACCGAGGTAGGGGAAAAAGTCGCGAAGCGAGCGTACAAATGCGAATTCCTTGTAGAACCGGGAAAGCTTCCTTACAATGCCAGATCGGCGGATCTACCCGCAGCGATCTTCCAGCCGCGATTAAAATTCATCCGACGCGAGTACCAGTAACGAGCGTGTCAGACTTGCGGTCAACCTCCGAACAATCGTTAGTCGAATAGCGTAATTAGCTGTACCTGCGCGCTGCTCGCGGTTTCCCGCGCCAAAACGAACAAACCGATCGAAAATTATCGAAGATCTCCCTTCCCTAGACGATGAACAGGAGTTTTTCCTTTCCTGCGGCGAACCGAAGTCAGCGAACGGCGGAAGTTTCGCTGAGAAAATTTTAAGGACTTTTCTTTTACTTTTCTTTAGACAGTATCGACTAAAAAGATCTTTAACTATGGACTGAACTAAGAAATGACTTCATGTCGGCTAACGATGACAAAGAAAAGAGACGAAACCTCCTTGTATGTCGTACTTGAGCGTTCGAAACTCGTCGAAATGTTCACGGGGGCTTCTGTTTGCGAGCAAACCAGTGGCAATGGGGGATAAATAGTCGGGTAAATGCGATCGCGTATCGTTGCACTTGGTCCGATAATTGCCATCGATTATCCAGTCCAATGATCTCGCAATCGGCGTAATTAGCATCGATGGCAGGAAAGGAAGACAAAAAGAACGAGACTGGAGAAAATGATCGGGTCCGTTATACAGGGTATCCCGCTTGAAACCACCTTACTACCTTCGTTCATTCGAATAATAAAAGATATCGGGGACTATTATTTCTGGAATTATTCGTATGTAAGAATATATACGTGCCTATATTATTACGACCCTCGTCCACGAGCTATCAAAGACGTACGATGGTGTTCCGTTCTTATTCGAACACCTTGTATTTTTCTTCCTTCCTACTTCGTCAGTGTGTTTTCTCCGAGTATCGATCTCCTGAACGTTTCTTCCATTGCAACGGCTTTTTTCTCTCTCCGGCTTTCATCCCCGCCTATAAATCACTGTCAGAACGACTGGACGAAATGTATCTTCCCTTCAGAATAGGATTTTTGGTTTCGAGGTCGGTGGCGTCGATGGCGCGCGAAAGAATGGTGGAAAAAGATGGCCGATGCCGCCGCCCCTTTGTCGCGTTTATTTCGACTTATCCTTCGAACGAATTCCGTTCCATCGACGGAATCGGTAATTTTAGGAATTGCAACAACGCGTTCCGCGGTTAACCCAACGGTGGATGCAACAATTTTGTCTGCCACGGTTCGAACGACGCCTATAAATCTGCCCTGCCCAATTTTCCGCCGGCAATATTTTATCCCGCGTCTTTCTTCCTTTGTCGGCGCGGTCGTTCTCCCAATTGCGCGGTCTACGTAATTGTTATTCGTACCGGAGGAATTCGGAAAATTATGCAGAACGTATTCTGTCTCGTTGGTCGGAAATTAGAGAGAAAATCGAGGAACGTTCGAGACTCGAACGAACTCGTCCTGGGTAGATTATTATTAAAACGTTCTTAAAACATGTTGACTCTGACTCGCGGAACCGACTTGAGCGGTCGATCGAGGCCGCTAAAGCAATGTCAAAACCTACTCGACCTTCTTACCGAGTTATAGCCATTTTCGTGCCCCGGCAATTCTTAACCTTTTAACTGCTGCGCTCGAGCACGAACGACAATCGAAGCAAATTTTATTTCGGAATGACGAATAAAAATTTCAGCTTCCAGTTTACTTTTCATACGAACGTTAAAATCCGTTAAGAAACCCTTTAAACCGATTTTCTGGCGAGCAAAGCCCCGGGTTGAAATCTATTTCGTACACGAGCCCGACGTTTGTGCTTTGGATCGATATAATTAAACTTCGTTCCGGTTGTTTAAAGACCAGATGGATGAATATAATAAATTGCACGAATCGTTGGAAGAAGTTCCATTAGATGTTGCACGTCGCGTGTGATTTATGCATGATGGTGCCCCGTCCCATTTCACCCAGACAGTTCCTGAACGAACGATTTTCTAACGGATGGATAGATCCGGCAAGACCTATTACCTGCTCGTTCGCTAAACTTAAATTCGCTTCAGCTTACAAACGTTTGCTTTGTTCGACTCGTAACGCGAGCGTTGAGAAGACTTTGAAACGAATCCGAGAAAATATTTAGGATATTCGAGACACCATCGAAATGGGTTTTCTCGTAATAATTAGGTATCTAGCCACCGAAACGTTTCGTATCGCGAGAGAGTATGGCTTTTTCCTTGTTTTCTCTGGACGATATCGATAATAGGAAGCGGCAGACACCGATAAGCCGGACGTTTCGAAGCGACACGATCCTACGGAAACGATTGCCGGGCCCACAATCCCTGTTTAACGACGGACACACTCGATCTAGAAATTTCCGAGATTGAAACAACGCTCGTGACCGCAGACGGTCGATCTCTGTACACAGCATACAGCTACATAACTGCCAGTTTCAGCCGCGATATGACGCGCCATGAATAAGTCTCCAACCGCTCTTGTTGGGCCGACATTGTCAGCAGGTAGCTTTCAACGGTTCTGCAACGCTCGTTATTGACGGTCCGTCTCTGCTGCTCGTTATGACGCGCGTAATGAGAACGTCGAAATTCAGACTGATCCCTTTTAACACCCCACTCGCTCGTCATTCCTCTAATTCGCCGTGAATATCTGTGCGAGTCGGTTCGATGCGTCAACTCGTACCTATCGGAACGAGCTACCGAACCATTTTGTCCTGCGCAACCGTCTCCAACGGGAATTAATTAATTTGGCCGTTCATCGACTGTTAAACTTGACTAAAATCGCCCTTGATCGCCGCTACGCTTTTAAACAAACCAAACACGAAACCGATATCTTCTCTTTTTACTATATTTTACCGTTTCTCGATCCTTTTCCATGAAATAAAAACAAATTGCCGCGAACAAGAACCGGAGTTGAATGTGCAGAGAGTTGAAAAAGCGAATCGATCGATCCCCGTCTGATTCGAGAACGTCTCGGGTCAAGCTTCATTGTGTCGCAATAATCGAGACCGAATATAGGTACGATCGTTAATACTCATTATCTCCTCGCTTATCCATACTCTCGAGCGAAGTGGTTGAACCGACCCAGAGAGCTCGACCTCGTGGCACATTTTCGCGTTCGGTTCGCAAGGCGGCCGAGCTCTTGAAAAGCGAAGTCGCATTCCGACGTCTCCCGCTGTCGCAGAATAGAAACTCGCGCCACCGTCCCGCTCGCTATACAGTAATTAAAGTAATGAGGGATAAACCGCCCGAGGAGACTCGTAATTTATCCGCGGCTGTTTCTCCCCGACAAGCTCGTTACTGCAGATCGACTTTGTGCCGAGCAAGTTTGTCTCGAACCCGACGAATAGAGCCAACAATACCTCGACCTACCCCCTCTTCCTGCGAATCTCACGTCCAACTTCCTTTGCTAGATCTTCCCCCTGTACTTCTTTTCGAGCCTTCCAAATTCTAGGGCTGACGTTTCTACGTTTTTTTTCGAACGAGCCTCGTGTCAGGGTCAAAGGCAACGAATTGAAACTCTTTCAGTTTCGAAATGGAACTTACTTCCGTTTCTTACGTTTCTAGACCGCGAGTCGAGGCCGATTTCTACCTGTGCAACCTACTTTAACGAGGCTCGATTTACGCGTTACGAAATGCACGTCAAGCTAAAGAATATTGCCTTTGTGGGAGTCGAAGGAACGAGAGGAAAGCATCCCTTGCAATCCCCCTGAAAATGTAATTTTGTACCCGTTAACGTACTGCTCTTAATTTCCTCGTATATTGCAAACAAAACTTACGACGGGGAGAAGCGTGAAAAAGATTATTCGTAATAGATTGAACTTTCTCCGGAGAATTACGCGCGGGAAAATTACTCGGGTAATATGGAATACGTGAAGTATGCGAAAGGGATCTTATAAAAGTTTCGAGCAGCTTTCTAATTTAAACTCCGCAGCTTCTCGGAGTTCATTAAAACCCGATGAAAATGTTTATGTAAATAACGATCATGGACGTTGGAAAGTCCTTTCAGCGAGCGGCAGAACGCCCGTTTCGGTAAACTATCGACGGTAAAGGGCTTTACCGACGCTGCGGAGAGAATAAAGTCTGCAAACTATACGAATAGTATAAATATAAGTGCCGTGAAATAACAGCACCGTTCCCTTTCGACGAATGGTTCTGATTGAAGATTTTTGCAAACTGGTGAAATATGCATTCGAGGCAAGCATCTTTGAAAAACCGTTTTGCGTTGTGATTGTTTCAGGACACCGACGGGCCTGGAGGACGTGAGCAAATACCCGGAGCTTTTCGCGGAGCTGTTAGCGCGAGGCTGGTCGGAGAAAGACATTCAGAAGCTGGCGGGTCTCAATCTCATTCGCGTGTTCAAGGCCGTGGAGAAGGTGAATCATTCTCGACGTAATTTAGACCGTATTTCTTTCGAGCGAAGAACCGCGACCACGTTAAAAATAGTCCCGACGACGTCGCGTCCGGTCGTTTCTGACGCGAAATAACCGATGACCGGGAGGAACCGGGTTAGCCGAGTCGACCAATATCGGATTTAATAAAGCGCACAAATCATGCATCCGCCGGTGCATCGTCGAGCGAGACGGCTGGACCGCGTACACTCGCCGACGATTTTTGTTCCCTTGGATTCCTGCCAATCCCAGAACCAGCTGGCTCGATCCACCACCTACTCAAACCACCGTCCCTCTTCCATGATTTGTACCCATCCGTACGACCTGTGTGCGTCCACGTGCACGTATAGGCTGCACCACGTACACCACCGGAATGGTTCGTTCCTCTCGCGACGCGCGAGCCTGCCACGTGTTAACGTTTATCCCCGTTTCTCGAAGCGAAAGCCAGCCAATAGAAAACTAGGAAGTAACTGCGCTATTTGTTAGAATAGACGAAATAGTAACGGATCTCGGTATCGCGATCGTAAATCTCTGCACAGATCAGATTTTGCCTAAGCGGCGGGCGGAGTCGCTGGCAGCCTTCTGGATCGGACAAGCGGACGAATAATAATTCGTATCGCGTCGTGACACTGCACTTACAACCCGCGGTCTCCGCGCGGGAACATTAATTTTAAACTTTCCTGGCGCGACTCGGTTGTCCGTCGTTTCACCGCCGCGTCTTTTTACCGGCCCGTCGGCGACCCGTCGTAAAATATCCATTTGGCAGCGAAATCAAAAACAGACGTCGCCGCGAGGACATTCGGACTGTGTCCGAGTGTGCTTTAACAAGATATTACTCGAATTACACCGAGCCGGTCGTAACGCGCTGAATTACGCGTACAAATAGCGCCGGGTGTTTGATGACCCTCGACATGCCCATCACTGAAATTACAGCGATAATTTAATCGCGGCTTGGAGATGCAACGAAACACGCCCGCGAAACTGCGTTCGTTCGCACGCTAAAGTCATGGAAACCGTCGTACGACACTCGTTCATTTAGTCGGTGCTATAATTTTCCTACTTCGATACAAATTGATAGATTTGTGTATTTGTCCCGTTGCTCTGCTAACTTTTTGAAATTTTCTTGAAATCATCCTGATGGGAGCGCGAAAATGAGTGCTAGTTTCCGGGGGAAAACACGTTATCGGTATAGAAGCCAGACGATACCGAAAGACAATCGAAATTCGTATCTCTAAAGACCGGCTGAAGCTCCGAGTACGTCTTACCTGGGATACACCTGCGCGTTTCTATCCGCTTTGCAGGTCCATTCGGGGCGTAAGGAGCGAGCCTTTGAACAATTTTAATTCTTACCCTCGTTAGAAACCTCGGTTCCCGACTGCTCGTTACCGGAAACGGGGAACGTTGTAATTGTTAAAACAATAGACCAGTCTACCGAGCACCGGGTAAAACGATGATGGAACTCTCTGCCGGCGGAATTGAATTTCGACACTGTTCCTCGCGGAGGATGAAATTCCAGGACACCCGGGTTCGCGTACACTTTTTTTTCTGCCTTCGAAAGACCCTTACGATGAAAAATCGACGGGATCGAATATTTGCATAATCACCGCGGACGAAATAAAGACCGACGAAAAATTCAAATACCGGCGCGAATTTAATCGCGCTCGAAATAAAATGACGATACGTTTCGTTAAAAATGTTCAGAATTTATGGACAAGATCTTGGGTAGATCGTCGGTGCGTCGCGTCCGTTAACATTTTAATTTCCCCGATGACTTCTCGGGGCGTTTCGCGACCGTGAGATTGAGGGGTTGGAAAAAGATTCAACTTAAAGATAAAACGCGTACGCGGACAAATAGAGAACGCATTACAGCCGAGGCATTCGTAATGTCGTTGGACAATGCTTTATCTCGACGTTCCGCGAGACACGAAACGCGAAAGCGACAATAAAGGCGGATTTGATTAGAGGAGCCGGAATCGCCGGGCGTAAGTCACGGTCTCGTCTTTCTTCCAGCTTAGAACGCTGCACACGACACCCCTTCAACGTGCTCGTTTTAATTGGATATTTCATCAAGCAGAGTATAGACGTTTCCTTCCGACATAATTCCTTTAACGCGCCGTGTCTTTCTTGCCTTTCTATCTGTACGTCGCAAAGCTGCTCCAAGATTATTATCAACGTTTGTTCAAATTATTAAGTAGAAATCGACGACACAAAGCTCTCTAAGAGAAGACGGCTATGAAAGAGAGGACGATCGCTCCCGATGGGAACGCGGACCGAGCCGTTCCGCGATTAAAAAGCAAAAACACAAGCAGGTTAGAAAAAAAGAGAGGCGTTCGGAAAAAAGTTGTGAACATCGGTTACGCGTTCGCCTAGCGTCGAAAGCTTCGGGCCGGACCGTAATGGCCGTGGAAGGTTAATGGGCTTACCGAAAATTGATGGCGGCTGTGCAGGGTCGCATGAAATACGTGCACCACGAACTTTTTCCCCTGGCGGTCGACGCGCGGCCGCTTTACCGCCACGCAACCTCTCTCATGCATTCCCTTTTTCCCTTCGACCGACGATCGTCGAGCGTGATTTTTCCTGAGAATATTCGTGACGCCATGTGCATCGTACGAGCTCGGCCAACCCCCCTCGTGCGACCCTCTCTGCCTCGATCGTCCGAGCTTTCAGGAACTCGAACCACCGTGAAAATTGATTGACTTTTTCCCTGCATCTCAAATATCGAGTCCGCGACGGGCTATCGGTTCCGACATATCGGTCCCCGGTTATGAAAATTATCAAACTCGACGGGACATTCTTTTATTCTGACACGAAGGACGGTTCTGTATGTGAAAATCGACTTGCACTACGTTGCAAGTAGAAAGTGAGATCGATGGTCGGACGCGTCAGCCAAAGCGTAGTGTATTTCACTTGATTCTGGTAAATTTTCGAGAAAAGGGAAAATGACGATTTGTATTCTTCGCTTTCCCTTTAGAAGCAAATTCGAGAAACCTAAACTTGCCAATGTTTCAAGAAGACTACCGTATATAAGAGTGGAATACTTCTGTTCGCAGGTTCGCGACGACATGGCCGAGGAGGGGGTGGAACCCATGGAGGAGGAAATCCCGCACGAGGATATAATCGGGCGGAATTACTGCCGTTACAGCGTGAAACGACTGATGGCTCCGTAGCCGGTGCCAATCCACTCCGAGGACGCTCGAAGAATAAAATAGAGAGGGCCGGGAAGAGGAACGAGGGACGCCGGGAATCGAATCAGCGAGAACGAAACTCTCTTTAGAGCCCTTCGATTCGTGAACTCTCGTATTCGAGGGCGAGGGTTCGGCCACCTTCTCCCTTCGGCCCTTTTCGCCGTGACTCTCGCTCGCGTACGTAAGTAGATAGGCAAACTCGATTTTCTCCGACGACTCCCGGACTCGTGGGAACAAAGTGTCCGACGAAGATCCATGGATCGTCGCGCGAAATCTGACGCGAGCATCGGACCTTTACAAAAACAGAGTGGACGTTTCGAAGACCAACAAGTTCGTTTGAATGTATCGAGGAACTTTAGAGCCGGGCGTACTCGATGTTTAATCTGCACTCAACGATTTCTTCGTCGATGCTGGAACCAAAACTGTTCTAGTCAATAATAATTATATTATACATATAAATATATACATAAATATGTACACATAACGATCGATCTCGCAAACGACTGACACCGATCGTTACGGCGGTGGCTACTATGATCTTTTGCGGATGACTGCTAAATGTGTCGTAATGTATGTGCGTATGAGTGCCTGCGTGTGAGAGGAATAACGATGCTTGTACATATGGTACCTGAAGTCGAAGAACATATTGATCCTCCCTGTGGAGCAGACCGATCCGACGATGTTTCTCCGCCGGAAGTCGTAAATCGAAACGTTGAACTTTTCCGGCAAGTCGACGTCTACCTTCGAACGATTAGGAAACGAGACGGTCGGTTTGTTCGAACGGTATCGGAGGTGATTAGATATGAAATTAGACTCGAAGGAGCTAAACGTTGACACGGTCAACGCGTACTGCGAGAACTTTCCTACGATTTTGCACGATCGAAGTTGAACGTCGACACCGCGCGTCGACGTATATCACGTTTATGATTCGATGATTTTGGAACGCGTCTCGTTAATCGTAACCACCACCTTTAAGACTCGTATACATACATATACTACTAAACGCACCAGATAATATCCTTTCTTAACGATGTTTTTACACTAAACTTTTAATATAGTCAAAATTTTAATGTCCGCGTTCGCGCGTCGAACCGTGAAGAAAAAAACGAAAAAAAAAAAATGAAACATACGAAGTCATCAACTTCCCTCGTGCCGATACATCACCCGGTCGTTGGTTTTACGAGAAATCGCGCGATCACTTACGTTCCGATTAAAGAAAAAAAAAAAAAAGAAAAAATAAGAAAAAAATACCAAAAAAGACTTCTTTCGTATCGATCGATTGTAACGACCATTCGTGTGCAAGTAGTCGTGGTCAACGAAGCGCCAGCCTCGTGAGTATATCCTAACATTTCAAACATTACTGATACCCGAAATAAAATCGACGACGAATCGAAATACAGTCGTTGTTAAACTAAACCTGTCTACTAGTGTGTTCTTCTTTCAGCGTTCCACCCCTTTTCCTTACGATATTGGAAATTAAAGGACCGCTTTAAGTTCCGATTTCACAAATTATTTTGTCCAATCGACGAAAAGATAAGCGAGATATTCGAAGTGGTAAAATTACTTTGGGACAGTGTATAGGCGATCTCGCGATAGGTTCGACCGCAAACGATTGAACGTAAGGTTAAGAGAAAACGGTATCGAAACAGGAAGTCGATGCTCGGCCATGCGGGGCAAGTAAGCCGGCGAAGTAAACCCAGGGATGTAAATTGAGCGCATCGATCCTCCAATTTACAAGTAACAAAGGGCACCTCGCTCGTTGCTGATTCACACAGCGCGTAGGAACCAATCAAGTGCAAAGCACACGCGTTGAAATCGTAAACGCCGGCCGGTTTATTGGCAATTCGGGATCATACGTGCTGTAAATTCCGGCCGAACTTGATTAGATTGTCGTTCCGTGGATTTGATAATGGCCGGATTACCTAATCGAATAAATCAATCCGAGCCTTTTGCAAAATTTCACGCAAAGCTGCAAACACGAAAATCCACCGGACGGAATTTATTTTCGACGTCTGTTTTCTATCAGCCCCGCACCCGTTGCTTGCTCTCGGCGTTCGACATTGATTCGAATAAAATTCTCTATATAAATATGCATTTCCTCTTATCTGGGATCTTCGATTTCAAAAAATCGAGGCTCCATCGTACCCCGAATGTCACCGTGAAGTAACGAGGCGAAAGCATAATCAGATTCGCGGTCCTCCGAGGGGTAACGAGTTTTCGCAATCTAATCATTTAAAAGTGGCCGAATAAAAGTGTCGCTGGGAAGTTTGAAAGGAGGGAAGAAAAAAAGGAGAACGAGCCACGAAGGACGAAAGGTGTGCCGGAGGAGCAACGGTCTTTCAACGATAATTAATTTCTCGACGTTCCTGGGTCCCTAACGAGCTCGTTAAAAAGTTTTGACACGTTTAGAGCCGGAAATTCGGCCGTGCAAAAACCATTTAAGCTTCTTCCCTCGACGGACCGAAGCTGAATGAGCAGTCGGTTTCCTCGTTCGACCTTCTGTCGCAAACGAACTGCCTTCCTCTGTCCTACCTTTTTCCCTCTATTTCCGGTCGCTTCACACTATCGCTTTCGCGTGGATTTCCCTCGTTCCAAACCGACTCTAATCTTTGCTCGTCAACGCTGAGTCTTCGTCGATTACTCCGGACGCCGGAAAAAGGTTCGAAAATAAGGCGGAAAAGAAATATATACCTCGCTGTAAAGAGATTGGAGGAGGAAGAAGAATCTCGGAAGAACGCCGGGAAAGTGGGAAGCCGGCTAAGGCACTCTCATTGTTTTCCTCTCAACGATATATCGGCCAGGTTTACGGTTGAAACTCGACCTATAAATTTCATCCTTTAATACGACTTATCATACGAAACCTGCGACCCGTATCTCCGGTTACCTCGAATTCCTAGTCCTGGCGGACACAAGTTCCGAACAACGCGAAAACTGCCGCTAAATCGTAAGTCGGGGAAAGGGTTCACGCTGTGAAACGTTATGGGTATCCTCGAGTCGCGACGAAAGAGATACTAACTCTTTGACTGTGTGTATACGCTCTCGTCTGTCTCACGTTTGTTTCTCCACGAGACGTAAACTGGTAGCATTGGGATTGTTTTTAAAAGACGCGATAATACTTTGGTGCTTGTAATTTGAGGAGGAAATAATGTTGGATTAGAAAATTCCGCGAGGCAGTCGCGTGCATCGAACGGAGAGGATCGAATATCGGTGGCCTGAATTCCGATCCTCGAACGATACCTCTAGGAAGATGAGGTATCAAGTGGAAGACGAGAGTAATGGCCGCGTGTAAGAGGAAAAGGTGCCGGAGGGGATGCGGTGTCTAGCAGAGGGTGAATTAGTGCCGCATTTGCGCGGCACTCGGTGCACAGACCGGGGGTCAGTCTCGGCTTATGCGTACAATCGGAAATCAAATATCGGTCGCAAGGTTGATCGTAACCCCGGTCCCGACGCGGCTGCCTTTACGATTCGGTCAATCGTAAACCCTGATGGCCAGTCGTATCCAGGCCCGGCTGGACGGCCGACCTGCACGAGAAACCACTTCCAGCCCCGAAACCACAAGACCTCGGCAACGTCTGACAGAATCCCCTCTTCGTGAATATTATATCGCGGCTGTGATTGAATCAATGCCGGACTCGGTGCGACTCGATTCGATACGAGTCGACACGGTCCAACGAACAAGGACTCGCGTTACACAAATAGGCTTCTCCGACGGCAGTTTCGATTCTCACAGCCGCTATATCGTAGCAGTAATTTTTTAAACGGAATTTATTCGATGCAATTTCGAAGGATAACTCTGCCTTTGCACGCGGCGATTCGATCTCCAGCAGTGGGATTTCGTGGCCCGTTAAATCGCCGACGAGCCTTAAATTATCGAGAACGCTCGCGTGCGCTCACGTCCGTCTCGCGTTGCTTCTTCGCCAAACTCGAGAACGCTCGAGCGGAATACTGCTCAAGAATTTATATATCGCTGACGAACACGGCCGTTCCGACGGTCAAACGGGAATATACGAAACTGGATGCTCGCATAAAATATGTACAGAACGCGAGCCTTTGAGAATTAAAGTTACTCCCGTCCGTTACGGCTTTCCGTCTCGTCCGGGGGTTTGTTTCGCGCGTAAACTGTGGCCGGTCCTCTCTGCTTTCGTGATTTCGAATTAGGGGAGGATTTCCTAACGTGTACCGGTCACCTAAATCCTACCTCGCCCTGATCGTTACGATCAAAATAGACAAAGTTACATTACGTGATAGTAAAACGCGAACCACGGCGTAAAAGAAAAAATCTGATTGCCAGAATCCGACTGTTTAAATTGTATCTTCTATACCGAGTTGTAAAGTTTAATATGTAATAGCGGTCGTAAGTCTTTAAAACTTTAACGATATTTTCAAACAGTCTCCGGGCGAAACTAAAAGCGGGCAGACGCAAAGCATTCCGGAATGAAGTCGCAAAGTTTTTAAACGTCGTTCTTCGTTTCCTGCGGCTACGCGACGACGCATACAAACCAGGCTGCCTTGCGGATTTCAGGAACAAAACTGTCCGTCATTGAATATATTTCGGTGTACATAAATAAAGGCCTAAATTTGTTTGACGCTCTACGGAAACGTTGTTTGATACTTTTTATATATTATTAGAATTTCTACATATTCTTCACTAAAATACGCGTTGTTTGTAATACGTCTTTTGCAATATCGAGACAGCAACTTGTTTTCCGTGAATTTCAGATCAATGACACTTACCAGACATTGATCCTCTCTTGGAAAAACTGCATTAGCTGTTCCTGGGCCTTCGCAGCATCGACGGGGCTACGATATTCTTGAAAATCCCTGAAATAAATTGTTACATTTATGTAATAATGTACATCGAAGTGGATCGTATAAACTAAAGCCTGTAAAAGGTAAAACTTGATAAGATATACAATCGAGTTGTTCGAGCGACCTATTTTAAGTGCTCTAGCGTGTACGTAAATACACGTAATAAAATCTAATAATAATGGAGAAAATAAGACGCGTCGAACGTAAGGAAAAAAACAATTTACAGAGCACCGCGGTTATATTCGTTCAGCAACGTTAAACCGTCTTAATTCGTTCGAAGCGTATAGAAAATTCTCATCCAGCCGAAACACCTTAAATTCATAACGTGACCGAATTACGTCCGCGCGAACGCGGAAACCGACCGCAGCACGGTGGACGACCATTGTCCGGGATTATCGAATTACCATACACTTTTTCTTCGTGCCACCGTGTCCTCCCGGCGAGAGTGGCTTTTATTTATTTTTTTTGTTTCCTCCGCGACGCGTACAGGTACGTGCACGAACTCGGTGGGCAGCACGCGTCCGCCGGGAACGCGTTTTTCCACGGAAACGAAATTGAATGGATGCAGTTTATGGGGCGAGGAATCGTGTGTCGTTATCCGGTTCACGGGAGACGCGTGCACACGCGGACTTCCGCTTTTACGAGCCTCATAACCGCGGCTAATGTCCGCCCAGATGGCTTCGCAACGCGCGATACGCCGGAGGCGTATCAAGAATGCTTCTCCGAAAGTAGATCCACTCGAGACCTCGCGCTTGTTGAAAACGCCCTGGCGATCGCAAGAATGGGGAAATTTGCATTACTTTATAAGGGAATATAAACGAGACGTACCGAGTCGAGTGCCAATTGAAATAATCACCGGAATATGAAAATTCGTTCTATTTTTCATACTCAGGGTGTTAAACGACTCGAGGACTTCCAGGGCAAATAAAATCGGTTCGTTCTAAGTTTCACAATTTTAACAGCCACTGGGCACAGCGAAAATGTATGTATCGCGTTGCAAAGCGTATGGTCGAGGAGCACCATATTGCATCGTTGCAATGAACGCCAGAATTTCAACAACACGCGGCTATACGTACGTACGGCAGTCGATTTCAAAGTTTAGGCAACGAATTATAACGTTTGCACGGTAGTGGATGTTGCCCGGGGTTGGAGGAATTCCCCCGTTACATCTGGGGACCCCGGTGGTCTTCCCAGCGATGTTTGTTGCATTGTAGTTTGAATTCTCGCTTCTAACTTCTGCCTACCGAGCCCTCGTATCGAGCTTTCGACGTATGGAGAGGAGCAGGGACCATGAAAAGAGGTTTGGTTTCGTCCTAGGTTCTCCGGAAGTCTCTTTAGCAAGTCTACCCGGAGGGAACAAGAAGCTATACTTTGGAACTTGTGCTTGTACTAACGAGTGCTTTCGAGAAAATCGGAAATCCCCGGGCGTTCGAAACCTAACGCCGTCGACAGGCCTGCCGGAGTAAAATTGTTTCGAAATTTCGAGGAATCTCGCGAAACTAAATAAATTCAGCGGACGTAGTTCAAATAACACGCGCTACATCGTAGAACGTCTGAAATAATAACTTATTCTTAGCATGCGGGTCAACCGGTTTCTTTAAATTATTTTTGCCGACGCTATAACCGTATGACCTGGCCTGATTCGTTGAAAAAAGCACGGGTCAGCAGTTCGATATCCTGCGCTTTGCGTATGTTCGCGGGCACGACGCGGGGAACAATTAGCGGGCCGCGGATCGCTTTTTTCCTCCCCATTTTTGTCCTTTTATCGAACACCGGTAACATCGTTTCGACGCGCTGAATAATATCAACGGGAGATCGCGTTGCAATCTGCGTAAATCGAAACAGAGATTTCGTTGTCGGGCGTATTTCACGGCGTAATATGCAAATTCGTATTCCGCGGGAACATAACGCGAAATCGCTTTCAAAAATATATGATTTTAAAATGACACGCCCGGCTATATACATATAACATCCGCCAAAGCGTTGCAAGAGCGCGGGGGACGGAGGAGGATATATAAAAAAATAACTGCCCGAGCGAAAGGATGACCGAAGGGGTGTGTGGCGTTTGTTTAAAAATAATTACTTTATTCGCACTTTAGACTTTTAGCGGGTGTATATACATTCATGAACAAGTTCACGCGATATCAGTAGTCTGTACAAATTGTAGCTTTCACAGTATAAAAAAATACCGTTTGTTTTACACGTAAGACGGTCGCCGCGAGGGATCGCGGTTGCAGGCGTGTGTCACGAAGAAAATCAAAACGCTCCTGGCGAGTAATTTTCCGAAAACAAGGCCTAAATCGCTCGACGAGCAACGCACAGAGCGCAACATTTACGACACGCGACTACCGTTCTTTCTTCGTCGTAGCGTCAACAGGGATATATTAACCGTTTTATGCCGTAATCTCTAACAATCGTATGTGGAAAGGTACGTGTAGTAAAATATAGCGCGTGGAAAAAAATATAGCTATCTGTTAGAGGATCACGTACACCCGGGATATCATCGTATCGTCGCTATATAACTTTTGAATAAAAAATTTCTCCGCTCAACTATAAAGGAACAAATTCTCTGAATATAAAAATATACTTAATTTCGATCCATTAAGCGGCCAACAAACGGATTTTCTCTGAGGGAAAAAACGCATTTGGCAACTAACTCGTAACGGGCAACCCTGTGCCGCGAGTATAGATCGCTACATTCGTTCCATCCGCTATACCGCACAAAGAAATGTGCATTTAGCGCCAGGCTCGTGCTCGATATCGATCCTGGCGGCTTATCGTCGCGTTCAACGATAATAAAATAACATACTTTTAACTTAACGGACAACAAGCAACAAGGGATACGAACAATTTTCGTGATACCAGCGCACAAAAAGAAATATAGAATTAAAACTCAATAATACAACCGGAGAAACTGCAACGTCGAATTAGTTTCTCCGTCGAACGAGGGGGGGGAAATAGGAGGACGCGTACAACGACTAAATCAAGCGGGGGTGTATCGATGATGTGATCGATCGTCGACCGTCGGGGTGAAACATCGGACAGAACACGAACGAGCCGTCGAGAACCGTCGGGGGGGTTGGTGCGTTCGATCCCCGAATATTCTTACGTTGGCGAAGAATAACAGGGAACGGGAGGAAAGTAAGCTCGTGACTACCGACTACGATCGTGGCGAAAGCGTAAACATTGAAAAGAATCGCGGAGCTCGACGTTCGTGACTCGTGTTTCACTCTCGTCGGTTAGTTGACCTTCTCCTGCTTCAGGGAGCCGAACTCCTCCAGCATCGGCTGCAGCCCTTCGGGAACACGTCCTGCGTCCAATTCCTGAACCCACTGTCGATACTGAAACGAAAATAACGAATGATTACCCGGCTCCTGGCCGACAGCGACTCGACACCGTCGTTCATTATACTCAGAGACTGGAGAGAGGTTCTGGATAGGCTGGTTTCGTTCTTCTTGCGATCGTCGAGGAACAGGAAGGTGCATGGTAAATACGGTGCAGAGGATGTTAATCGATGGAAACTGGAAACAAGGTGCAGGCGATAACGAGCTCGAAGTGACTTTAAGCGCTGCTTCGAATCGTCGATGAACTATAGAGACTACACTCGACCAATTCAACCTTTTCTCTAAAAATTATAATCACTTCTGGACTCAAGCTGGTCAAGATAGTTCGTAAAAATCGAACCAAAAAGATATCTTTAAAGTAGAGCAATTTCAATGACGACTACGTTCTACCCACCTTCCTGGTGTTTCTAGGATTTTTCATTGGTCGATGGTCGGGGAATGAAAAGCAAACAGAAGCTCCGAGCGTACGTAAGACGCTGGCGCGCGGATGGAAATTTTTAAACCGCGAGATGTTTAAAATCGTTCGCAACATTTGTATCCCCGACGTAACCGGGTCGGTGGTATTCTCGCGAGCAGAAAAGCGCTTTGGAAAGAACAGTTACGGGGCTTTTCCAATGTTTTCGCGGCGCTGGGCATCTTTCGTTGGCGATCTAGACGCCAGAACTAATTCCGGAAAGTTCGAGGCATGCGCCGGTACTTCGAACAAGAAAACGGGGAGGAAAAAAAGGAAACGTGTTTACGGTCGTTCGTAAAAAGTTTGCATCGGGGTGTTCTTCTCGGTTCCTTTCGAATTTACGATATTAACGCGTGGCTCTAGCGAACTGGCGCAGTTTCGTCAAAAACAAGTACGATTTTGTAGGATAATAGACGACAGGACAGGATACGATGATACGCATTCGTAAGAAGGATAATGGTGGACCGAATCAGAAAAGGATAAGGCTCTGATGGGAATTTTAAACGGGACTCACCATTTCCAGTTCTTTTCGGAGGGCGAGCACAGCCTTTTCCCGATCGGCTACCAGTTCTTCCAGATATTGGTACCTCAGTTTCTTTCGAGCACGACACTCCCGCGCACTCTGCCGACTTCGTTCTGTAAAAATAAACGCCAATTCGATATCTATATTTCTAATAGTTTACGAGTTGGATTTTCTTCTATATTATAAGTTCGAGTATCAGTATAAATGTTTACGAACCACGGACGGGCATGTCGCGTTAACGATTAAAAATTTATTTGGTCGTTTTGCTTTTGGAAAGCTTGGGAGTCTGACAGCCGCGAGATAAGCAAAACGTTTTCTCGCGCGACTTTGCTCGTCCAGGTTCCGCGTGAAAGGCAAACATTACGGTGCTTCTCGGCGTCGATCCGCGCGCCGCAAGAAATATAAGAGTATAATGCTCGACGGCTGTAAAAATTCGCGGCTTAATGGCACCCGGAAACGCGTTAAAGCCGTGTTCGCACGCGCTAGTTTACAACTGCAGCGAACTATCGCGTAGCAGAGAGTATTAAAACAAACGGATCGATTCAATTTGCAACATTGTTTCGAACGAGTAAACTAAATTTGAAGATCACAAACGTCGGAACTCGACGGGTTCGCGATACATTATTTACGCAAAGGCGAGGCAATAAATGCTACACGCTGTTCGAACCCTCTCAATGGTTCACCGTGGCAAGCAATTAAGCATAAGCGGCCCTGGTAAGTTGCAGCGGAAACCACCGATGCAACGAGACAACGCGAAACCGTACTATGGACGTTATTAACAAATTGAACTGGGAATTTCTATCCCCCGCGCTCGGGCGGATCTCGCGCCGAGCGACTTTCATTTATTTCCCCGCATTGGAAAAACCTCCGCGAGGAAAACCGTTTCCAGTCGTTACGCGAGATGAAACGAGCTGGCGCGGCGATGGATCAAAGCAAAACCTACGCTCGGGCTCAACGACGACGGAGTTCGAAACTTAATTTACAGGTAGAGAAACGCGGCATTATCGTGGGTGGGGGGGAGAGCAGCAACAATTTTTATAATAAAACTCTCGTTACCGTTGCGGAGCCGTTCGATCCAAGAGAAACGAGCATCCGGAAAACGTTACCGCCCCGGTTTCAGTCATCCGGGAAGTCCCATAAATCCCCGCGCAAAAATTACAAACGTAGGCGAAAGATGCGTCCCCGCGTCGGGCGATAAATTCGCGCGGCTCAAAATGTGACGCGCGATTTTTCATGGCGACGAGCATCGGGCCTGACGAATGGGCAAACGCGTCGAACAGCGGGATTTTTTGGGCCGCGGGTTTTGCGAAGACGACTGATAAAATGGACATTGCGTGACCGCGGATGCGATAAAACTGTTTCACGCGGCGATAAACGTTTATTTTTTGAAAGGTATCCCATGGGAGATACTCGAGACGGAATTCTATCGGGAAGACATTCGGCTGGGCGGACGGGACGGAAACGCGGCGCATCGGGACCTAGCACTGGCAGATAATCGATTCTGGCTCGACGCGGAAATTAAGCGTCCTCTCGGAGCCAATTTGCAGCCCCATTTAGGATCCGCTCGGACAGCCGACATCTGGACGAAATCGAAGAACTCCATCGGGCTTGAATAAAGTCTCGTCGACCGCGCGAAAACAGAATCCCGGGATCCCGCGGGCAACGAAATTACGGAAAATTGAATTTACGATCGTTCCGCGCACGCGCTCGCGGACGGGCCAAAGAGAAACCGAACGATCGCTGGGACGGCAGAAATTGCGACCGACGCGATACAAATAGAAGAACCCGCGGATATACGCGAGGGAATATCGCGGCGCGTCGATTCCCGGCCGAAGAAAAGCGTGAAAAGCTCGCGAGCCGGCCGGCCAAAATGGAGAATTACGGAATCGCGTAGAACAAGAATATAAGAGGAATCGCGCGGGTCGGCCGCAGAGCCGGGAATAGCGCCGGATTGCGGACGCGAAAGTTCGTTGGTCGTAAAACGAGCTTAAAGCCCGCCGATCCCCTGCCTCCCGTATACCCCACGAGGCTTTCTACCGACGTTAGAAACCAGTTCGAATGTACAGGAGGAGCAGCTAGGGAGATAATGTACACGCTATAGGAACGTCGAATCCGCAGGAGGATAGTTTCGTCTGCACGATTTCCTCGGGTGTTCTTAGGTAAACGCAGCATCCGTGGAGAGCCGATGTGCCATCGAAACTGGAAAAGGGGACCTGCCCACCGTGGTCGGAATTTCATTTAAAACCTCGATTCGAGAATCGAACGGGCGAAATGAGAATTTAATTGCGAGATCGCATGGGCGGAGTTCAACGCGGATAGTATTGGTCGCGTGGAAAAATTCTAGCTTTTGGTCGATAAATCGCTCGAGATATGGTACCGCGGTAGCATAGCAAGACAAACTTTTTCGCAGTGGCTCTATTTCAAGAAGATGGAGTGTTTGCGCGAAAAGACGAGAGACGTAGCAACGCGATTGCTCTGGATAGCCTCGGAGGATTTGAACGGGCAGTTGATTCTAACTATACTGCTGCGAGGTAACCCCTTAAGAACCCAAGACGTTACGCGACAAACCTCGTGTTTGCTCCGTTTCTATGTTTCTCAAACGCTTGAAGGGTCGCCAAACATCCCCAGAGAAGGTATCCATAGTCTACATGGAAAAAAATTGCATCAAAATGTCAAAGAAGAGAATCGGGACGGTTTACATAGAAGAACCGAGGATTACTAAGTCTATGAGAATGTTGGGCTGCTAATTATGGGTCTTTACCCCTTGGTATGATCTAAAAGAGGTAGCTTGTGATCTCTGGATCATACCGGTTTAAGACCAGAAGGGTCTTCAGCGTCTTCAGACGCGTTATTGCGAAATACGCGTGAATTTTTTGGAGTTTGGCGAACCTCGGGGCACCAGCATCGAGAGCATCGGTCCTGCCCGCCAAGTTGACCCGGCATAAATATTCATTTCGCGCCGGAGATAAATATTCCTACGGTGTCACGAGTCCCGGAGCTCTCGGATGGACGCTCGACGCTCCGCAATCAACGGACGTGTATTTCTCACGTGGCTCGTGTAACGCGCCCAGTTACATCTTGTTTTCACGCTTAATACGCCGCAAGAGATGCAATGGTACCAACTAACCTACATCTTAAACCTTTCGCTACGCCAGAATTAGCCGACGGTCGCTTTTATGATACATAGATCCGCCTAAGCCTACCGCCTAAATTATTTGAGAACCGTTCGTTATACAGAGAAACGTTTCGAGCAAAAATTGCAGAGCACACGCTGCTATTTGGAAATCAATAACAATGCATGAAATTTCACTATGCTACCGGAAAGCGTATGTAAATCTGAATAAACAACCGTAACAAGATTTCGAGCACCTTTTACATCGAACATTTTTTAACGAGTACCTAGGTGAGTTCCAGTTTTTGAACCCGCAATATTGTTTTTATAGCTCTTCACTCAGTTTTACATACTCGTGTTTTAAACGGGCTTCGAAACTGGCTGTAAAATCGTGTAGACCGATTCGTGACGCCGCCCTATACACGTTTCAGTATTGTAACCGAATCTCCGCCATAGACACTGAATACAATTTAACTCTTTTCGATCGATTTGGCCGCCACGCATGTCGATGACAGCTTCCACTAGTTTTGGCATTCGGGACGTCAGTTTTTCTATTGTTTCTGTTGATATTTATTTCCATTGGTCTTGCAGATGTTCCCCGCAGATCGGATTCGGGTTTTCGACAGGTTTGTCGTATTTTTCGGTCTAGCTCGTTCCACGTGGTTTGGCCTAAACGCTTCTATTTAAAAAAGACTAGCTTTTACTACTGTACGGAGACGAATCGCGACATAAATCACGGCAACGGTAATTTAAAACGCCTCGTTCTGCATATTCGATCGCGCTACCAAGGTAAATACGTAAAGTATGCAAATTATAAGAATATGTTATGAAGATTTTTACCGAGCTTGGCTTTCATGTCCGTCCTCTCGGACGCCTTCCTTCCAGGCTTCCGTCCCCTCTTTCCCCCCTCTTTCCGATCACCGCGAGATCCCTCCTGAAACGAAAATAAATTATTGTAAAATTGCAGCCGCCCTCGTTTATTTATGAAACTTAGCCTACGACGCGCAACATCGCCGCGCGAATCATTACAATAGGGAAAAGACCATGTTTTCCGAGCGTTTATCGAGCCCAAGATTATCAGAAGCGAAGCTTCGTACGTCTTTTCTCGGTTCGAATCGTCGAAAAGGGAACCACCTGGAAGATCTGCGAGCGGATGATACGAGTCCCCACGGCGACGTAATACCGCCTGATCCGTTGTTTCTTCCTGCCACTGATTAGTATCTCGAACGAGTTGCTCCGAGCTGCTCGCGGAGAACAACGGCCAGCGTTTTCAATGGAAACAAAAGCTTATCGAGTCGCGAGGAGCAACTCGGCTAAGTCCGCTAAAAGCTCCGGCGCGAAACCTCGACGTGGCTGAAACGCCGAGACCGTTTACCCGTCGACAGATTTCCACCTACGGTCGTCGTCAAACCACCCAGACGAACAGTCCACTTTCCCGATCGTAACTCGCTGGGAATCATACCGCGAGACTCGTCCTTAAAAGACCATAATAACGTTCCTCGTCGACGAGAATCGAGAGACTCAGAGTGTTTCGTGAATACGGGCAAACATTCGGTTAATTTAAGAATTCGAAGGTTGCTTTTAAACCGGGAGTCGAAGCGCGTAAAAATCTAGCAACGAAGAGAGACTTTGTACCACGTAGCGAAACGAATCTTTGGGCCACGAGTTAGGATAAAGTGAATTGACCGCCCAAGGCCATACGAGAGGCCATCCCCCCCTGCCGTGGCGTTGGTTATTCCGCACGGACTTTGGAGGCAATCAAGGAAACCCAATTCGAAGCGACGGAATGCAAGTTTATCTGGGAACTGCCGCGGCGCATCAACTCGCCGGGGCTCTGATATGGCGGAAAACGTTTCGAGCGTGGGCGCGGGGAGGGCACGTTACCGAACGTTATGCGCCCCGGTGTTCGCTGGAAAGTTTTACTCTTTAAAGACGGCGGTGGTCTTCCGCGCGAGCACCGTGAGAGACCCCTTACGCTGCAAGTTGCCTCGTCGCTTTTAAGGTTCGCGTATCCGTGCGGAGGATCCCTTACTCTCGATTACGAGCGCACTAGAGAGTCCCACTCTTGATGGCGACTCTTGAGAGGCTGGCTCTCGAGTAATGAGATGTTACAAAACGACGGGACGAGTTTAAAGTCCTCGCATCGAGGGTGGTCGAAAAATCCTTCACCGGTTGAAGACTACGATTACGTCCCATCTCTTTTAAGCATCCTGTACAATCTCGAAGCCACGTTACAAAGAGTATTTACGGAGTCCTTTCCGCAAAGAATAGAAGGGAAAAAGAGAGTTCATCGAGGACGACTAGGCTAGTGTCTAGGCGTGTCTGGGCTGACCTGCACGAGCCGTTAAAATTCAGACGGCCGCGGGCTTAGCTATGCATGTGCTCACGGGTGACAAAATACAAATTCTGCCCCCTTTTAGGGGAGCTGTTTACCTTCGGCCCTATCCTTTCCTCTCAATCCTATCTGGTATTAAATCTCCTCGAATCCTCTTTCTTTCCCTCGACCGCTTCCGACGTCTATGCCCCGACGCCTTTAACCTCTCGTCGTCTATCTCGCTCCGGCCTATCGTTCCCCGTCCTGCTTTCCCGGCCCGTCGCGTGTCTTTGTGGATAGAAAATGGAATTGATGTCTCGCGACGAGCAAGGAGATACAGGGACGGGGGGCCAGGATCACGCTCGTCTAAGGATTCACCGCCTGTGTACGAGCCTCGCGTCCCATCATCCGAGCCAAAAACATAATTAACTCGCGAGAAGCGATGTCAGCGAACCAAGACACGAGTTCAATGGAAAAATTTGATTAAGCTCCTTTGCTACCGCCTCCGCCTGGAGATCTGGGTCGCGTACAACATTCCGGAAAGATGGAAAACCCGACCAACGACCAACCTACGATACCTGCATTCTTAAGAATTAAACCTGGGGTGGTTCGCGAGCCTTTCGTTCTATGTCAAAGGGGAATCGTTCGATGGTATAATCGAGAATTGGATTAATCTCGGTCCGGTAACTCGTGTTCTTTCCGTCGCGGGGGGGATAACGGGGCCGAAGAATCACGAAGGTTGCGGGAGAAATTCCATCGACACGGCGAGGCCGGATGTTCGGTGGGACGGGACCGCGGCAGAGGCCGGAAGCTCGTAAACCACACTGTACACAATCGAGCACAGAGGCTTTGTAGTTTCGCAGTTCGTCGGGCGATTCCCTCTTATGCGTATTTCTCGGTCGCAAAGGCCGGGTTACGCGGCTCGATTCGCGTCAAGGCTCTCCGCTTCGCTCCGCTCCGAGCGTGATTCAATCTAACGGCGTGAACGCACTCCTCTCGTCGCCTCGACACACACGCGGGCCTTGGTTTATAGTATAAACCTTATACGAACCGAACGAGCGACGCGTGATCGACCGATCGTACAGTATCAAAGGTGGTCTCGCAACGCGACCTGCTCATCCGCGGGAAGAGCAACCTAAATTAACGACGGAAGCTGTCGCGACGCTGAGCGTACCCGATATATTATTTCGTCTTCGAGGTACTGGGAGATTATTTCCATGTTCGAAGGAATATTTTTCCGTTCCGCGGGCATACGTGGCCCGAAGCGAACCAACCGAGTCTTTGAAGCAATTGAAATTAGCCGCGTTAATGAGACCACCGTGTCGAGGTCGGAACTCGCGAGAAGTAGGGGAGAAACAGGATGAGGGGGAGGGTTAGTCGCGTCAAAATTGACGAGGTCGGTCTCGGGGAGCGAGAGGGTAAGAGGGCAAGAAAAGGAGAGAAGCAGGAAGATTTTGGTGTAATAGAAGGAACGGAGGAGTAGTGGAAAGGTGGCTAACGCGTTTAAGAGAGTCTCGCTAAGGGGCTCCAGGAGTAATTCCGGTAATAATGAAAATTAATTGAACGAAGAGTTCTTTCCGTGAAATTTGAGAGCGGTCTGGGCTCTCGCGGGAAAGAGACGGAACCCGTGGACCAACCGGTGGAAGGAGAATGGTTTCTCCGTACCTTTGTAATTAAAGGCTTTCCACTCGAAAGGTGATCGTCCGGAAGTTGTTCCGCGAACTAGAAGGAACGAAGCACGCGTTAGCGACCGGTAACTTGGGTCGGTGGAGCTCCAAGTAACTTCCACGGAAGATGTCGTTTAAACTTTGATCAACGGCGACGCGCGACGCGCCAATATCGTTTTCGAGAAATCTGAAATTCGACGGTGCCGAACGCAACGAGAGAAGAGCGCAGATAGGAACTTTTTATTCGTTGGCTGTTCGAATGACGCGCGACTTCGATCGGGGCCGAACGCGTTATTTTTATATATCGCGCGAGACGAATTTCGCAAGGTATCGATCGGTGGCCATCGACGATCGATCCAAAAGGAAAGAGTCTTACGTTGGAAATTACGATTACGGTTGCTCGGGCATCAGTTCGAAATTAGTAGCCAATTAAAGGGAAATCGGTTATCGGAGTTTTCAATTCCCAAAGTGTTAGAAACACGGACCGATCGAGGCGCAGACGGCAGCCATTTTCGTCCATTAGCATCGAGCAAATGTACCGCGCGCGGTTACCGGATCCAACGAGCGTACAACCTTATTATTACCTCCGTTCGTCGAAGGTTGCACGATCCTCCGCTCTTCCGACTGTGACCTAAAAACCGAGTCTCGCTAGAGGAAGTCGCGACTTGGACTCTACGAAGGGAATCGACGAATCTAAACGAACCGTAGAAACATGGAAAATTGTTGCTTTCGTGAATCGTTTGCCCCGTTTGAATTTTATTTAAAAATTTAGCGGTTCGATCGAACAAACGTCGTTCCAGAAATATCTGACTGTCACGAACCTTCTGTTCGTTGTACACCGCTGTGCACGGGGTATAACTGGTTGCATGTAAATCCCGGGAATCGGGGTCCGTGCAAAAGCACAGCGTTTCCGGCGAATGCCGTGAATCCGCTCCGAAAACGCAAGGGCGTACGCGTCGTCGAGGATCGCGCGGCCGTGCACGAACAAGCGCGATAGAAAAAAACAACAAAAACGCGAGGAAAAAGCGCGAAACGCGCGCGTTAAAGCCTCCTTGGGCTTTTCCACGTCATTGTTCGCCAGAGACTAACGCGACCGGATGAGGGAAGGAGAAAGAGGAAGAGGCGAAGGGAGCCTCGTAATTTTCCAACCGCGCCACCGACGCCACTACGTAACAATGAACGAAGGGAGGTTCCGCGAATACAATGGCAAAGCGCCACCACGAAATCATCGTGCCATCCCCCCACTATCCGCCGACGCCGCGAAAATCCCGTAAATTTACCTGGACGCCGGTTTTCCGCGCGAAACTCGCCACCGCGGGCCGAACTTTCCATTTAGAATCTAATATATCCGGCGCGGCTCGATGCCGAGACGCGATCGACAATCGTTGGCCACAAAATGATCCACAAGAATTCTAAACTGTTCGAGAAAGTATCGATGTTCCCTTACGAACGAATCTATGCGAATAAAATTGATTTTTCGTCTTTTCAACTACTGGTCCGTCCATTTGCTCGCTGGTTCTACTTGCGCTCGACGCCCGCAAACATCGATGGTTACAAGGTTCTATCCGTTTTCTGTCAATCCGACTATCTTCTAGCTAGTTAGAACGAGTTAATACAGGTGATATTGTGTCACGGTTAACATTTACCAGCGCCAACGCGGGCAGGAATAATGAGTAATGGACACGTCAGCCAAGTTAGAGCCGTGTGGCCACATCGAGTGTCATAACTTTCGTCGGAGCTTCTCCGAGGTGAATGACCCCGTGCAACCAGTGACTTTTGGCTTTACTCGCGTGCACAGGTGATACAAACATTCGAACAACAGGGTTTCGTATTCTAGTATGTCGCGAAACGTGTTCCCATAAACTGAACGAACAAATACTGTCCACGTTTTAATTCGTGCGTCGTCGTTTTGTCCGCGAATATTTCGCAGTTTCCGCGTCGTTCGATTCAACGCAAGACATCCGATTCGCGTATCGTCGCGACGTCGTGCAAACAGGAGTTACGAGCTCGCGAAATTCCCTCGAATTACGATATAGAGGTTGGAACACGGTTCAACTATTTAGCCGCGACCTCGCGGCGGCTATTCAGCCGAGGTGCGCGTGGCAAGGGGAATACGCCAGTTTACACCGATATCTCAATTCAATTTAACGATAACAACTTTGTACAAATATTTGAGTACGCGGCGCGAGCGCGCGACGTCGAGAATCGCGGCGTACGTCGCGACGCCCGCCAGAAATGTTCTGGCAGAAATGCCTACGCGACAAATTTTTGAACGGGCATGCCGACTCTGCGATGCAGTCGGTTCGTTCGTGTCTAAAAGTAGAATTTATACGAACGGTACGGCTCGAGAGGAAGGTATCGAAAGCGAACGCGACCTCGTATCGATAAGCAACCGTCGTAAGAGATTTACGAGACGCGGAGCATCTGTCGCGACGAGCAATCGACGTTCCGACACGCCTCGATTGCTTCGCAAAACTTATCAGCATCCCGATGGAACGCAATCGCCGCAAGATGATTACGAAATACCCTTTCCCGCGCCATTCATCCCCCCAACGATCGAATTCACCCTTAAAATACACCTAAATTCACGAATTAAAGCGTACCGTATTGCAGGAGGACTACCTGTAATTTAGATACTCTGCGAATAATATAAAATACTTTCAAGACAGATTTATACGAATTACCAACCGTGAATACGCGACCAACATTATGAAAATTGCGTAGCTTCTTTGGTTCCCTCGACTCTGAACCGCGTCTCCCTTGCCAAGAATCTCCCTTCCGCGCTCTACCCTTTCCTCCCGTCGACGCGGAGGAATATTTTCACGGATTCGTGGACACGTTGATATCGCGTACGCTATTCGATGGTTATCAGCGTCTGGGAGTAAACAAGGAGGCTCCTCCGTTACGAGTTTCTCGTTGCCGAGTGAATACGCTTGGGACCAAAATGTGTGTTGCGAACACGAGCCGGTAATTGGGCGTAAATTTCGGGTACACGATGGCTAACAAGCTAGAAACAGCGAAATAAACGGGGCCCGCCACTTATCCGGCGAGATAATAGGAAGATGCGAGATCCTATCGAGTCCTCCCGATCTTTCTAATACCGTACGCGAGCTAGATCGCACGTAGCGATTACGTTTGCCAAAGTGAATCGAAGCTGCAGTGAATTCGACAAAACGGAACACCCGTGCTTGGATTGCAATTGATTATTACGCGAACCCATAAAGTTTTCTATTACACAAAATTTTGATAAATAATATATTAATATTTCAATGTAAAGCTTTTCGTTCGCAGTATTATTTTATTATAATAATTATAACAGCGACGTTTCCGTAATAAAATGGGGCGGGAGAAAAATCAGGTAAATTACCCAGATGCTGCCATCTAGCGACTTACTTATGTTTTACTCAGAATATAATATAAAACGTAATTCCTCGTAGTTCGTTTTCTATAAAATGATAACAGAACGTAAAAGAGGAACGTAAGATACTAAGGAAAATGTTATTAGTATTAAATAGTTGAGTTGTAAGTTTAATATACTTTTGATAAATAAGTTGAAAGGCAACATTGTCAGAGTTGATCGTTCAGATGACAGTAATTAGGTCCATCACTCTATCCTTATAATTATTACAATGAAATAATATTATTCTCGGTAACAAAAATAACCATTAACCGGATTAATCGTCGCGAACATTAATTAGTAACCTAACTCACATTTGGTGGACTGCATCATAGCCGATGATTAGCTTCGCTTTGATTGCTTCTATCATTCGTTGGTCGTAATTACCGATTACCCCATAATCAAAATCGTCCGTAAGTAAATTTGTTCGATTACAGTTCTCTCGACGTTAACGGCGCAGTGAACTCTATTCGAAGAATCCCTTCGATATAATGCGCTGATCGGTCAAAAAAGAATTATAATTAAAACCTACGTCAAGAAACGAAAAGACGCAAATAGTCGAATCTTGCGATTTAACGATTCGTGTTCGAAAATATGTCGGTAGGCGTCACGAAAATTCGAAAATTCGAAAATGCGTAAAAGACGCGAGCATCGATGCCGCGTTTGATTCACTCGGATGCGTAGTTCGTAAATCACGAGCGAGGGATTAAAGACCGTATAGCAAAAGGAAAACAACTTACGTGAAATCCAACCTCGACCGCTAAACGCAAAAAGCGATTGTCGTCGTTAAGTGAACAGTGCACGACGCAACAAAGTCAGTTCCCTTAAGATAATGCGTATAACGTTAGAATTTTCGCGATCGGGAACATCGTTTTCCCCCGCAATAGACGCGTACCGTTGAATTGCGCAGTGGCGTCGCGTGTAGGCGACCGAGTCTAACTTGGCTACGTATCGTGATCGACCGGCGTTTCATGCGTAATCACGTCGGAATCGTTTCTGCGGGACTCGCGAACTTTAAAATCGTTCTCACACGGTACTGACAACGATTTAGTGATCCAACCGGCGAGAAGGTAAGCGCAATGTTCGTCAAATCGAACGACTATCAACAGGGGCATCGTTCGGAAATGGGCCGCATACGAGACACTTGGAAAACGGATACTATTTCAATGGCTGACTCGAAGCGAACGAACGTAGTCGCGTACGTACAGCGAATACGTTAAAGAAAACTTTCCGAACGATAGAAAAGTGAGTAAAAAGTGTCTATTGAAAACTCACCGGTGATACGCGACGTGCGAACTGTGTCAACTGCGCAGTTGTTGGGCTACAACGCAGCGTTCAGGGACGTGGCGCTCGGTACCGGTGCCCGAACAGTCCGACCGGTAATTAAACGATCGCCACGACGCCTAGCGGCGAAGTACGGAACAGTTGCCCGCCCAATTTCTCTGACGGCCATTATCGACCAAATCGACTAATCGATGAACTGTATTTAACGCCTCGTGGTCACGCCATTTTGTATACTTTTCTAACTTGTTTCAAGTACTTTAACGTTCGCAATTTGGGCTTGTCGAATAGGAGACATTGCACAGATCCAAATACTCGATTGTTTTACACGATTAATCGACACACTTCCATTTCTTGCCTCGACTCTGTTCTTACATAGTATTAAGTATTCTGAAATAATCAAGATTAGGGAAACAAATATAACATAGATAACAATTGTCGTGTACGAGTCAGATATGATATTACTTTCACAATACTATCTGCATGGCACAACTTATTTATTCTTTGTATGTTGCTTGATTTGAAATGGACAAAGAACAATCCTCTTACTCTTGTATTATTGTAACACATCGTTGTTCATTGTATCAGTGTATCGCCAATGTTAACAAATCGAGTTACGTGCGTCTCAGACTTAACCTTACAAGGAAATTGTAGACTCGACTCCTGTCACTAGTCCGACAAAGTGTGAACGTTGAATGCCATCTTTTATCGAAGCAGACTCCCCTATATTCCGCGCCTGATGATCACATGATCGTTTAAAGACAGTGGCGTCATCGTTCGATGATCAAAAGAGCGAAAACTATCAAGTGGCGCGACCAGTCGACAAAAATGCGAAAGAACAAGCAAAACAGCTCATCGAACGCCAACTTAACTATACGAACACCACGAAATGACACACACAACAACAGCCACCCTTCCGTTGTGCCTGACTCCTCCCCCCCCACTCCGCGCTATCTCGCCAAATCCATGATCCTACAGGTCCTGATATCAAACGAAAGAAACAATACCCTTCACCGTCAATTCGACAACAACAAACATTCTAAAAAAAAGCACACATTGTACGCGCGCCCTCTTTGCACAATATGGTGTAATCAGTTTAACGCGCGTAATCTCGTTGCCTGCTTTTCATGGCAGTTTGCATCACGCGAGCACGTTGTCACTTCGTCGTTTGCACAAATTGTCGACTCACCGTTTCGTTTTCTACGATACACATTGGCTCCACCTCCATGTCTCCCTTAGATTTACTTCTTTTCGTCGTTGCCAAAAAGAATCCTTCGTGACACGCTTTGTTCGATCGTGATTCCGTCTTATCTTCGACACTTTGCAACAACGTGTGTCTGTTTACAAACACTGCAAGGTCACACAGCAGACCCCCAGACCTCTGACTATCGAGTATTTCCTATTACGTCACGAATCAGCAAACGTCGCGCCACTTACGGCGAAACAGTGAAATATTTTGAACTCGTCAAAATTGATCGCTGATAAACGTTTACGTTCCCTTTTGACAATTTAATCGTTCAAAATTTTCCTTCCTTCTTAAACAGCATGTTTCTGGAAGAAACACGACCACATGATTGAAATCTTTTTTTAACGTGAAATATTCTCGTATATACTAATATTTGGCATCGAAATTATTAGTACTGATTCCACGCGATGAACGAAAAGACGCATTTAGATCGTGAATATTTCTGGATTGTGCGAACTTGCACCAACGCTTTCAACGTTTACTTAACCATGCTTTATTTTACCATGTACGATAACGCCATAAATATGCAACCAAGTACTACCCGTAAGTTATGAACGACCTCGTTACAAAAAGATTCTTTTATAAAGTTTAAGGTCGTTATAAGGTTATCAACGTTTAAAGTATCATTTCTCACAATAAACGTAATAAAGTTGCAGAGGCTATATCGCATCCATTATTTATGGGAGTAGTGGATCTTCTGGTGTATGCTATATTACAATAAATATTTAAAATGAGCATGGAAATTAATCATGTACATCAAAATACAATCTTATTGTTTATAATATAAATACCTACGTTTTAAATTTTGTGTTAATCCATCTTTGAATTTAATCGTGCTTCTATCTACATTTTACAACACGAAATTATATTTTGAAATTTTTGATATTCGCTATTAAAGCTATTTTTATATAGTTATTTAACTTTTCATTATCCTACTGTAATTTATCCGATAATAAAGATAATATAGTCCTTGTTCACGATCTTTTTACCGAATCGGAAAATATCTGTAAATAAATATATATTATCACTAGTTGTAAATACAACTAAAACGCTACAATTTTAATAATAATATAAAATAATGTAGGAATCTTCTTTGCAGTAATCTCTGGGTAAAGTATCTACGTTATAATGCGAATCTCTATTCAGCAGTTCATAACCATTATTACAATGATAACCGTTAATACTGAACAGGACAATAAAACAGTACTTTAATTTTCCTCGCTTTTTACTCTTCTATACACATAATAATTACATAATATAGAGTATGTACCAGCAATAAAATCCATCTCTCGTTTCTTGATATATTTACACGTTATACTTGCTAAAAACATTTATAATACATAAGCTGACCTATAGCAACTTACTTTTTTTCTATTGTCATACGTTCCCTGATGTGCTTTGTCTTGTTCAGTGTAGGAAACATCGTACCCATTCTCCCTAAACGAGTCCCCCAATTTTTGTCCATTATAACCGCCGCTTATTCCCCAACGACCTATGGTCCCCTTCATCGTCACTATCCTCGCAAAAGCTCAAGTTTTTTTCCCCGACTCATCCTTATGACAATTGTTGCTAAAAACCGGTCCCGCGATGTCCTTTTTTTTGTAATATTCACCGCCGTTCCGTTCAAAACATTTCTTTTTTCCAATCGATAGCTTCAGATTCGCCAAAAACTATGTCTTTCTTTGTCGAACTTTTTACACGCCATATTCTGATTGGTTTAGGTATCTCTTTTCATCTCGCATGCGTTCATGAAATCTTACGTGCCCTTCGATACGACATTCGACAAAGAAGATCCCGATTGTTTGTCAATCTGCGAAGCAATCGGAATCAACGACGCAAAAGCTGCATTCAATGAAAACGAGATGTACGGTGTTCCAAATAAAAGGTGACATTTTCGAAGGTAACTTTTATTAACATTAACGACGAAATTTTTTCGACTGACTATCGTTGGACGGTTCGCCTTATCTTAAATAGAAGTAAATTAATCTTGTACGAACGACAAAACTAAACGTATCCTGTGTACACAAATCATAAGATTCGTCGGAGGAACAATGAATTAGCATGACCTTCTAGACTCGTCGGTTATTCGCACTAAAGAATAAGCCCGCCAATCGATGAAGCGAAACAAAACTAATCGACGACTGATCCGAAGTATTTAAAATTCCGTAATACTATTGTTACAAGAATAGATTGCTGTTTTCACCCAGACATTTTATTCTATTTAAAACACTGTTTAATGCATTAAAACTTACAAATAATACAAAAAAAAAAAAAAAAAAATAATAATTTGAAATAAATTATTCCTACGAATATATTTACAACTTACGAATACTATTAGAGGCACCTCTACAGTTTAGTTGTCAAAGGTAAAGGTAAGAAATATATAGATATTGTAAAAAATATTCAAAACTTATATTTTACGTCGTCTTCCTGGAAATTCTCGGTGCAGAATTGTACAAGACGTTTTAATCATACTCTAAGTATCGTAAAGGGTAAGATGGGAGGGGAGAAGAAAGTATGCGGTATATAATACATCACTAATTGTCATCTGTTTCAAAAATATTGTAGCTCTTTCTAAGTAGTACTTTCACGCACATTCTCTCTTACATTCTGGTTATTAAAATTGATCATTCGACCAAACAGTATACCAAGCTATACAGTTTTGCAACTTTTTTTAAACACAATTCAATAATCATGATAATTTTTTTCCCAATCGAAATGCCTAAAAAATTTCAGTAAACGCTTGAATATATTAAATACACGTTTCACTTTATTTTTCGTTTTGCTTTTATAAATAGCGTAAAGATGTACAGTATTTCGTCATTCTACTGCAATTCATCTGATGTTTTTTTTTCTCTTTTCTTTTTGTTTTCAAATAATAAAATTACCGTTCTATTATTTGCGTATACTATGTTACGCTTTGTAAGCGAATTAGAAAACGTTCATCTGTCTATGAATTAACAATTTGGAAGGCAATGATTTTAATTTCCGAATACACGTCGAAAAATATAGATACCGTCCTTTCTTTGCGTTACATCACAAAATCATAATTACTGTCGGTGCACAAAAGGAACACCGTCCGAAACATTTGTTCTCGCACGGTGATTCAGGGTGGCCGGTTATTGTTTGGAACCCATAAAAAAAAATAAATGTTTACTAACAGCGATAGCCCGCCCCCTCCCATACCGTGGCAGTATGTAGAAAATAAAAGAAGCACATCAGAATTAGGTTCCTCGATAAAACATGTTTCCATTGGCACACACACCACCGTATACCAATAACTTTTTTAATTGCTGATAGACTCGTATGAAAATTATCAAGCAGCGATACGCCGTCAAATAAAAAATGGATCTTCATAGACCACCCCATTCTCGGCGATGAATGGACGCTAACTTATTTACAAGTGTCTATACGATTAACATACCTCCATAATTTATACTTACTCTGTACACGCGCATTTTCAAATTATTACGAATGAATTAATATATTTACATAATTTGGCGGTTTGTTAAAATACTTAAAAATTGACGCGATAAAATACTATCGCGGTACGCTGTCAGCTGCGTATTGATTTTTGGTCATCGATAATGACACGGCTTGCGATAATGGAAGAAATTCTGATCAGTCCCACACATTTGTTTACATGAAAAATAATATTGATTTACTGAAAAACTCCGCCCTATAATTCTCTATGAAATTATTATCCGTTCACTGGTTTTTTTCTCGTTCTGCTCAATATAATTTGCATCTATAGTGCACGTATTTTGTCAGTGATAATATTATTACCATTGCGACTCTTCTTTAGACTTTAGTTTAACATCTTTTTTAAGATATAAGCGTGAATATTCGTCCGGATAAGTAGTACACTGCACACTCGACTTGTTAGGTTTTTGCATGTTAGTGTTAACTGGCGAGTTACTCGGGGAGTACTTCATTTCTTGTAACTCTTGGAGTTCTTTTAATGATCTCATCACCATTTGCACATCTTTTTCTTGTTCCGTTGGTTGTACTACATTGCTTACAGGTTCTTCTAGTATAATTCCAGCATCTTTTCGTTTATCCGTTATTCCTCGCGGAATTACATCATCGTTAATGATTTGACTCAAATAATTAGTAGCAGCAATTGTCTCCTCGTTTTGTCTTTGCTCCTGTTCTTCCTTCGTAAGCAATGGTTGCTGTTGCTGCTGCATAGGCACTATGTCTGAGTTAATATGCCCAACTTGTTTCTCCAGTACCTTTGGATCCTTCTTCCTTTTCTTAACATCGTGTGATTTGTGCTTAATTTCCACGCACCGTTCCCGCTTTTTATCTCTTTTTTCAGTCTTATTAACCACATCGGTATCTTTGTCCTCTATTTTTTTATCATTTTTGGTTTCATTATTTTCATTCAGTAACCTATGCTTTAAGGATATAGGTTTCGAATGTTGTGTTGTTTGATTCGATACAGAATAGTTAGAATGTTGAGACTGTGTACATGAGTATAAAGCTTCCTGTCTGTGTACGGAATGATGTCCACTTTGAGGCACTTCATTTGTATTTGGAAGAACATTCGAAGTTTCAGAATAAGCCGTAATAGAAACTACATCTTTTTTATTTTCATTCACTTTTGTAGACGATTTGTGGAACTCGTTAACCGGAGTAATAGAAAGAGAACTATTAGCTAAATCCATCAAGTTAATTTTTTCTACGTGACATTTAGCTGGCTTTTGAGCCATCAATTGAGCCGTAGGCACAACAGAGATTTTACCTACAGTAGAATTACTAGTAGTAACCGTCGCATTTTCATGATGCTGTGCCGAGTTACAAGCATCCTTATTTTTATCCTTATGTTTTATACTATGTTGTTTCCTTTCGGTATTATCGTTTGACTTTGTTGTTCCTTGTTTTACATAATTTGTAGAATTTTCCGTGGTATTTTGAACTTTAGATACACTTGTTGGAGCTTTTTCTCTTTCCTGAGAGGAGGTGCTATTAATATTTGATGTTTCAATCTTTGCGGTTGAATTGTACACTAGATTTCCCAAAGAACTCGTGGTAGTGCCATTCCCGACCTCTTTCGATTTCTTCGGTTTCTTCTTCGTGCTAAAATCAAACCATTTTAAGGTTAAGAATGATATCACTAGTAAAAGTACTGAATATCCTTAAAACCTAAAATAAATGTGAAACAAGGAAATAAGGAAAAAATTAAGAAATCACCATCGAGTCACCAAGGCTTTAATAATAAATAATAAATAGTATAAATTTCAAACAAATAGTATAATCAATTTAAACAATTTATGCATCAAGATGGAATGATTGGATTATTAAAAAAATCAACTTGGCATTCGTATTACGATAGTATTTAGGATAAATGCATTAGAATGTTTACAAGCGTTTTTCTACAGCTCTATCATTTTTACCCAAGGAGTAGAAAATATAATACTAATCCAACTGAATCACCTCCCTAAAACATAAAATAACCTCAAAGTAGAGCTTCTAATTTACAATAAAAAATATAATTTCCTTGGGCATTATTTACAAAACAAAAAATTAAATGTCAGTTACATTATCAGTTATATTGTACATTATAAATGTTACTTTAAACCATAGCACCCAATTTTTATGTTAAAGCAAAGAAAGAAATTCTTAAAACAAACACAAATATAAAAGCATATTAAATCGTAATTCGTATTAAATTAATACTATTACTTACACAGGTTCCGAGTCGTCAACAAATTTTAATAAAGCATGCGCCGTCATATATCCTTGCGGCCATAATGGTAGTACTTGTCGAAGCAAATACGACCCGACAAAAGTGTACATATTCAATTTTCTTGGTCTTAAGACATTGTAACATTGTCTCCTGGCATTCGCGATTTCGCAAACAAGTTCTCTATAAGACAAAATAAAAACATGGATACATCCATACGAAATTATTATTACTTAATGTGTGAAATTAGTTTTGAAAAATTTACTTTGCTTCCTCGGTCCAAGGGAATCGTTTTTTAGGAATTTTTGCCTTATCTGAATTTTCACAATTGTCATCGTCATCGGAACTCACAGCATCAGCCGGTGATCCTTCCATTTCCCTGAAACGGAGATATTGATCGTAAATAAAAAAAATACTATGCGATCATCAAGGTATTTATAACACGGCGATGACAAAGAATGATGATTAGCAATTATTATAATTAAATTTCATGATTTAAGATTTGTTTGTTTAAATATCTATCAAGAATTCCTTCATAAAAATATACATGTGATCGTTAAATTTCAATTCAAGTAAATACGTAATTCTATTATTTGATAAAACAGATGATGCTTATGAAAAATTAAACACTGATACTGATGATAAAAAGCCCCGCAATTTTTCCGGTATCTCTATAAGAATAGTGGCAAATAAATGAGAAAGAAATGGTATTTCGTCTTCTACATATGGGTCGATTCAAATTATTTTCATGTATATGGAACATTGAGATAGCAACAATAAGCATGAATAGAGTAAAGGGAAAAATAAGTAAGACAGACTAAAAAGAAGATAAAGATAAAGAACAACCGGACAGGCGAGAATAGAAAAGGGTTTCCTCTTGCGAGGGGCACCTTACCAACAGTACCGGTATACTATATTCCAGTATAAATGAGGACTAAGAAATAGAAAATTATTTAAGTTCCCATTCAAAATTATGCAGACAAGTAATTTATATTTTAAATCTACAAAAATGATATTTTTAATCTAGATTCGCCTTTGCACATTGTTTTACTAATACAAAAAAAAATGTATGTCCTGTGGAATTCAACAAAATAAATATCGAATAACCAGTCATTTGTGAATAACGAAACGAATATTTCGATAAATACTTACTTTCCTTCGGCGACTTTTTGACATTCATCAAGATATTTGCGCACCACGGATGGCATTATTTTATTGATAACATCTGTTAACCTATAGAAAATATAACATTAACGATTACTGAATTACAATAGTATAGCCCGGAGAAACGTTTTGTAATAGAAATTTATAAGAACGTTACCTTTGCATAAGATCCTTGATTTTATAGTCAAGATCCTGTACATACAATTTCTTTGCCCTATTTTGGAGGGCCATTTTACTACATGGTAAGAATCGCGCTAGATGCCCATATGTTTCTGATCTCAGACTTGTAGAAGAAAGCATTCTCAAATTTTTCTCTAAACTGAAATAGAAATACTAACATTAAATATTTATCTTGCTTTATTGGAAAGTATTGTGAAACAGTTGCTCACCTAAACAATAATGCATTCACCGCTGTATTGAAAAATTTAGTCTTTCCTTCTTTACTATTTTCGGCATGAGCTTTTAATTTATTAACTATTTCTATAACATTCTCTGGAAGGGAATCAGGCAAAGGTGCTCCTTCTTTATCAATATCATCACATTCAGATTCTGTACCTATACATCTAGATTTGCCAGAATCTGTAGTGTCTCTACTTGATTCGTCTTCAATTCTCGCAGCGTTAACTACACTCTCTATTGCATCATCAATATTACTATCTTTACCACCTAATTTTTTTAATTCTAACTTCTTTCCATCAAAACCGTTACTGTTGGATGTCTTTTTTTCAAACTTTTTTATATCAAACTTTTTATCCGACGTACTTTTACTCTTTTGTGTGTCTATTTTATCAGATTTCTTCTTGTCTTCCTGATCCTCTGAAACTAATATTTAAAAATCTTTGAGAACTGTTTTATGCTATTATTATAAGAACGCTATAATTATTGTAAGAATTTGTCTTATTACATATAAATGAACCACCTTCTGCATCTGTAGTTTCACCTTTCTCCTTTCGTCTGTTCGAAGTGTCGCCGTATTGTTGGGAATTTTGCTGATCTTGTAAATTTTGCTGTTTCTTTTTCTTTCTGATAATAGTTTCCTGAGCTTTCTTTTCTCCATTTTCATCTATTTTTTGTTTCTGCAGAAAACAATAACAGTTTTAGGTTTAGCCAACAATGATATACAAAATACTGTAGTATAGCTTCAGTTACTTTTGTTGGTTGATCACCAGTAATATCCTCAGTTTCATCTTCATCTGTTGTGCTAAGAGCTCTTTTTTCTGATCTTTTCGGGCTATCCACATCCTCGGTATCTTCCTCGCTGCTTTCGCTGCTCTCGTCGTCATTGCTATTGTTATTGTTGTTGTTATTATTATTGTGGACCAATACATGTCGATCAGCCGTCCTAAATTCCAGCGCCCCGCAATTAATATAAAAACCTCCATGTGCTGTAGTCACCTCTTCTGGTACAAGTTCATCGTACTAAAAATAATAATATATGCAACATTATATGTAAGAATACAAAAAGTATAATGTTACGTCTTACGTACCGCGTCAGTATTGTCGATGAAAGAATCATTCTCATCATATCCAGCTCCCAGGTCCACATAATCGTCGTATTTATGCCTTTTCCTTCCCGTAGTCGATGTTCCCTGTAACAAACAGATGCATAACGGTGAATAAATTTTCCTAAATATTTTTTAACAAGCATAAATGTAATAAATTATATTTTACGCACATATTTTGCTTCAAATCGTCTTGCCATATCTCGGAGCTTATCATCGTCATCATCGTCGTCAAACGATAGCCCGTTAGTTGCATTTTCTTCGCCTCTCTTCTGCTCTTTCCTACGTTTCTTCTATAAAATAAAATTATCTGTTTATTTCGAGCTAAAAAATAACAATATCGTTTCAAATTGTTAACCAGAAATCACCTACCGACCCATAATGAACATCCGCGCGCTTTACCGGCGACGCATACTTTCACTATTTTATCAAAAATTCAGAAATGGTCCACGTGTTGCGCATGCACGCAATTCATCAACTACATACATGTTTAATTCTCCGATTAATTAAACTCAAATAACACGTGCCAATAGCGGTAAAACCTTGGTCTCGTTTATTTTGTTTCGTATTCTCAATAATGTAAATATCGATACATTAAATTATATCATACTAAAATATTTCATATTCAAACTAAATACATATATCGATTAAAAAAACAGTTTTACATGTTTTCACAATGTACACATCGACAAGTATTTAAAGAAGGAAAAGATATATTGATAAATCGTTATAAGACACGCAAAATGCACAGTTTAAAATGTAAAAAAAATAAGCGAGGATAAACTGATTCAAAAGAGGACATAAGCTGCCCATTGATACCAGGAGCGCATACTACATACGGAACATCGCACCAGCTCTTTCCTTCGAAACGCGCAACTTCTTGCTATCTGCTGCTCTCCTAATACCAGAGACGCTACAATGACCGATTGATCCGACAAAAATTGTCAATAAATACGAGCAATTGCCTTGCTTATTATATGTATATATATAAAAAAAAAAGAAAAACTAAAAAATAAGTCATAAACGAATTATAATCATGTACATTGTCAGCGAAAGTATTTTGTATGAGATATGATAAAATAAAAAAAAGAATACTCATTAACAAATTTGCTTCGTGCTACGTCTTTTTATGTATATGTTATAATTAGTATTTGTAATATGGCACATTAATTATTTTTATTTTGGATTTATAAAACGTTTACAATTTAAAATATAACTGTGCATAAAACGGATTGCGTACACGTGAAAATAAATAAGTCTTTTATAGTGAAATCGCAATTTAATGCGTAATTGAAAGCGTTTAATGTTTATTTATAAATGATTATTTATCGACGAGGTACTCGTTAGAAATACAATTTAAACGAAAAATGATTTTTTATTTAGATCGCATCGACGAAAAGTTTTGCTAAAAGAAACCTAAAACATTATATCGATATGATGCATCGATTATACCGAATCAACCATTAAAAGATAAAAATCGTTGATTCGTCATTGAAACGCATATCAGAAACTTTTAAAAAGAATAAAAACATTGGATACCAACTCACGGTTTTCTCTTAATGTGCGTGAAATCAATTTGTTTCGAACAATAATGATGTTGCTATGTAAATTAGAAACAATATAAAAGTATATAAAAAGACGTAATCTGGCATTGCTCTAAATATACAACATAAGTTTAGCCTAATGTGCAACGTGTTACACAAACACCAATAAGTGAGCGTTCGTTTTGAGTGTATCGATCACAAAATTAAATCGAGATTTCTTCCATACAAATAAGATCATCGTGATAAGACACGCGTAAAGCTGCGGTACGTATCGCAAAAACACTTTAATAAAAGTAGCGTAGTTTTACGAACGCTTGAAAACCATACAAGCGTACGCGCACGAGTAACACTCGCGTAGTTTTCGAGAATTCACAATGCCGGATTACATTGCCTTGTAGCAGTAATTGCATATCTGTTTTCTACATACTGGACAATGAATGTCGTGAAATCAATTATTAAACGTTCGTTCGTAACCAGGTTTCAAAGAAAACTTCTAACAGACGGTGCCTTGTGTAAGCATACGTTGACACGGACATACACCGGCAACGCATTGTGACGTTTCTATTCGATGGCTCCGAATTGATCACACCTTTTTCTACGTTGTCTATAGGCAAACCAACGATACATACCCTGGCAGAAAACGAGATACGTGAATAAGAAAACCATACGTATGGCGAGATGCCTGAATCTCATACGGCAATCGCGACATGACAATTCACCTAAGCGGCGCGCACAAGTTCTCATCGTTTCGTGCATTACGAAAATGGTCGATCCCATTGGAATTTTTGCAGTTTCTTGTCAAAGTATGTACGTGAAGGAAAATCGTAGCCGGTGTTTGCCACGGTTAACGAGATGTTTTGGCAAACGTGACCGTATGGATAGAGGCGTCGTGGGTTTTGTTTTCCTTTTGGTATATGTATTAACGAGTGAAAGGAAGAAACTGACCTCGGCTGATTTGAGGAGCTGTGCATAGTTGAACTCAGGACATGCCTTCTCGTTCGACTCTGGCAGGGTGAGTGTGAAGCGGAAGGAGGGCGCGAGCTGTTTGCCCTTTTCCCCCTTTTTCTCCTTCTTCGCAACGTAGCCCAAGGACTCCGGAAACTCCAAGGTCTGCAAAGGTACCCGTTTAGCCTCTGACATTCCTACATTTGCACCGAACTCAACGTGGATCACGGAAACACTGCGAACACTGCGGCAACAACATGGTCCTTTCTCTTAAACACCGCACCGACACCGCCACTCACATGTCGCCATCTTCGGCTCGACTGTTTTTAGAGTGCGCTGTTGATGCCGCCGCCACACCGTGAACTTAACGCATGCGTCTAACAATGCAAATAACCTTTGGTGCCGTTTACACCAAACAATTCGAATCTTTCATGCGAAAGGAGACTTAATCGTTACAATAAATTAGTAAATATTCCCAAAAATATATAATTACTTTAACGCTATATCGCAGTTTACAATAAAGTTGATTTCGATGGTACATCACTGTTACGATAAATTATTTAATTGTGCCACGATAACAACAAATATGTTCCGTAAAACACCTTAAGCTTGTTCCATTCCAATACTCGGAAGACTAGTTCATTTCTTTCTAATTAAAATTAACCAATAACCGATTCAATTCGCACATATATCATTTATTGTGTCGTCTCGATATAATCTTTACAATTTTTTCTATATAACATATATACAAAAAAGTTACAGATTCTTATACATAATATAATAACCTTATTTTTGTATATAACCAAAATTTCATTTTAAAACTTACATCCATGCCTGCAATGGTAAAATCGGATAAGTTTCACGGGTCATAAATTACTTATTAAAATAGCGATACTCTTAACTTATGTTAAAAAGGCGCTTTAAAACAATGCTCAGTCTAAATTTAAAGTTCCAATGCTAATTTAACCAGGAATATCCTGTTCGTTCGTACAATTTCCTTGTTTGGTTGCAATTTTAATTGCAGAAAATTGCTGACCTAAAATCTTCATCACTTCACCATGCTTTATATTACGTTCTTTCTTTATAATGTTATAATTATCTTTTACGTAACGCGCGAATCCGTTAAGTTCCTTTTTAGGTGTCTGCACTTGTACGGTTCCAGATTTTGTTGTTTTATTTATTAATAATTCAAATTTTCCATAGCAAAGGCCACATCGTTTCTTTTCAGTATCCAATGATTTAGAATGTCTACCAATGCTAAAATGAAATTTTTATTATACACGAGCATTTACGTATAGACAAATAAGTGTATTGCAAAGTATTTTACCTTTGCAAATTTTATGCAAAATATTTTACCTGTATCCACAGCCTATACATTTATACGTGAATTTTGTTTTAATTTTATAATCATGACACCTTCGGATTGGTGGTAGCTCAGGAAATGTCTTTGTTGCTTTATTGGCCCTAAAATGTCACAAATTAAAATAACACTTTATAAACATGAAAATGGCAAACAGTGTTGCTGTAATGTACCATCCTGTCCAAAATGGACCATGACCGTCTGAAACATTATTTATCAACCAAGCTGCTGCATGGCACATTTCATGAATTAAAGTGTCTCGAAGTCTATCTGGCGTGTCTAAAACCTATATAAGAAATTAAGTGCTTAATTTATACCTGAAATATTATTTATTTATTATTTATTTTAATTAAGTGTATACTTTTGTTGCCAGCACTATTCTTGAAGATTTTACGACACCCCCAAGTGTTTTCAAAGATTTCTTATTGTAACAAAAACCAGCACTCCCTCTCATACGGACATTCCACTCGATTAACATATCTTCTGGTAATTTTTTATCAAATACGTTTTCATTGTATAATTTATATAAATAATTGCACAAATTTTGTTTATTATTCTTATAATCTGTTCTGTATTTTATGGCATCTGGATGTGCATTAGCAATGGGAACATTTTCAGATAAAGATGCCAAAAAGGTGTTATGTTTTTCATACTTTCGATTGTAGATCGATTTAATTGTGGTATTTTTCTTAAATATTTGTCGTGCAGTTTTATTAGAATCTATAAAGATATTACATTTTTATAGACAAAATGTTACTTGCATAATTTAGTGCTATATATGTTACCTTTCTTAGCTGTAGGTTTTGATGGCACGTCGTCGCCAGGATCAAATTCGCTAGTACTTGAATTTTCACTTTCATCATCACTGAATAACAATTTCTTCCTTCTCGAATCACGAATTTTATTACTTTTCTCATTTTCAATGTCAGTATCCGAATCACATATTGCAAGAGCTCTACAAAACAGATAGTAAGGATAATTCAAAATTGTCTCATACTTGTAAATATTCTAAAAACGTATTCCTACCTTTGTACAATTGGTGTGACTGTTGATTTTGGTTTTACATTGGCTGTTATCTTTGGATTTGTCAGGGCAGTGTAATACGAACTTTCACAACCACTTTCTGATGATGTGTAGTCATTGATAAAACTATTTTTTTCTTTAGTATTTTTTCGTGTATTTTTCTCCGTTAAACATTTTCCTGCTTGCAAATCCTTTAAAGCTGAATAAAATTATATACATTTATTTTAGTCCATTTAACATATACATAGAATAAAATACAATCATTTTAATATAGTTTATAGTTTATAACTTACATGTATTGTAATCATCATCATCTGAATCTGTTATATAAATTTTCTTTTTGTTGATTATTTTTCTGTAACATATGAATGTATATATTACACATATGTGTTTTATTATTAATTATGAAACTGAAAACAATATGTGTAATTTACTTCTCAGTTTGAACAGCTCTGTTTCTTGTAGATATTACTTGTCTTCGTGGTTCAGATTTTGAAAGTAATAAAGCTGCCTTTTCTCGCCAAGATTTACCATATACCTTCTCTAATATATCTGCACAGTCCATAATATCTACATTTTGTGGGTTACATAATGTAGGAGTGGAAAATACATTATTAGTGCAATTATTTTTTGGTGTGCAAACTTTAGGAACATCAGTTTCTGATTGTTGTGTAACCTCATGCAATATAGTTTGTCGTGGTACTGTAGGTTGAATTATTTTATCACGATCTTGATTTATTAATTTTTTACTTGTAGGTACATGATGTATTTTTCCTCTATTATTTGGAGTTTCATAATTCATTTCTAATCTTTCTAGACTGCTATTTCCAGAACTTACATCATCCCTATTAGTGGCAGGCACAATATCAAAAGAATTATCACTTATTGATTCGGTTGAATTTGTCATGAGCCAAGTTGAAATTTGTTTTTTTTTCCTTTCTGATAATTCCATGCCTATTATTTCCTCGTGCTTACTTACACATGGTGTATCCAAAAACCTACTAACATGATTCTTATAAAAATTTGTTGAATTTATTTGAGATCCTTCAATTATGTCACTCTCAGAATTTTCTATACTTTCATCAATAATTTTATTCCTTATTTCTTTAGATGAAATAGCTGGATGCATCTGATTATCTATGCTTTTGTTAATTACAATATTGTCCTGCCTCCTGGGTGACTCATATACAATTTTTGTTGCCTTTATATTTTTCATAATGTCTCGAGCATTTTTTGGAGTAAGCTTTCTATTGAAATTGTCATATTGTTTATTAGTAGCAGATAAAACTTTATCAGGTCTGTTTAAACCTCCTAAATTCTTAGAACTGCTGCTACCAACAGCAGAACCTGATAATAGATTTTTTTCATTCGCTGCAGTACTATAGATTTCAGTACTTGCTTTTTGCATAGTTTTAATCTTGTCTGAGGCAGAACTAATAGAATTACTACTAGCTTTATTGGAGCTGTAAATATATCTTTTACTTGGTTCACTGCTGTTGGATGAGGAATCATCAGAAATAAACAATGTATTATTTTTCTTTCTATTTTTCTTTTTCCAATCGTGGAAAACAAAGTTATGACCTTTATTTTTTCCCCTTGCTTGAAAAAATCTTTCTTCCGAAGCATTCGAAGAATCTGTAGAATTCTGACTACCTACATTTTTGTTTGTACCATAATGTCTGTTTAGCTTAAGTTTTAATTTAGGAGAACATTTAGGACTAGAACAAGTAGAACTAGAGTCACTTATTACTATTATATCTTCTTCATCATTTACAATACCATCTTGTGTATCACATACAATTGAGTCTTGTGACAATTTCAAACAAAAATTTTGCGAATCACTTACAGATTCATCCATTTCCTTATCAGATGACAGTATTAAATTTTCATGATTCTTATATTTCCTATTCTCTTTTGCTTTGTCTTTTATATTATAAAATAATTCCTTCCCTAGCAAAATTAGTGTAAGCAAAAAATAAATACTGGATAAGATACAAAATTTAAGAATAAATAAATGTTTTAAATGTACTTACTGTGTTTAGACATTCTCAGTTAAAGCTTCCAAGTTATAATTGTTTATAGACCATGCATTAAATACAAAGATATAAACTTCACATTAAATACTTTGTGCCTATTATAATATAAACTATTGTTAACAGATAAAAGGCAGCAGTACAAACAAAAGCAAAGTATAATTCAGTCATAATCATGACATAAAATTCACATAAATAAAAACGCAAGATATTCGAATATTCTCTTGAGTGCATATACTATAATATAAAAGATGTGATTATGTCAGGATACACCTTTCTTTGTAGATTATCATATAAAATCTTTCAATACAGAAGATTATAAGTCAACTGCCATTCGAACATTCAGTCGTTAGCGTTGCATCAGTATAGCCAACCTTTGAGACGTACATAGAAATACGTTGGATCCTTTATACAAAATTCGATAACGTAAAAAGTAGTATCAGGTATCGTTAATAATTTAAGCTGTAAAAACAATGTCCCATATCGAACACATACGACGTTAAGTCAGAAGATTCAAAGTAACGCGAAGGTAAGATCACAGACGAGGTAGAAGAGTATCTTATTAAGAGTATTAATCGCATTTTATCAAGTTCGTATTTCAGTTCGTCTATGTTACATGTCTAACGTAATAAATATCAGTGTGGACAATGTACATGATGAACGATGTGCGACGATAATAGATCATTTGGTAATTAAATTTTGGTCTTGAATCTTTTGTACTCGTAATTTCTACCTAAGGCAAGTATCAACAATATTATTCGAAACTCGAGGCCTAATTTTTTATTCGAAAAAACGTCGAGAATCGAAGGCATGGGACCTTCCCCCACCTTTCGCTTAGTTCGTGATGTCGCCGCTAGTGGAACGGTGTCGTCATTCGCAATGTGAAAATTGGCGGGGTAAGACGTGTTCATAAAACGGCAGTTTCACGCATAATAAGGCACGTACATTTTAGCTATTGACATCTAATCGCTTCTCATCTAATTACTATTACTCTCTGCCACTCTTTAACTGTATCTTCGTTTAATATTAATACATTTCTATTACGAATTGAATCGAAATCGTGAAGAAAGTTGAATCGGTTTCGCGCATTTTTTCCAAGATCTAACCAAGGTTGATCGTCATTATATTCTTCGAAATATAATTATATATAATTTTGTACGACATATTTCAAGTTCACTTGTTGTTTAATTGTGACATAGCTACATCTGCATTGACGCATTTAATCGAAATGTATATTTTATTTAGGTAACAGTTTCTGATTTCATCTTGAGGACGCCACCGACCATTGGCGCCATTACACAAACGGATTATTGATACAATCTAATTCATTATTGGTGAAATCTAATTGAATATAGTAATTAACGTATGTATATTTGTTCATATTTTTTTCTTTCTCTATCGAATTTTGTTTGTAAAGTACAATATCTAATTGCGTAAATGTGATCCAAGCGAGCAATGTGATCGTTTATCAAATCGTAACTCTTGCCACATTTAGTTTTAATTCTTATACTTGATAGCGTTATACTTTAATTTCATCCCGAATCAATAATTGGTTCTGACACCGAAATAGTAGAGTGATTAATTTCATTAATCTACCAATACTTACTTCCGAGTACACTAATTCCTGTAATTTCATTTCCTATCACAATGAGCGCTATGGTCACTTTCTATAGCCTGTTGATAAGGTTGCGAGTGACAAGACTTTGTCGGTTATATTGCATGTGACATTAAAATGATAATGTGGGCCCAAAACATAATTATCAAGGAGTCACCAAGGGGTTAACAAGGGATGAATAAACACAGATATATTCTTTGTTTCTAAATTTAGAAGACAAAATTACATGGTATGTAGAAACACATTGTTCGATATTTTGCGAAAAATTTTATCGTAAGATTTGTTGATCCTGAGATAACAGTAAGGTTACAAAATCAGTTTGAGAACAGATTTGATACATACATATATTTCCCATCGACGGTCGCGATAAGAAAATACTAATAAAAGCTCTTCGTCTCTTTATTTTTTTTTATTTCTTTCTTTATTAACTTGTTTGAAGAGCTTTGCAAGTTAAGGCGCTTTCGGAAATTCGCAAACTACGAAAGACTCTTGTATTACGTAGTTCGGTATCAAAAAGCAAACGCAATTACATTCTTCATTTAAATCTTACAATCGCTGAATTTTTCATACTTATGAATTTACTATATTTTCCTACGCATACCAATAAAAATTTGTATAGATTCGCTTGGTCGTTTTTGCGCGTGTTTGGGCATCTACTGTCCTTGAACAATTCGTTCGAGAATCTCTTTCTGGTTACAAAAGTAAACCGGAATTCGTGACGACGATTCCACTAATAACGATTACGGATGAAAAATAATTGTAACACATAACACGTGAGAATCTTATAAAAGAATTTAATTCATTTTCTTCGAGAAATATTTCACGTTTAAACCTAGTTATTTGACTTACCGTACAGTTTGTTTCGAGAAGAAACTCGTCTTGTAAATTTGTAAACCATGCTCCTCCGTAAATTTCTGTAACCACTTCAAACGTGGAAGTACTCGAGACGTTCAGTATCTTCGATCGATCCTGGCACGTATGTGAAGTCGAGTTTTTCCGTGAGTTCTAAGCCCGGTAAGAACTTCGGGGTACGTAAACCCTTTCCCTTGACAGGATAAGTCAGGGATTAGAAGCTTGTTTTGCTTGAAAGGGTATCCAGCGTCTTAACGGTTTACAGCGTGCGATGTTATCGAAATAACGTTATTATAAATTAACTGCAACGTTGCTCCTTTCAATCTTCCAGCTTCGAAAGTATCAAACAGTTTAATAGTCAATTATACGCGCGTTTTCACACAATCGTGACACTTAACGACCAGAAACGCGTTTGTCATTTTATTTAACGATCAGATATGTGTCTCGTTCGATGTGGTTCCCGTCTGATGTCTCACACGTCCGTTCTTTGCATGCACGAGGAGCGACGATTTCTTTGGTACCCGTGGTAAAGATTCAGCATCGATCTCGTCGATATCTTTATTATTTATCGACGAATCGTTCGTTCCTGCGATACGCCGTTTCTTTTCCTCTTCGTTGTTCGATTGTAATTGGTCCGCCGCGCGTAAACCGCTTTCAGCTTGGCACGATGCGTTTTCTCTGTATCCAAACAAATATCACAAAACGTGAGTTTGCTCGTGACCTTTTGCGCGGATAGATTGGGTCTGTTATTTCCCGGTACGCGAACCTGCGATTAAACACCCTTTCAGACGGAGTCAGTGTCCTTCATTACTGGTTTTACCCCCTGGTGACTAAAATATCAATAACCGTGTCTATCACTATTTGCGCGTAAATAGTTTGTTTAACGATGCTTGGGTCGAGTCATAAGACCTATTTATTTAAATACCTACAAGCTACCAAACAAATGGGAAATGTTATTCTGCGACTCTTTGAAGAGGGAAGTAAAATACGACGCTTACTTACATATGACCCTATCCAACATTTCTCGTCTTTCAGTAACTCTCTCGTTAAGACTGCGCTCAACGATGAGTGGAACATGTAATTTTCTGCCGTTTCTAATTTACAACAGCAGCTAATGGAACGACAAGTCGAAAGCAAACGCATAAACAGCATGACTGTAACGTTGGATCTTTCAGTATCTTGGTGGTAGCTGGTAAGTGATTGTGTCTTGAACATCATCTCCGTCTGAAAGAGCCCTAGCGGTTCGGAACGTACGCGAAAATGAAATTGGAATCGAAAATAAGGGAGAAACTCGGTCAGAGGGGCTGCCAACGACAGCATACAAATAGCCGGGAAATTAATAAGCATTTTAGCTTACTTGATGCTGTGCTGGTAATTCGTGTTCCTTCCGCGAAACACCTGGTATCCCGCCTTGGATCCAACACCGCAAACCGTGCTCGAGTTTCTCGCGCTACTCATGTCGACCCTTGTAATGGAAGGTCTGCTTGGGTAACAGCAAAGTGTCTCTTTAAACGCGTTTCGGTATTTCGTGCTCATCGCATTATACAGGATCAGATTTATGACTGTACTGATGTAGTAGAGACAACCACCGAGTGGATAAAGCCAGTCGTTTATACTAGAGAACGATGGAATTTGTTCCCGATACGTGTATAACAGTCGTTGAGTGTGAAACGGCGCCCAGCAGATGAAAAATGCTACCACGACAGCACCTGTGAAGCGAAGTCACCGATTTCCTTTTCACGTACGCCTCCAAACTATTGCCCCCAAAGAAATACAGGGGCAAATTTGTCTTATTATTGCTCGAGGCTATTTTATCATGTTGGCTCGAAACGGATCGTCGACGAACGAGGTCCGAAACGTCTACCGAACTGATAATGCAGTTCGGATATTAAATTAATTTTCGTTCAATTGTTTTCAATGCGACGTATAACGCGTCTGACTCTAAAATCAAATAATATCGCTGGGAATAAATATTGACAGATTACGGTAAATTTCAGGTTCGATAAACGTCACGTTGGATTTTACGACCAAGTTTTTGCGATGAAAATAATCCCGTGGTACCATGAAGTCTATTACGCCGATGCGGAGCTTCGCGTCAACTTCGGAACACGATCGCTGGCAATATATCGCCCCCATAAAACGGTACGTGACTTCGAATAAATCAGAAAATGATCAATGTTTACAACGGTTGACAAATTTACGAGAACGATGCCAGAGCTTGAGAAACGAAAATGAAAGGAAAGCATTTAGTTAACGTTAGACATTTACTGAGCACCCGAATGATAGCTGTCCGTGATTGAGCTTGCTTAGTCTCCCCGTGAACCGATCCTTCGACGGTCTGCTCTAGGCTGCTACTTCGTATTCGCAACCCTATTTGCACGTAAATCACCACCATAAACGCCATCGGTAGAAGGAAGAAGAAGCAACAGTAAAGTTCGATTAGCAGAAAGGGTAAAATTACGATATTGCAAAAAGCAGAATCCTCCAGGTATTCTCTCGATTCTGAAAAGCAAAAATCAAATAAATCTCTCAGAGGGAAAAATTCTACGTTCGTGACTGTGTATAAATCTGCTGGTCAGTCGTGTTTCGTATACATTGCAAATGTGAGTACAATAGGCTGAAAAATGATTCTAACGCGACGATTCGATCGACGTTTCCCGATTTCCGAACTATCGCCGCTTTATTTACCGCGTAAGTGTTCGTGTTCCTGCGGTTAGACTCGTAGACGTATTCCGACGATCGCTATTTACATAATTCATATTTAGAAGCATCCGAAATTACTACGAAATAGTATTAATTAATGTAACGTTGTTGCAGAACGCGAACGCAAACTTTACTCGTTACGTGTAACATGCAAATTCTAATTAATATCTGTTACAGTTGTTTAAATTTCTAATCCACGAAAGTTGTAATGAAACATGCCACTTGGCCGAGCAGTGGTGTCTGGGAAAATGAATGATGTGTTTAGTATTCGCAATTATGAAATTCCATCGTGTAAACAATTTGCCGGGAAAAACGAAAAAGATAGTATTTGCTAATGTTATTACTCAACAACAAGACGCGGTATTAATTAAATATGCATCTCATGACGTCGATTAATCGAGAGGGATAACCAGGGTTTATAATTAATAATTGTCGATCCTGCACCTTAGTTATCCGTCTTCGACAGAAACTTACCTGGTGGATACTCGATGTAAATAACGGTGGTAAAAATACCGAATGGCACGGCAAAAACGAAAGCTGCTAGCCATGTAGCCAATATAATTCGTATAGGAACCTTAACTCCACTCGCATAACGACGAAGCGGATAACAGATCGCCGAATACCTTTCTAATGAAAATGCCACTATTGTTAATACCGATACGTAATAGGACCTTCAAAAGAGAAACCGATATTATTTTTGTCAAGTACGATTTCTTTTTTTTTTTTAGCGTTCCTTTGTGCATCAATGTTACATCGACTCACGTTTCAGCAAAGAACATCCGCAATTTGCATACAATTAATCCCCATTTCCACGGATACTGTTCCCAAAGTGTACTCAACTCTGTTGGTATGCCTGTAAAAGAATTGGAAGAAAAACTAATTCAATGAAATTATGTTTGGTACTGTACATGCGTTTATTCGAAAGAGATTGAATAATAAGAAGATGAAAATCAAGAATATCAATTTCTTGACCGAAGCTTCGTTAAAAAGTTATTAAAAAATTAAGGTGTTCGAACGTAGATAGTAGTTGCCATATTCCACGATAAATGGAGACAATTTTTTCGTAAATTCATGCATCCGCACGCCAGCAGGATATATGATCTGTCGATCAAACAATATATATAGTTTTCATTGGCAAACGAAATATTTATTCAAGTATCGAGCGTTCGTCACCGGAATGTAAAATAAATAACTGTGTGTGGACAGATTTTAATGGCAATATACATACACATATAACTGTGTAAAGAACGTCTTATCGCGCATAAAAGTGAAATAGACGATGATAACAATCGCATAATGGAAAAATGATGTAGAGTAAGACGATATAAGTATTTGGAACTTTTCAAGAAATTGTTAAGTGTCCTTTTCATGATCTGTACGATACAAGTTCACGAGCCGTGGAAACCATTCATTTCATTCCGTACATTCTGTCGAAATTGACCTGTTGCATTAGGACAAAACACCTGCCGAATCGTTACGATCAAACGACCATCGTTTCTGTTGAATTTCCTTTTGCAATCAATCTATTTAGAAATTACTTAGATCCCCATAACTTGGAAGAGGAACGGGAATCGTTAGGGGATCGAATGAATTTGTCACATCAATTAAAAGTGATATAAAAAATACTAACTTCAAAGTACAAAAGGATTGAATCAGTGCAGGCAATTTATCTGTAAGGCTACTCTCGATGCAAATAAATCTATTCACCGGAATCACACTCCAACAGCTGATACAAGTGAAATCGTAACGAGTAACACGATACCCTTCGTTACACTGAGAAAGATCGAACAAGCCATTAGTCGACAATTAACGTCTAGTTCGTGACGATCGTACAAATATTGGCTCGCAAGCCATTGCCTTGCATAAAGTTTCGAACTAAATAAACTTATTAATCGGTATCCGTTGGAACGAAGACAAAATATCTATAAATTGGAATTCATAATTATCAGCCAGGACAGAAATTGTTCAAACCCTCGCTATTTGAAGAGCAACAGCATTCGTGCACTGTTAAAACATTTCAATTGGAAATCCACGCGATATATTACATTTTCTGCTATTTCTCCTCCCTCTATCAAGACTCATTTTTATTGTGAAATACGATATCTGTATACGAATGCAGTTCCTCTATCCTCGAAGATTAAGCGACTTCCGTCTACTGATAAAACAAAATGCGTCTCTTTTTATTCTCTTTATCCGTTTCTATCGTACACAACCGGTTATTAATTAATCGCGAATCGTTTTCTACACACAAGCCGACTGATAAATGTTATTTGTTTCAATTGTTGCCAAATGTTCGATCGTTCAAACGCCATGCATTTATATTCTTTTTCACCCAACGGCACTTTATCTTTCCTTACCCTGTCTCCTATAGACTTGGAAAGAAACTGACGGCAGTAATTGATGATAGATCTATAAATGTGAAGAAGCTGAAGCAAGTCCATAAAAAAAAATGTGATTTAAACGATTTTGAATAACTTGTTTTATTATTTTACGAGTTCAATATTGCCTAGACGTTTTCTTTATCTCTCGTGTAACTTTGCATTTACAATATTCATATCTTGGATCCGTTGTCGTATTTTCAGATTCCGGATGAACTTCAAATAACAGAACACGTTGTATTTCCTAAAGGAAATACATCCAGCATGGAAGTAGAAACATAAATCACAAGCACAGTGATACTTGTATGCTACGTATATGGATAAAATTTCACTTTGCTTATTTTAACGACATCTGAAATGCTTTTCGATGATCATTTCCGTGAATCTAATAAATATCGTATATCGGATCTTCGGGAAAAACCTCTGACGAATATTGATGGAACTTGTGGAAGAATTTAAAACGTAGTAGCCTCGCGATGGATTGCTAAAGGTTTCGCTAAAGATCGTGCGAGGAATAGCGGTAAAACACGTGGTGGTTGTCCAACACGTTGATAATAAATTAAAAAAAAAAAGCATCATTGTGTGAAGCGTGACAAATAACGAGCACGTGGAAACTTACCCGTTATTAAAAGCAACAGATCGGATACCGCCAAATTGAACAAATAACAGTTTGGCGTCGTCTGCATGTTAGGATGCTTTCGGATGACGATGCAAGTGGTTATATTGCCAACGACACCGCTTACAAATATAACGACATAGACCAGGGTGATGGGCAACACCATGCTCAGGGGCAAGTATTTAGGACCCAGAATTACATTCAAATATTCAGATTTGTTGAGGTGTGCGTAATCGCTGCTGATGTTCTCTAAAAAATATTCACCCCAAATATTGTCATTCGTCATTTCCGAATCTCGGTCACCTTCCTAAAGGAGAATTGATCACTTTTTTAACTCGCACAGCAAGAGTTTGACTTCGCATCGAAGCTAACAGTCATTTTTCCCGTCGATGGCTTTCCTTTTAGAATTACATGAAATAACCATTCGGTACGTTACTCCAAACATTCTACCTCGTTAATTCTACTTGTTGAACGATCGAAAAGTCCCTTCGTGCTACGACGACGAACGACAACGTATCCGTTACCGATTTCTATCGGGATCGATCGTATTTCGATCGTATTATCGCGATAGAAAATGTTAATTTCCGACTGTAAATTACACGACACCACTTTTCGATGCTACTTGTAGTCCGATAGCGAGAGACAAACCCGATAGTGCTCCGCTTGGCAAACCGTGGACAAATGACGTCTCCCGAGTGTGCTGCATTTCACCTTCTCACCACGCGCCCATCCACTACGCATCCAACCCTCAACTTTAACCCCCGCGTACTCGACGCGAATACTCGACTAGTAAAATCGTGCTCATCTCGCGTAACGAAACGATTCAAAGTGTTCAACGCAACTTCAACGACCTGATTACGAGGGGAATCCACTTAAACCTTATCCGGGCTTTTACATTTCTGGAGCCGCCGCAGCCCTGTGTAACAAAGTCCATAAATTTGTGTATAAAATATATGGAATCCTCAAATAATTCTATCAACATATGTATATTTAATCAACTGATTTAAAGTTGCGTGGAGCTGCAGCGGCCTCCAGCTTCGTCGCGTCTCTGACCAGAACCAGCATTAATAAAAACTTCGTGTTACAAGTGCTCTTAAATCACCCACAAGCGCGCAATTATCGATGTCAGGTTTAAATTGTTGCTCACCCGGTTCAACGTCGAAAGCCTCCAAATAATTCTCTCACACAGTTGTTACAGACAGCCTCGTCAATCTTGATTTCTGTTCCAATTTTTTTATTAGATTTTAACAAATTTATCGTGCGATACAGTAGTTAATTCCCTATTATACCGCGTAATAATTCACGAGTTTTGTCTTGCAACATGGTTATTACGTTAAAATGCTCGAAACCTGGTTATCGTTTGCTGATGCACTGCCAATCAAGAAATGCACCACGTGTTTTCTCGGTCGACGGATCAAGGTTTTTCGCGACTGATATTCGGTCATTTTGCCACGACTATAGAAACGGTATTCGACGGCTTCCTTTGGCAAATGTAGCTGGTAGAACTGGCAAACTAAAAGATCCTCTTCGAGCTCGAAAGGGAATTCCATTGGCTTGGTGTAACCATCGAGGATTAAAATCGTCGTGCCAAGAATTAAAATGTAGAGAAAGAACTGAAAAACATTTCATGATTGTCAAAACGCTTCTCTCGAGCAGCGTTACATAATTATTATTCGTTAGATCTCTTGCAATACGATTGCGCGACGAGTGAACGTGGACAAAAACGGAAACTTTCTGGCAAAAAACAAGATCATTTTTCGATGTTTACGTTCACCTTACATTTTACCTTTGACGTCTTCCAACCGAGCACCGACATAATACTATTACGTTTCTTCGTTTTTGTCCTTATTCAGTCTGTAAGGAAGCTTTTAGACGATAAGCATTGGATTAGAAAACGTTGCGTCTGAAAAGGAAAGAGGAAAATCAATAGGACCGCGCAATCTAGAGAACGTAAATGAATCTACTGCTATTGTTGTAACCAGAGATACGGATATTACCCATTGTAGTGGTTTTTCTCCTGTCAATTGGGTAAAAATCGGACGTAGAATGCATTCGTACACAGATAAGGAACATTGGATCACTACGAAGATGATTAATTCCACGAAGCAATTTAAAGATTCCAAAAGAACAAACACTATCATTTTCACGATCTTTGAATACTTCTCCCAACATTATCTCGATAACGTTAAAATATTGGATAGAAACACCGATTTAGGTTACACTTGTCATTTTGATGACTCGAACGAAGAAACAGTTGCTGCTGGCATTCATTTGTTCAACTCCAATTTGAAAGTAAAGGAGTGTCTTCGTTATTGAGACTGACAAAACTTGATGGACCACGGAACAAGATAGTCAAACGTTAAAATCCCATAGTGATACAATGGAATATGGAACCCCTTCTTCAAACTTCTACATTAATATCGCTGCCGCTGCGAATTTAAGAAGTGCAGGCAAACAAACTTTCGATATTGTCGCGAACGCTAATATATCACCTTTTCTTCCATCAGGTTCATTAAAAACTTTGAACTTACTCACCGATTGAAACTCCAAGTCCGGCTGGAAGCGATTGAAATCTACTAATAAAATCGTACGAGATTGCAACGTGCATCGAATAGAGGAACTCGTAGGAAATGGTTACGGTTCGTCGTCGAAACCTTTTATTAATTACAGAAATTTTACAATCTGGTAAAATCGGATAAAAATTGGCTCAAAAACGACACAACAAATCGTCAAAAAATAAATAATAATACGCTCTATTAATTTACAGCTACTATATACAAGTATCGTGTGACAAACAACGCAAAAAATGTACAGTTTACGTAGTTCACAAATTACTACTGGCCGTGGACATGGACTCTTTCGTCGTCCCCTCGGATGTAGAACTTACGTTGCTCGTTTGTTCCCGAGCAACGGAGTGCATTCGATCGAGAAGAGGTCTGCTAGAATCTACTTTCTTCGGCGGATAAGATTTATGAGAAACATTGTCGTTCATATTCCCGTCTTTACTCACGCTCTCCCGACTTGCAGTGAAACGAAACATCTCTTTCGCTTGGCTGATAGTATACCTAAACAAAAATTCTGTAAATGTCGTCGGTGCTCGGGACGTTAACGTTACCAACCTTACGGAACGCTTAAAGTTTGTGTCGTGAGTCTTTCCGTTGGAATTGGTTTGGCACATCTGGGAATCCCTGGTGGCCCAGCTCCTCCTTCCTGTCTTTCTCGTCTTGCAGCATATCGTTTGCTTGAACGCATGCCGGTACTTTACACTCATTAAATTATATAAAATGGGATTCACGGTTGTGCTGAAGTAGTAAAGACATCCGCTCAGAATGTACAGCCATTCGTTCAAGTCTGGATAATAGTCGGACTCCTGAGCGTAGACGTAGAGCAGCCGTTGAGCGTGAAACGGGGCCCAACAGATGAAAAACAAAATAACCACGGCGCCTGCAACAATCAGTCGCTAGAATTTCGACGTTTTGTATAAAAGAAAGATAAAGGATTTTTGAAAATACGAATGGCAAACAGCTCGGGTCTTACTCAACATTCTGATAACGGACTTCCGGGTTTGAATTTGCGAGTCTCCGTGAATCGCGCCGTGCACCACCGAATTCAGCGTGTCCCGCGTGCTGTTCCTGATCCTCAAGCCCATCCTCGTATAGACGACCAGAATCACCAGCATCGGTATCAAAAAAAATATGATGCTGCTCAGCTCGTAAAGAGGAAACTTCGGCATGTATGGCAGTAGCATAGCGCAAATCGCCGAATCGGCCGAATAATTACCCGAACCTGAATAATTTCATACTTGTATAACTTGCATAGCGTATAAGTTATACGATCAGACGCAATAGAATCGGTTGGTTAACCTGGTGGGTACTCGACCAAATTGACTTTCGTATAAATTGCGAACGGTATAGCGGAAATTAGCGCTATTGACCACGCAGCCAAGATGAAACGTATAGGCCTTTTCAAGCCGCTTATCGTGTAAACGCGAAGCGGGTGACATATGGCCAAATATCTTTCCATGGAGAAGGCCACTATCGTGAGGACCGACACGTACGAAGACCTACCGAACAGATGCAACGTTTCAAATTCTGGAGCACGGTGGAGCATGATGTAACCGAATAGAAAATGATTGACGGTGGTTTTCTTACATTTCCGACACGTACGCTCTTATCTTGCAAAGACCGACTCCTAGAGCCCAAGGGTATTGTTGCCAGAAAACGCCCAGCTCGTTAGGTAATCCTAAAAGTGGTTGAACAAACATCGATAACGATCAATCGGCACGATAATGATCGATCAACGGGAATATTTCGTTACGATCGTGTTAACGGTAAAAACCCTATTTTTGTTCTTTTTCCGTATCGTTATCTGTGATTTATTTCCGTGACGATCGTGCAATTGACGTCAAACGTCTGCACTAGGATGCGCAATGACTAAGAACCGTAAGCATCAACGCGATACACACACGCTCGTTTTCCCAAAAGTAGATTTACGACTTAAGCTCAGCAGGTAATTAACACGTAAACGTCACGGTATTTCGCGACGACATTAAAAGACAGAAGAAATTGCGGCTCGCATGCTACAACTGCTTGAACGTGTTCGGAAAACGATTTCTGTTTTTCTGTTCGAAGCTTTTTTCCTCGAAGAATAAAACTTTTACTACGGGTAGCGTTTATCTCGACAAACTGTGACAATTCGTTGAATTTGTCTTATCTGATTCGTACTTCCTGAAAAATACGCGTATACATGCATAAATATGATTCGATCATCGGGGAATAAGAATACAAATAATTCGCGAAAACGTGAGGCAACACGTGAATGTTTACGGTTGACAATTTACTTGAAGCTTCGACAACTTTTTATATCACGACGATTTAATCCTATCGTGTTAAATCTCCTTGACTCATTCGGGGTAATCGCGCGACTTTTATCCCTGAAAATCCCACAGCAAAGAAGTACATAAAAACAATGGTATGATCGGCAAACTGTCTACCGTGTGCATAACAATCACTGATGCACATACACGTGAAACAAAGGTCAATTTAAAGCGCTCATCTTGGAATTGTCGTGGAAGAAAAAGTGGTTTAACGATCAATCTCGATCTAAACAAAACAGTTTTAGATATCGTTTACGTAATTAGAAACACAACCTTTATCATAATTGCGTTCATGCACTCGTACTTGAAATCATTAATTTGAATCGAGTTATTTCCGCCCACACTATCCTCGTTATCGTTGTCAACCTTTTAAAAGATTGCTCGTGTTCCCAATTTAAACCACCGTTAAACGAGTGCTGATTCAGAAACAGGAACACCCCTCGTGTCTGTTAAAAACGAATCAACACCGTGCCACGATATATTCGTTCTCGATCAGCTGTATTAAATGTCCGCAACGATTTATAAATTATGGGTAAAAAACGACGAATCAACAGAATTCAGTGAATCGACAAATTTAACGTATTTCGTTCCTGTGTTAAGCGCATTGACATTTCGGTAGACGTTTAAAATGTACAGTCGACTGGACAGGTATATAGTGAAATCGTAAATAAAACGCGACACAAAGAAAGGTTACGCGCAAGTAAATGGAACGCGATTGCAACTCACCCAGCACGAGTAGAGTAAGATCGGATATGGCCAGACTGAACAAGTAGTAGTTCGTGGCGGTTTGCATCGAAGGATTTTTCATAACGACGATGCACGTGGCGATGTTCCCGAATATGCCGGTGACAAATATCACCACGTACGCAATCGTGAGCGGTATCACCATCTTCATGGGCAGATACTTGGGCCCGAGTACCTTCGTTAAGTACTCGGCCTCCGTTAGGTTCTTCAGGTCCCAGTCTTTCCAAAAATCGTGCAAATCGCTCGCATCCTCGTTCGATGTTTCCATACTGTCTAATTCCTTCGGAAACAAAATATTCTGCCGAAGGAATTGAACATTCGCCGGGCGGACGGATGTTTGTAAATATTAATAGTCCAGGAAGAACGGTTCACGCGAGTCCGTCAACGGTCTATTTTAAGAATCTGTATTCGTATCTGTAGAAATAATTATCGCGGGTAAACAAAGCATTCCGTCTTGAATAGATAGCTTGTAGTCGAGTCAACAGACTGCGGTCGGTCGATCGTTAATGGGTCACCGACTAACTGCGACAAGTGCGATTTTTCTTCGATCGGTACTCAATTAACGAAACGAAGATCATACCCTGCCTTCCGAACGATTTAATCTGCCATTTCGACGGGAACTTAGACGTTGGCTCTAGCACGGATTCGACGCTCCGCCGCAAATTCCCATTCTTCTTCTTCGAGGCACGAGTCATCTTGACATCCTCGCGTCGGATTCACTGACCGTAGAACACCTTTTTGTTCTGCGTAATCAAAGTTGCCGAACAACGGAGTAGCGTATCGCCGATTATCTAATTGATTAACGTCAAAGGAACACACGCGTTAAATATCACGAATTTCCGACGATAACGAGCGTTTATGTGTTGACAGAAACACGTGCTAATACATGGTAAAAGTTGCGCGGCGTCGAGAGTACATGATTAAATTTAAAAGGATCGCGTAGAAAACCGAACGGAGAGCGGTTACTGTTCGAGCACGTTGGTCGATGTCGTTAGCACAAAACCAAAATAAATAGACGTAAACGAAAGGGAAGACGGTAAAGTCGTCGAATCGTCTCTGTTGGGAGCGCGACTACCGTACAACACGACTGAACGTAGTGTTCTTAGAGATACCGTGGGACACCTGCCATCGCAACAACAACCTCATCCTCCTCCCGATTTCGCCGATAAGAGAATCGGTCTAACGTACCGTTCAATCGTATCAAGATTCCCAGTGCATTCAATTATCGCGTTCACAACTCTCTCGACACGCAACGCTTCGAATTCGCTAGACGCGATTGACCGCAAATACAGCTTCCATCGGGACAAGGAAAACGCGCAATTATTAGAAATACCAGATAGATGAATTTTTCTTTTTTTTTACCTTAAAAAATAAAGAATAAGAGAGACAAAAGTGCTCCTAAATCAACCCTGTGTCTTCACTTGAAGGGTAGAAACTTGGTGTACCTCGGTTATTTTATAAATAAATTACCAATTTTGATTTAGAAGCATCTTTAATTAAAACATTTCGTTTGAACGAATTACGCATTTGATACGCATTTATGTAAATTCAAAGATTCAACAAAACTGCATGTTTGCCGGTATATAATTGTCTTATCTGTACCTCGAACGTTCCTTAAGCCGAAAAGAATGTTCGACGTTCGGTGCAAAATATTATACAAGGACATTGAAAATTTATGGTCATAATTAAGGATACAATGTTGTAGAATTTAATCATCGAAGGTTGCAATACTCGCCATAGGCCGTACCGGCACGGTAAAAAAATGTTAATTGACAATTGATTCGATGCGTATAAAATTCCAAGCATCATACTAGCCGATAAGATTAATCGAAGACAATGCAACGATAATTTTTGCGATAACGTTCATTTACGTCAAACGTAAGAATATTTTTATACCGATAATATATTAATTATTACGGAACAAAATATTTGATTCTTTTACAATATTTGCAACTTAATATTAGTTGGTATATAAATGAACAATTTCAAAACTTCAATTTATTAGAGAATGTTTCAAAGGAGGCAGAAATTTAATTCGCTCTATACAAAATGAAAAATAATAAAATATTTATTCCATCTTTTGCTGTACAGTTTATTGTACAAATAAATTGATTATTTCTAATAAAGCAAAAGAAACATTAACTAGAATCAGTTTCGTCAGAACTTGTTTCACTGGTGTTATCTAGTCTACCAGAATTAAGTAATAATCTATTTGTATTTACAAAAAGATCCGCTTCTTCGTTATCATTTTCTTCTCCATGCTTGTTTGTTATTCCTTCATTTGATTTCGGAATTATGTCGAATTCTTTTGGCCAACAGCCCTGCGCGCGATAGAATTTTTGATGTTCCTAATGGACAAATTGAACAATTAGTTCTGGATTAAAGTATAATTATTTTTAACAAAACGTACTCGTGTCAATATTTTAACGATCTCTGCCTTCACTTTATCCCCTTCTGCTATTGGCTCTACTAGTACGAAATCTCCTCGTTTCACCCAAATGTTTCTTCTAAACTTCGTTGGCATAGATACGAGATATTGGTCTCCAATGAAATCTATGACTTCGTGAAGATTATTACCGCGCGATTCAATTATTCGTACAATGGATTGCGAATCGGTAGGAGTACTCAAATCTTCGACTTCTTTGACAACGTGTTTGCGTTTAGTTGCTTTAGACATTTTGATCTGTAAGTTTAAACGTAATTACAATATTGAACATTTGATCTTTTAAAGTAAAATGAACAACAATTTTACATCATTTACTGATTCCTTTTATTAATCGACAATGTTCTGATATTGATTAAAAAAATACTGTTTATGTCTTTAATTTGTGCAACGTTTCTTGCTTGGGTGATTCTTTTCTTTGTTTCTTGCCGGCGTGCCAAGATCCTAAGGACCCTCCTGTTTTCTCTATAGCCGTAAATATGTCCAAACTTTCTCCAGGAGGAATTTCATATCCGTTTGTTAATCCATAAACATTCGAAGGTGTCTTACAGTCATCCCTTGATTCTTTGCGCAAAACAGTATCGACCTCTACGGAAGTGAAAAACGCTACCGACATTGGAAGATCTTTTATTCCAACTCTTGAAGCACAAAATGACCGTGTTAAAAGATTGGTAACGTGCATGGCGAGCGCAGCATTGTATTTATAGCGTGATGGCACTAAATATCGCACCTCGTCGTGAAATGATAAACAGAATCTTAAATTATCTTTCATGAGCCATTTCATTGAAACTAACATCAAATGTAAGAAATCAACTGCTCCACTTTGAACCACCCAATTGATTTTTGTAGGTAAATGTTTACTATTGTCTTTTTGATTTTCTAAAGCGCGGGTTAACCGGGAGTTTAAGAAGGGAGTAACAGGATGGGGGCTCTGAGCAATTTCTTCAAGTCTGTTAAACATTGCCGATTCCGAACCACCCACCCATTTACTTGTCTCAAACATCTCTGATATTGTTTTACCAAATAAACCCGATACTTTATGAGCCTCGTAAGATGAATATTGTTTATCCTCCAGATCGTTATTAGTATAGTCAGGTTTCAATCTATATACTTTTTTACCTTTCGTCATAGTAAACATTTTTCGAGATTTAGATGCAGCTTCCGAGTCCGTCATGCATGGATTAAATTGTTTTAAAAGTCTTTCTGCAAAGTTTTGCCCAGCACCATAAATTCTAGCATAATTGATGACCTTAGCTTGGCTTCTAGAAATCCCAATTGCTTTGGCTGTAATACTATGCATGTCAGTTTCATTGGACTTAGTGCCAATTAGTGTCATCCAACCGAAAGGTGTGGCTCCATGAATTTTTTTATCATAAGCATCTCCTATCATTGATGAAATCCACAGCTCTTGACTGTCGACATCAGCACCAATAATACTATACCCTGGTGGAGCTTGTATCATAGCCCGTAATTCGGAACCAACGCGTTCAGGGTTAGCATTAGAAGCAGTCATCCACGTAGGTTCTACCGCTCGTCTAGTCAGGGTACCAGAAACAACTACCAAAGGTAAAATTGCACCATAACGCATTGGCTTTTTAGTTTTTTTAACGGTGTTTGGTAAGTTGCAGTTGTCAAACCATATTACAAACTGTGACATGATTCTGTTCCTATTATTTCTCCAATATGACATCATTTTAGTAGTCCTCAATACTTCTGCAGCACTGCTGTCCAAACCAGCAAGGACATTTTCAGAAAACTTATTCAAAAAATCTTTAGCCAATGGATTACCAACATTATAATTTTCTCCATCTTTATGTGGCAATTTAAGAAAGTAACAGCAATTATCTATAACTGTATTGCACCAAACTGCACTTATTTTGTAAGTGTTAACGAAATGAGAATCTGATTTTTTTTTCTTAGAATTCCAAAATCTTTTCCTATCATTTTCCACCTCTTTGTTAAGAGTTGACATTGCATAATCTGTGCCATCAGATTCAATTGTTCCATCCATTTTGTTCATTTGTAATGAAGAACAATGATTCAAAAGTTGTTTTAAAGGTACTTTGGTTTCAATACTTAAATCCTTGTTATAAGGTACTAAAATACCCCAACCTTTTTTTTGCATATAGTGCAAAGGATAACCCTCCCATGTCAAATTCAATAATTTTGGTACAATTTGCATAGAGGTACTAATATTTTGTGGTCCTGGTTCCCAGTTTTTATCATTGAATTTAAAACAAAGTTTCCTATACCATGCAGGGTATCCTGACATATGTGGTAATTTTATAGGTAAAAGCTTTCTTGTTTCTTTTAAATAGGCAAATTTTGTCTCCAAAGGGTCTTCCTCCTCCTCTCCATCCGAAAGATACTTTTGCGAATCAGTTTCTTTTTTTTCTGTGTTTTGTACTTGACATTTCTTTTTTGAAACTTTTGATGTCGATTTCATCTTAATTTTTTGAGTACTCCAATCTTCATCCCACATCCATAAATCTTCCTTATATTTTTCATTGTGCATAAGTTCGCAAACAGCATTAGCTCTTTTAGCAAGAGTACACTTATTCTCATAATTTAAGTGTTCAAATGTTGTCTCTGATTCGCTTAAATATCTGAGCCAATTCGAATTTGTGGGTAAATATGAAGTTCCAAGCTCTAACATTCCTGCTAAAGTAACAGGATGAGGAAATCTATCTTCAAAAATAGGAAATAAGTGGCATAGCACATTATATGTTGCAAGCACATCATTTGCACAATAGGTCATCAAGGTTTCAAAATCTTTTTTCACATCCTTCAAAGTTCCTTCTACAAAAACATTTCTGAGTTCCTTATTTAATTTTGTGCCACAATAAAATTTATATATTTCTGTTAAACTATTTAAAGAGGTTTGTGTATGTAAATCAAATTTTTCTGCCGTATTTCTCTTTGCATTTAAAATTGCTCTTTGGTAACTACTGATCCCACTAACAGAGATGTGAAGTGACAATGTGTCCACAAACCGTAATCCTGTTTGATTCAACCAATATTGTTCTTTAATCCTGCTTCTATCAAAGGACACATTGTGACCTACTAAAATTTTTGGCTTTTTATGGTAATTACTTAATTTTTCTCCATATTCTGTAGGTTTACTTTCCATTGGAATTAATTGATCCATAGTAAATTGTTGACCTTCAAAATTTCTACTTACACCATCTACTAAAGATTTTGATACCCAACCGTACCATGCTTGACTAGTTACTGCAGTAGCAAGTGTTGGTAAAGATCCTTCTTTCATACAAACTTCTATATCAAAAATGATACCATCCTCTAATGGATAATCTACACTCTCTGCACCATTGCATGTATATCTAGTCCATCCCTCTTTTAGTATCCACTTATCTGGCATTTTTGGAACATTTTTCATAATCTCCTTTACAATTGTTACATAAGGTTCAATTTGTGATTTAGCAATATTATAAAAATGTTGCTCTATATCATTTCCTTCTAAAGGAGGTAGTCTAATATCCACATCAGGTACTCTAGTTGCATCTTCAATTTTTATTCCATACAAGCGTAAATTGTCCTTTATAGATTCTATCTCTTCCTTTGATATTTCTCCCTGTTTGTTAGAATCATTAAATATCTGCTTATGTAATGATTTTGAAAGCATTTGCATATTAATTTCATTTACTCTTGTGTTGTTATTGTTATAGGTTTTCGTGTGCTCTTTTTCATTTTCTAATCTTTTTATACTTTGGTGCTCTGTAATGGCATTATCTTTTTTATTACCATCCTTCAAATGATATACTTTACCGCTAAACATTTCTTCAAAATTTACTGGAATATCAGGTGAACTTCTTCGATTTTCATGCACTGCATGTTCATTTGATAAAACAATTGAAGCAGAGGCCATAGTTTTAAATGCATTGTTTCCATTATTTTGTTGATCTTCATTTAACTTATTAGCACTCTCTGCAGAGGTTAGAGCACGAGAGGTGCAATGGAATAGGTTACAGTTTACAGTACGGACAATTTTTCTTGAAAATTGCTTTCGTTCAACAAAATTAGGATTATACGTTGCAACAAAACGCTTATGACGACCAGGAATACGAATCACGAAACTTTTCATTTCTTTTCTGTCTCACATTTCGTCCTTGTGATTTCATAGCAAAGAACAATGTACTTAACACGTGACTTTGGTATTATTAACCAATCTATAAAGTTTATTTTCAATGAATTGTGATTAGTATAATCTTACCTGCTAGTTTAAATTAATTTGTAAATATGGTCCGGAAAATAACGAATATTTTAGATAAATCAATAAGTTTAATAAAGTTAGAGAAGTAATGCGTCAAATATTTTGAACTTGTATGTCGCCATGTTATGGTTTCAAACGCGCAATTTCAAAATCATTCATTAGCCATGGCGTAGAATGCTTAAAAAGATTGTATGTTTCTTATATTATGAAAGTAATATTAGATGTATGTTGTATTTTCTTTGATTGTAACTAACGCGTTAGAAATACAGAAAAGATATCAATATTAAACGTAATATTTACATCATATAGAAATATGATCCATAGAAACGGATACAATTAGGGCATATGTATAAAGAAGAGATATTCTAGTTCTATTTAAGAACATTATTATTTCCACGCATAAACTATAAGCGTGAACTAATATTTTAGTATATTTTACAAATGTTGTGTTCTATTTAGGCGCTATAGTGATCACGACGACATCTTCGTAGCGTCTGCCAGTTTATTGTGTTCATCATGGCTTCGACTGGTTAGTGTAAATTTTATATGTATATTTTATGATTTTCTAAGAAAATGTCTTCGTAAAAATGTTTCAAACATTTCTAATACATTTTAATGTTTCACAACTATGATTATTTAATCATTATATAGATAAAAACAATATAATTTCGTTGCGGTTTCGTACTTGTCATTTTTGACACTTTTTATTCAATTTTACGTATGAATGTACATCAAGTTTTATTTAATGAAACAAAAATAACAATGCGATTTTTTATTTGTCAGAATCCTTGGTTTGTGATACACTCGATTTAAGTGGTCAAGGCCTTAAGAAGCTTTCCCGTTGTCCGTCGGATGCAGATATCAGTACATTGATCATAGACGATAATGAAATTCAGCGTCTCGATAATCTTGATTCTTACCATAGAATTACCAAGGTAGTGTTTCTATTTGTAAAAACAATAATGCACAATTTTTTTGTTTCATAACTTTATACTATATCATAAATATTCTACCGTACATCACTTTTCATTTATATGCTAGTTTTATCGTTCATTATAAGAAATAAATGATTATTTTTTAAACTAATTCGATATGAAATTTCAGCTTTCAATAGTAAGAAACCAACTATTACGGATGTATGGTATATCAAAGTTACATAATCTTGTAACACTTAATTTAGCAAATAATGGTATATTGACCATAGAAGGTATAAAGGACATGATAAATTTGCAAACGCTTTGTTTAGCTGGCAACAATATAAAGGTATATTATATATAATTATTTATATACAATGTCACGGTTAAATCATTCTTTATGTAATTTTTATATATATATATATGTATATATTATTTTTTTTATGTAGTCTATCGAACATTTACATACAAATACTAAATTGGAGCATTTGGACTTATCTGAAAATAGTATCAGCCATATTTCAGATATTTCATACCTACGAAATTTAAAGGTAACATATTTGATGTATTATTATGAGTATAATTCTTGTTTGTCTTGTTTAACTAAAAACATATTAACATTCGAATTAAGTTATTTTATTCTCAAATACAATGATATTAACAATATTTTAGGAACTTTTTTTGCATAATAATCGTATAATAACATTACGGCAATGCGAACGCTACTTACCTACTTCTTTAGAAACATTTACATTGGCAAATAATAATATTACTGATTTAAATGAAATGTCGCATTTAGCTAATTTAGAGAATCTAATAAATTTTTCGATTGCCAATAATCCATGTGTCAGTATGACAGGTAACAGTATGTATCCTTTTTGTTATTCAAATATATTCCCACCTGGATTTTAGAGGTGGATTAGTGAAAACATATTTTCAAGCATATTTTTATACATAACATAGACACAAGTATGTGATGTGTTACTATATTTAATGTCATTACATATACTTACTTAGAATTATTTTTTGTCAATAAAATGATGTGCTTGTAGAAAATTAGATAAAAAAACAGCACCATTTGTATTAACTGTAGATTTACAGCAATAGCTTATTCTTCTTAACAAATAGCTTATAGTGGATTTAACTATCGTCCTTTTGTTATCAATTGGTGTATGAGCTTGAAATCAATTGATGGCTATCCTGTTGATCCTCTTGAAAGGTGGGTCTTTTTGTAGAAATATAATTATTTCATATATAATGTAATAAATAAAAACTCAGTTCAAAGAATCAAAATTTATTTGAAACAATGGCCACTCAGTTTAAGGGCAGAGTGGCTATATTCTCAGGGACGCGGTAGACAATTTCGTGTTGGTGAACATTCACTGCTTGCTCAGTACCTAGCCTCTGTTTGCCCACTTTCCGGCGAATCGTTAGAAAATGAAACTGACAGGAAGCTTAGGCTGATTTTGAGTAAAGCACAACATCATCAGCAACAATTAAGTCAACAAAGTGATACTGGAAGCGTACACAGCTTAAGTAGCGTCGGAATGAGTCCTTCTCCAGCCACTAGGCGTAGACTTAGTCATAACAGGACAAGTTCTCCTAGACGTGCCAGTGAGTCTAATTAATCCTTTTCTTTTATTCTCGCAAGTACAATCAGAAACCATCTAAAGTTTTTCTACTTATAATTGCAAACGTGGACTAGTAGTGATGTACACTTTCCAGTCGTCATGCACATTATATATGTTCTAGTTATAACGTGTTTTCTCTAGTTGCGCCAATGTTGACATACTATGAAGATAAATGCTTACAATCACCAAAATTTTATGAAGCAAAGTACTGTGTGTGCCATTCACCTTGTAAAGGTATCCAAAGTCAGAATGAGGATTTATCATACATGGCTATAATTACATAATGGGCATGTGTAAAAATCTAAGATATATTTCCCTCATAATTCAATGGAACTAAAACTAGAAATTGTTTTGGTAACATTTAAGAAACAATGTTGTGTATTAGATAGAAATTTGATCTTGGATTAGTGCACATGTTTACTTCTTTCATGCCTAGTACGTAGTATGTTTTTAAGTGACTGCTTTTTCAAGCTTATAGCGCAAATGACTTTGGAGAATGAAAGATAAGACATTGTTATGATGATGACGCTAATTAGAAGACTTGGTTAGCGAATTATCATTTGACGATTTGGAAATATATTTCACATAGTTCACATTTCTTATATTGTTTGTCTAGTCTTTAGTTAAATATCATTTGCATGCTTTTGCTAGCGAAGCTAGCCCTAAGACGTTTTTAAGTGTAAAGGAACATATAATAATATATGAAATAGATCTAAAATATTTAAAGTACATGACATTTAATTAGGTACGTCGAGAAATTCGTTAAGAATAAGATCACCGGACAGAATGGTAGCTAGTTGTCACACAGATGCTATGGTTTCTTCATGTCACACTCTGTTAAATGAAAATCATGAATCATTGATGACTCAAAGTTTAGATCCAAATATGCTCTGCGGTACCCTCGGTAATAAGGCATCAAATATTGCTATTTCACAAAGCATAGAAGGTAAATCAAAATCGTTGGTGATCTCCCTCTGTCACATATTTAACAAAATTGGTTTGTAGAAACATCTAGTCCTCTACAAGCTGCAACAAAATTGGTACCAGTTCCAGAGTCTTTAATGAGCCCAGATTTTCGTCCACCTTCTGGTCTTTCACGAGTTTTACCAAAAACTCCACCAAGCAAATTAACATCACCATGTCAAATTACGATGCCCAGTAAACCTACATCCGACGGTGACGGCAAGGCTATTCCAATTATAAATACAGTAAATCCAATGGCAAAAACGAATCTCAGTTCTTTAAAAGCGAATGCGCTTGTAAAAAGTAATTCTGCAACAAATTGCAGTATTGGGAAACCAAATATCGCTAAACCGATTGTCACGAACGTTAATAAATGTCCCCATAGTGTGAAAATTAATAATTATGTTCAGAGTAAAACATTGCCTGGAAAACGAAGTACGAAAAATTCGCCAAATCTAGGCAGAAACATACAACGACCAAAAAGTGCAAGTGACAGAATTAAAAGTGGCGTAATTAAAAAAAGTGGAGATGGAGATGCAGGTAATGTTACTCAAAGTAGCGACGAAGATAGCGAAGTGTGTCAGGCAAAATTAGATGGTATTCGCCATAGGGCTATTCAAAGAAGGCAGGAGGATAGCAATAAAGGTAAAAGTTTTTTAAAAAATAACATTTTTCAGTATGTGATAATTGAATATTATTTTTCTCCATATTTTTTCTGATTCTACTTTATTATACTATACTTCTGAAGTAGATCAAGATGAAACTGAGAAAGCAGCGATTTGCATCCAAAGGATGTGGAGAGGCTACCATACTAGGAACCTCAATAAAAAAGCAACCAATATACTGAAGACTATTGAAATGACCAGAACAAATAAATATATCCAGTATGATTTCCATTATCTCGTTATCTATAAGCAGTACATTATTTAACATTGTGTATTCTTTATTAATTTCCTAGAAAACTTTCTACCGACATGGAAGCCACTAGGACAGCTTTAGAAAGCGAACATAAATTGCAATTATTACAAATGCAAGCGATTAACGCGCTATGGAAAAAAGTTGTTAGTCTTCAGCCTAATAGTAACCGAGATCCTACAAGCAACGATAATGAGAACATTACACAAAATGTAGACGTTGTGACCAATTTAGCACAAACGTGTAATTTGTTACACACTCAGGTAAAATATCAATTACATTTTTGTAGTTAACTAATAATTTTATTTTGATACTTTGATCAGTTTCTAAGCAATTGATGCATATTTAGGTTCAACAACTACAAGATTCTATGTCAGAGATAAAACGATGCATGTCGAATATGCAATCAAAGCCAATGGTTGTTGATAATGGAGTTGCAACTCAAACTGAAATATCTGCTGTCCATACTCCAGCAGGCGAAGAAAATACATTTCCTTATGCACGGGCACATAGACCACAGACATTGCCGATTCATCAAACCCTTCATGAAGGAAACGAGAGTAAAAGTTTTGCATCTAATCTAATAGACAGTGTGTTAAAGAAAGTCTCTCAATCTACTGATACAACGGATGATGAAGTTAATACTGACATACTAAATTCTAATGAAAATCCTGAGCTGATAAATTCAAATGAACATCCTGATATGTTCAAAAGTTGTGAAGAAATTGTTGAATCTGATTTTAAAAACGTAATGGAGCATGATGACAAGAACGAATATGATGTAATTGACAATACCGTATTAAATGGTGAAGTTTGCGAGGAAGCACTATGTAAAGAATTACATCATTTAATTGAAACAGAAATTACGACAGAAAATTGCACAAACCTTGAAAAAGAAGATAGTTCGGAAGAAGTTGAGAAAGAACAGCTTTAATCTGAGAAAATGCACAGTAAATAATAAGGAAGAAAATGAAGGTGCAAAGTTATAAGCTCTGAATAGAAATTATGAAAATGAAATGCGAATTCCATCAAATAGTGTCCAATACACGAGTGAAATTAATGCATGTAACTAAAAATGCTCACTGTACATAAGTTCAAAAAGTGATCTTAATTAGACTGAGACGACAAAGTTTTATGGTTTTAGTCGCACAATATTTCCTACAGTTTATAACAAAGGAAGATCAGACACTTTTATCAAAATTTAAAAACTTGCCACGATATAAATAAAGATAAAAAAAAAAGTACCAATTACATAATATTAACAAAATCGTGTCGATAAACAGTTTTATCATATATCGTCGTACATTGTGGTCATTGAAGCAATTTTGAAATTTTTCCGTCCACATATCTGGTTTCTGAAATTTTCATCGATGTACAAAGTGTGTATTAATAACGTTGTATATCGTATAAAGCTTTGCCCCTTCTTAAAAACAACAAATATTACTGTACAGGATGAACTACCCACTTGGCACCGTGAATTCCAATGCCGTTTGTCGATTCTCAGATTGAAGTAACTGTAGAATCGTAGAAGAGAGTTTTGATATGTAAAAGCATTCCTTATTAATGGCAGAAGAATTTTTCGTTTTGCCAAGAAGTTGCCCGAATAACATTATATAGGTAATTATTATTTTTATGTATTTATTTTCTTATTTATTTATTTATTTAAAAACATGAGCTCTAGCGAAAATTGATATTACTGGCAAAGGTAGTAGATAACGGAAACATTTTTAATCTAGTCACTGCGATAACTTGTATGCTTATAACTGCTGTAGATATTAACTGAAACTTGTTACATAGGTATACAGTGTTATTAAAACAAAGAAACTTAAATCTTTCAACGAAAACGGATGATTAAAGTGTTGAAAAAATGTGTGAGTTTTTAATTATAACCAAAAATTGCATTTAGTGATTTTTCATATGCGTGTACATTTTTTATGTTGTTTTTTTTATTAAAAGTATTTAAATGTAATAAATAACTGTTGTTCTAAGAATATTAATGTAATGCCAGAAACTACATATGAGCTCCTACTGAAACCATACCATAATATTTATTTTGTGTGACATGTTCTATCATGATGTGTCACATAAAAGACATTTTAATGCTCAGGCTTGTTAAGAACTTGATATAAGTGTTTAATAAATGAGCATACACTGAATATTTGTTTACAGTAATATTTACTTTTATGTAATTGATTGATTCTTTTTATTACATTTCTGTTGTTTCTCACATTACACATATATTTTACTTGACATATCAAAGTACTTACAAAATTTGATAAAAAAAATGTTACATATAATAAAATATGTAAAAGGAAAATTCACTATACTTCACATATTCTTTTAATACAAATTAACACTTAACAAAATATATACAAAAAAGTATATTTTTAACATTGTCTAATAAATATCTATAAATTGGCGTATTTTCGGCGTGTTAATGGCACGGTGTCATTGAAACCCTAAACGTAGATCGATGACGGATGATCAATAGTGGGGATAAAACCTCGCTTAACCCTTTTGTTCCCTATACTTAGAATTTCATGTTTTTAATGTTATAAGTAGAGAGAGTTTAATCAGTGATAAAATACAAAAATTAAATGATATATGAAGACATATATCATGTATTTAATAAATTTACAAAATTTATTAAATATTATTAGTGTTTTATGTAAAAATAATAATGTATGTTTCTTTTTTAATTTGAAATATTTATATCAAAACGTTTTACTATATTTACAGACTTGTTATGAAATATTTTTTTTTTGTTATTTGAACATTCTTTGACACGATGCTTTTTCAATTGCTAAATATGAATTCATAACTTTTTTAACCTTTTCTATTTCCATTAAAATATCCTTATTATTTGGAGATACTAACAAGGCTTGTTTTAAGTCCCTTAATCCTAAATCATATTCATTTAACCCCATATATGCTTGACTTCTGCGAAATAACGCTTTATTATTGTTCTTATCAAACTGCAAAACCTAAGTGCAAAATCAGTATTAAGTAACAGTTCAAATTGTTCATGTAGTATATACATACATACAACGAAAGCTCACCTCTGCACATAACCTCAATGCCTCACGATGTTTCTTTGTTTTTAATTTAACAGCTGCAAGATTAAGCAGCAGAGCCATTCTAGTATTCCCCACAGATTCATTGGATGAATCCGGTATATCCACTGTCTTGGTCATCCAATTGTAGTAGCGAATTGCTTTCTTATATTTCTTGCCTGCATCCACATAATTCTTTTGTGAAAAATAATTATTTCCGGAAACTTTTATCTTCCTAATAACCTCCATTATATACTTGTACTACAAATATTCATGAACGTTGTTAGAAAACTATTTCATTCTGAAGGACATATTTGTAGAATTTGGTACTTGCATCCAATCTTTTGTTATCCACACTATAATCCCAATCTTCTGGCCATGGAGCAAAAACATCTTCTGTGCCATCATTTTCTTCTAAATCCCAATCTTGACCTTCTTTCAATTCTCCACAATTGATTATGTGTATTTTCTATAGTAAACAATACTGAACTCAGAATTATTTAAAGTACTAAAAAAAAAACAGAGTGTAAAGTTCATCTTTACCTCTAGTGGTACATCCTTTAGTATATTCACTTGAGATACTTCCAATATTACACCCATTCCTTTCAAAACTTTCCCAAAAACTACATTGGTATTGTCTAAATGTGTACTAGCAGAAATAGTAATGACAAATTGTGAACTGTTGCTATTAGGGTAACCCTCATTTACCATACTCAATAACCCCCCTGATGTATGAGAAATTTTAAAGTTTTCATCTTCAAATTGTGTTCCATATATACTCTCTCCACTCGTTCCATCAAAATTTATTATGTCCCCACCTTGGATCATAAATTGTGGTAACACTAGAGACATATAAATAATGATTCATTAACAACACATCTTATATTATCTTTACTGATTATTGCAAGCCCTTTTGTTATACCTTTATGGAATATTGATCCTTTGTAATGCAATCTTTTGCCATTGATTCCAATACCTTTTTCCCCAGTGCACAATGCACGAAAATTTTCTGCTGTTCTTGGTACAACATCTTTAAATAGCTCTATTACAACTCTTCCAACTACGTTGCAGTAACATAAATTAAATTAAAATTAATAAAATATTCTACTTAAGCCAAAATTGTCTAGTATTTCTTCATTATTATGATTTTATGTAATACTTTACCTTTCTCTGATTCTACTGCTATATCTAGAAAAACAATTGGATTGTCTTTGTTATTAATATGCTGATTTTTTAACGAATCTTCCATATCTTATTTGCTAAATATGAAATTTTGTATTAAAATGTTTACTTGTAACCACTGTCACAGATGAAATATCGTCTCACACGATTCGTCTGTGTACTTTACTACTACATAGAGCGTATTGTATAGGAATAGGAGTAATCTAACCAACTCTAAACTAGGGATGTTCGATTCTGAAATCGATTCTGCTACGAATCGATACTCGTCTAGCCCTTCGTAAAGCATAGACTTCGTTTTTCTTTCGTTCTATTAGAATTTAGCTTGGAATTCTTTCTTCTTTTTGCAGTAAAAGTAAGTAATCTTACTAGATATTTCACAGTTTTCTCTTGGACAAAAAGAAATTGTAAAATACATCAGACTATTTATTCTTTGTTAATGATTGTTGCCAGTTAGTATCCGCCAATTGTGAAGAATGCTCGTTGCAACAGAAAGCTTATTTATTATGGTTGACGATCGCAATCGAGACCGGATTAAGGCTTTTCAGACCCGGGGCTAAAGAACGATCGAAGGCCTTGATAAATAATTTGCATAGTAGAGGTACAAATTACATTTTTCATATAAAATTTCATTGTCTTTGATAAATAAATTTCAGGAACTCTGAGAATCGATTATACATATTTATTAAATCATTGTGCTGCCCTCTGCCACAATGCATACACACAGGCACACATACATTGCTTGAGTTTAGTTACAAATTTTTTACTTAGCAATTGAAACTAATTTGAACAATAGATTTTATAAATGGTGCATCACAAATTAATGTAGAAGTATTTTTAACGTTTAATTAAAAGTAAAAAATATTTTAGTTCCTTCAACATTTTTGAATTAGTAAAAAAGTTAAGGTCCCACCGAGATTTGAACTCGGATCGCTGGATTCAGAGTCCAGAGTGCTAACCATTACACCATGGGACCTTTTGACAAATTCCTTTATCAATATTATGTATATATAAAAATAGTTAATATAAAAAAAAAATTACTCTTAAAGTATTATAAATAACTTTATATATTCGATCTTTGCAATATATTCTGTTTAAATGATTTAGCATTACATTTATATTAATGTGGAAGGAAGTAATATATTAACGCATGTATGAATAGAAAACATAAGACACATTAATTTTTTATATTGTTGTAATAAGTATAACAATGAAGTTTTTGACAGTATAACATATAATGTATATCGCTTTGCAATAATTTTTTTTGTTGTTTTTTTTTATACATTTATATGTGTGTGTACATATAAATACATATATACATACACATTGTACATATATTTTATAAGATTAACTTAGATCTTTAAATCGATAAGAATTGTCTCTATAAATTATAGTAATATACAAACAAGCAATTCGGATTATCAGTACACAGATCATGTATAATCAAAATTCTAAAAGCTTATCTAACACTAGAGTGTATTACACAATATCACTATTACAACTCTTACTCTTTGATACCTGTTTGAGAACAGTGATTATATGCTTCCTTTTTCAAAATAAATTTTTGTACTTGTAACACCAATTTTATAAGTAATAAACTTACATATATACGTGAGACGTTAAGAAGCTTCGTGTTTAAACGGACAACACGTAAATTAACAATATTTCACATTGTTCGTACTATTTGAGCAATAAAAATTTACATTTTACTTTATCTGTGTAGTAACACATAAAAGAATGTGCAAATACTATCTTATGTTTTCTCTTTACTTTGTCTCAGTTATTTCACATATAAGCGAATTTGGCTAATAGTCTCAATAATTTTAATAACTTTATTCTCTAGTAATAGAATAATATGTAGCCAATATAAAGTAACGTCTTTAAAGGGTGTGGATTATATATTATACAAATACAACCCCAAATAGAAATGCTGTTTGTTCTAAAGCCAAGTTAAATAAAAGTGTAGATTTAGTGGCTTAATAAAAAAAAAGTAAACGTTCTTGAGCACTTCCGGGCAATAGTCTCCAACCACGTTTAATGTTCAAATATTGAATAATTGCCCGTGTACAAATCAAAATACCTGAAATCAAATATAGAACATTACTTATGACATTCTTAATGTCTTGATATAAACAATCCGATTTTAACTATAGTACACATAAAGAAATACAAACCAAATCCTATTATTAACCACCACAGCCATGAATTTTCACGCGATGCAAGGTCAGTGGAATGTTTAACGATCAATGTCCACTTTGTCAATGATAAGCCAAAACCAGATAATGCTCCATATCGCGATGCAATCGTGTGACAAAAGCACATCAGAAGTAGAAATCCAATCCAATTAAATAAAAATGCAACTGCAATAAATAACAAACATATATTTAGGACTGTCGTTAGAAAGATAAAAAAATGTTACAACTTACCCAAAAATGCTGTAAAGAACATAAAATCAGTACCAAGTAAATCACTTTCTGAATCTCCTTCTGCAGCTTCAGTATCTACAGCAAGAATTGCTACAGGTTGCTGTAATGCTCCAAGTTGGGAAAACTATGACAACAATAGTATTCAACGATATAATATACATCTAATTTCTGCAAGCGTGCATACTGTTATTGATCTGTATAAATATTGTATAAAATTACTGTGCGTATATCAGGATGATGTTCCCCTTGTAAAGTTTTTTCACGTTGAACCTCTTCGTAACTGGGTAATTTTGTAGCTACTTCGTAAGGTGGAGGAGCTGAAAAATCTGCGTTTGGAGGTGGTATTTCGTCTCCTTCAGCCTATAATCATCTTGTTAATAAAACAATTTTTTTGAGACATACAGAAATAAATTTATATCATACCATTCGATGGTCAATCGAAGTTTGGGCTGTAGCAATGTTTCCATAGCGATTGATCATATCATTTTGTATAATTGGTAATGACACAGTTAACGTAGGTATTTCATTTTGGGTCACTGGTTCTCCATTTGTGTCACTGTTTGTATGTGAAGGCTAAAATTTAATTATAATTGCTTACATTGAAGGTTTGTTATTAGCAAATGTAACCAATTACTTGAAAAGATCATGTCTTTTTATGTAAGTGGCAAAATGAAATCATGTGTTGCTGGTAGTACATTGTTAAGGAGATTAAAACAATATGACACTGTTTATATTTTATTTAGCTTTTAATATCAAATTGCATTTAAAAAAAACAATTGTCAATCGGCGAGAACAACGTTTTTTAGCGGCTTTTATGTGGCAATGTTCGTGTACCATTTGTATTCCAATACATGGCGATATTATTTAGTGCATGTAACATCTATTCACTAAACAAAATATATTGGGATTTGGCTGTTGTCAATGGATTGTTAACTGACCAGTATTGTCTTTGCAACATCACATATGAACAATATTTATCATGATCCGTAGCGTTTACAGAACATACCATATTGTAACGAATATTACTGTCCATTTCTGACGAAATCTATACGAAGCGCGTGTAAATAATTCTAATTTCGTGCAATAAATGAAAAAATACTGTTTCTGTACGTAACGCTGCTTTCTAAGGCAACAAAAGTTCTTAGAATCGATGGCTGACAGCTGGCTAGGCTGTACCGCCGTGGCAGTAGATGTCTTTCTAACATCACGTTTATTATTTTCAGTACTTCTCTAAGCAATTTAAATTTATCGTTATTTGCTGGTAAGATAAGTTTCTTAATTTCTTGAAATTTCTGTTCCCTTACGTTCTGAATAAATATTACAATTGTTTATTTTAAATTTAATATAGGGGGAAAGTAAAGTCGGAAACTGAACCTGATTGGTCATATGCGAATTACCATTGGAAATCAGGTTATAGGACGGGAGTGTAACAAACCGGAATTTTTCTTCCTACCGGAAGTGTAAAATTAGTAATTAATAAAAAATTTGTACTATAATTTAATTAAAAAACATTACAGTCTTTTCGAGTAATAAGCAACTATATATTTATAAGAATCATGTCGCTATGCAAAAGTGTAGATAATAAAGAGAGATGCTCGTTTGATTCACGACCATTGGTGGGGGTAATTTGGATCACGTCGTCATGCACAAACGACGCTCTACTCGTCAGTCAGTCGCTTGCCGATCGTCAAAGCAGCACGGGGGTTTTATTATGTCGGAGGTTTTCAAACTAGGTGATCTAGTATGGTGTGTACTCGTAACGTGATAATCACTGAATGTTTGTAAGAAAAGTAGTGAAATGGATATAACAGTGATTATTAATCGATATATTTATGGATTTCAGGGCGAAGATGAAGGGATTTTCGCCTTGGCCTGGCCGGGTAAGTTCGAGTTAACTACTAACGGTTCTGTGTTAACTATACTTCGCTTGGCTGTACGCGCCACGAAGTCAAACGCGGTCATCATATTTGGCGGGAACGCGATCGCTGTCGGTTCGGAGTACTCAAATTTCATACTTTAATATCGCGGAACGATTGTTTTCTACAACTGTCGACGCCACTGTTGGCCCGTATTGCATATCTCCCGCCACACCCGACCTTCGAATTCAAATTGGCGCGCAGGCTACGAAAATATAACCTAAATTTCGTTTTCTGATTTCATAACTTTAACCACGATGTTCCGAAAGCGATTAAAACTTTCATGTTTACGCTACAGGTTTCTAGATATTTAGGCACAGGTGTTTACGTTTTTAAATCCAGTTCATAGGGATAGAAAAATTTTGTCGTTATCTCAACATTTATAAACGGATATATTCGTTGAATATTATTCACGCGGCAACTACGATTTTCTTATCGTGTAAATAAATCTGAACGATTTGAATATACAACCCAAATATAAGTTTTTTGCTCCAAATGATTCGTTATCTACGTTTTTGTTTTTTACATGGTACTTTATTTATATACAAAAGTGAAAAATACCAAATGGTTTTATTTTGTTTTTCAGTATAAAATTATTTATACACTTACGTATTGTAACAGCTACCTATATGTATTACATCTGTTTTTTTTTTTTAAATAAGAAAATAATAGCAAATTTCAAATAAAATAGTTTTAATATCAAATATTGAAATTAAATATTGCACAAATTAGACATATGTACATACTTTTTTATATAAATATAATAGCAATAATTGTTAATATACTATGAAATATCTAGTATAACAGTATTATAATATGAGAGTTATTATTAATTATATTTTTTTTAAAGATTGTAAATTATCATTTGTATTATACATATACTAATTTTCCCCTGGCATCTTAAGGTGTCTAATCCTTCAAAGGAGTTAAAAAAACCAACTAATACTAAGAAGGGGCCAGTTCAATGTATTTTCTTCTTTGGAACAAATAATTAGTAAGTTTTAAGCATGTTTCTTACATTTCATATTTTTTTGTGCACTCACTTTCAAGACTTATAAGAATATTTCTTATAGCGCATGGATAGAGGAGTCCAATATAAAGCCATATCTAGAATATAAAGATACTCTTGTAAAATCTAGTAAATCTGGTGCATTTAAAGATGCTGTAGAAGCAATAGAGGAATTTATTGCTAATGGAGAGGTAAGATATTCTTTATATGTTTGAATTTAGATTGTTGAGATTAATTAAAAATAAAATAATTCATGATGTAATGTTGATGATGGCTGTTTCTAATAGCGACAATATATTGTAAAATATAAAAAATAATTTTTGGCCTGTATAAAGGTATTAATTGTAACAAGTGTTTGGATGCCATGATATTATGTGCTTTAGGTTTTTGAGGATGGCTTAGATCCAGACTCCTTGTTCGATAGACTCAAAGAAGAAAGTTTATCTGAGAAGAAGATTGTGGTGAAAACACCCAAGCCTCGTAAGGTTAGGTTTATACTAAAAATTAATATTTTCAATTCCTAATGTTTTACTACGTATAATAAATAATAAATAATATTAAAATGTATTTTACATATAATATAAAGTAATTATGGAATTGTTGATTTAGGAAACACCAAAAACTAAAAGAATGGACACTAGTGCGAGTGATGCTCGTCGTCCTGCCAAGAAACAACGTAGGGAATCAAGTACAAGTAACAGTAATAGGGTTGGCAGCATCAGTCCTGCGCTAAATCATTCTACTCCTCCCAGAAAATCAGGGTCAACGCTTCTTAATAGGCCTGCAAATATTGCTAGACCCGTAAGTACATTTTAAATATTACTATTTAATAATAATAGCGAGTATATTAATTTTTTCATTTTTAATGTAAAATAAAAATTACTCAATTTGAAATATTAGATAAAAATATTTTTTGAAGCTGTGAGCTTTTCATGCTTGCAGCAAAGGTTTTGGATCAAGCATTTAGTTTCAGTAGACACCACTATTTATGACTTTAAAAGTGGTAGATTCCTATTGGGGCTTACCTAATTGTGTGAATAAATAAACACCAACAACATTATGCCTTCTTTGATTCCTTTCCACAATCGTACAATTCATATTATTTATTGCAAATTTTTAAATATTGTTTACTGTGAAAAGCATGTATGCCTCTTTTATACGAAAGAGTAAATTCATAGAATATGCATTAACCCATTTATCGTGAATTTCAAATAATATATAATTATATATCATGTGTATTAACAAATTTTACTTTAAATTATTCAAATGCATATCGGTAAAATTTTCCACCCTTCAGTCTATATTCCAAATATTTTACTTTAATTTATTTAATTCGCTTATAAAATATTCATCCATTGGTATCAATTTTTAATGCTTTGTAAAAATGCCTATAACAATTAATTTCCACATAGACATTAAACAGTGCTTGTATGATGAAAGATTAAGGTAGTTTAAATGGTCCTTTTTTTTTATCTTTTATGGACAATACAATAAACTCGTCATTTTTTACAATATTCAATGAAATTAGTACTGTATATAAATAGGAATTATCCCACTGCAAAATTATAATGTATTTTTTAACGAGATTTTTTTTGCCTTTTGAAAGATATTTCGCGAGAATATATGGAGCAAAGTGCTCACTAATAGTTTAATTCTGTAATTTAATTCTGTAATATATAGGTAGAGTCATGGATTCTTTTTCAAGTAATTTTCGAATTTATATTTTTTGTATCACAGTAAATTGATGAAGGACTTAGTAGGGTTTTAATTAATTTTGCGCAAAAGTTAGTCGCGCAGCCATATTTTTATTTTATTTAAATATTGTTGCGGCACATTTCCCGTTTGTTTCTTTGTTCGAAATTTCTGAATTAAGACAGCATTATTCGAAACTGTATTGCTAATACCTTACTACCTTGCATGGCAGGTGACACCTCCTTTAGACGTGGAGACATTGTCGCAAACTCTTAAAGAGAAAAACATCCTTCCGTCAACCTTGAAATTTGGGTTCCTTGGTTTGGGTATCATGGGTAGCGGCATCGTAAAAAACCTTATCAACAGCGGGCATAGCGTAATTGTGTGGAATCGGACAGAAGAAAAGGTATGTACCTTTTATTTGTTTATAGTATAATACGTCGACGTTGCGATAAACGAGCGCAACATAAGTCACGCATCAGAGAATGTTGATTTTCATTTATAATTAAAAAAAAAAAAGTGTCATACGAAATTCACTATCTTGCAGACGGTTAATTTATTCTTTAAAAATATTAAGTTGCATATCTTTCGATCAACTTCTCTTTGAATCTTTGAGTAAGCACAGAAACGTTATGTAAATGAAATTATTAGTTTTCTTCGTTATGGAAAAGAAACGTTGTAACGCATCTGTTTATGCAAGATTTTTTTACACGAAGTGACAACTATTTTCATTATCATCTTGTTGCACTGCCAGCATGTACGCCAGTGCCGTGTTTTATTTATTCGATAACAAATTATAAAGAACGACCCTTAAGCGCCGTTCCGGATGCGAGAGAAATTCATCTGTCGATCCGTAAATCGCGTCCTCCGTGTTAAATCACGGGAGTCTGATTTTTTGAAAAACGTTTGGAAAAATTCGTGGGAATAGAAAGGAGTAACATGGCAGAGAGACATAATTCAAGAAACAATCTCGTTTATTTAATTATCCTGTAAATTGAGCATGTTTTAAAAACAATCTGTTTGAAATTATAATTTAACACAAACGTTAGGATGATAATGAAAGAAAAAAAATAAATCATTTGTCGGACAAGGAGTGAAAAGTACTACGGGGACAGGAGGTGTTTTAATTGTAAAACAATTCAATAACTCGCTGCCCCGACTGAACATTTTACGCGATGGAAAGCTAGATACGTGCCCGTTGGAAGTTTCAGGACATTTTATCTTCTACTTCGTAGCCAGAATATCCGTGATTCGAATAAAATATTTTAATTTTCTTTAAAAGTACTAACAGTATTTCTGCACAAGTAAACGTAGCTTTATAAATTCTTGTTTGCGTCTGCAACATGTATTCGTCCCTACGAGACTTTGAAAAGAATGTGGAATAATGTCAGCTACCACGAAAGCAATCAAAACACCGCGGAAAGTCGTGTTTTTTTTTGTTTAGAGGAACTTGAGGGTATCGGCGAATGATTATGCAATTGGAACAATCTAATGTAACGAAACATAGTGCACACGCGCGGATTTGCACTATCTTTCGTTGCGCTAATACAGCGTGTATGGTATCTTCCATCAGGAATGCGTTCATGGTATTTACTCCACAGCCCTGCTTTTGACGAGTGATTTTCTGATAAAGTACGTCTGTTGCCATCTAATTTATATACGTAAGAGCAGCAATGACTGTTCAACGGCAACATTTAATCCCATAATTAGTTTTGAGAACCATTTAGAACAACGCATCATCCACGTACAGCATTATCGATGAACAAATGTTTACAAGAACGGTTTAGCGGATGCCTAATACGATCTTATTTGGTTAATCTTTAAAAGCATGCAATTAAGTCATCCTTTATCGTATCCCGTTGCTTTAGCGAACCTTTCGGGCTCGTAAAAGTCTCCGTACAAATACTTCTTTCTGTATTCCCTTTTGGATGGTATCTACGATCGATGTTTAGTCGAATATATTGATATATCGTACATTTACACGAATTGCGGTTTCATACTTTTAACGAGATAATTACTCGAAGATAACAAGCGACATTTCACGACAATATATGTGACGAGAAAGTTGACGAAAATTTCACGTTGCTCGCTTAAACCATAAGTACTACGCAAGACTCCTAGGGGCACGGTGCATATTTATTTCCGGTATTTCAATATCAGCAAAGCGCACGCGCTACAATTTTATATATTTTCTCGTTGGCAAATATTTTTTTTTTAATATTTTTCCAGTGGATCCTCAGAACCCTCGCGTAGTATAAACGTTAAAAAAAATGTTGTGCACAGTAATTACGGATTAACAATACATTTTCTTTCGTCGACGAACGGGAGTTAATTAAAATCGGTAATATTGAGCGTTAGTGATTTCTTTCGTTTCTCAATTTTCAACGTCGGTCGAAAATTGCTCGCATAATAGAGTTAATATTTTATTAAAAATAAATTTGTCCGGAAACGTAAATATCGAAAATTGTGGATAAGGTCGGGTCGGGGTCCGAACGTTTCTGATCGCACAGGATTCCTCGGGTACACGCAGTGTCTCGATAAACTTTTTCACAAACTATAAATTAGCGTGATTTGTTAGAGATAGTTGTACAATTTCGAGAGGAACACGGTATAACAGCTTTAATTTTTTTTTAGCAAAATTCAACAGAGGAATAAATTTCGGAAATAAAAGTCCCCCGGGATACATCTATCCTAAAACCGAGTGTTGCGCGTATGTCTCATCGCCTCGGACGTAAACAAACAGCTAATGTCCCTAACGCTGACCTATTTTCGTAGGATAGATGTATTTATTTTCAAAAATTACTCCATTTGCCATGCAAAGCTGACTTTTATATTTACTACTCTCGAAGTCACACCACTCGATGGCCAGTTATTTTGCGAAGCATTTATTTTAACATTTTTACGCTTTCAATTATATTCTTTACATTGAAATTTAAAATAAGCTCTATAGTTGAGTAGCGTAAGGACTACGAAATACTATAACGTTCGAGTTGGTCTTTGTTTCGTATACCCAAGTAATCTCATGCGACTAGAGACTCTCGAGATCGTGATAAAAGGACCCGATTTTATACCTATAGATTTTGGGCTCGAAGAACTAGAAAAGCATAGTCTCAAGTTAATATGTGCATTGGATGGAATAGAATCTTTAATCGTATTATTCTAGACAACGAATTGCCCAAAGATATCGATGATTGGTGAATGAAATTTCCAAGTATCGGTTGCCGTGATGCCTCGTGAAAGGATAAAACTTGTATTCGCTTCAACATCGAGTACCATATCGATTAAAATGGCGCGCGTGCATCGCATAACCGCAAGGTATATACGCGAGAATGGATTACAATCGATAAGTTCGGATCGTGCGAAGCGCTACTCCGCTAACCGTTTGCTAAGATTTACAATTTGCCGCCAATCGTCGTGTACACATCGTCTACTATTTCTAACAGTTACGTTACACGAGATTGAATGAGTTTTACGGTACCATCGGATGTCAATGGCGGGTCTTTTTTTTTTTTATCGAGAGGCTGGCTCGCGAGCTTTCCCGCGATTCGCCGACCCCCGGATTTTCAAGGGATGATAAAACGTTATCTCTTCGAAAGCGTCGAAGCGTTCCAAAAATAACGTCAGCGCGGCTACTCGCAGTAGTTGGCTTTCTTGCCCGTTCGACATCGTGTAACGTTGAGAGAGGGGGAAGGAGCTACGAGAGGGGATAGAGCAGAGAACGGAGGGGAACGAAAGAAAAATATGGGGAAAGGAAGGAACCCAGGAACTCTCTCGCGCGTTTCGATATATTACATGAAAATTCAAAGTTTCGCGGATTCGAGAAACGTAGATGCACACATTAAATTGTTCTTTCCTTCTTATGATGTTCATCGAAGACATTAGAAAGTTGTTTATATAGAAAATGTTTGGTTCTGAAAGGAAAAATCTGATATCGCGATCGAATATTTTTTTCCAATCGCTGATTGCGAAATATCGTTTATATATTTTATAATGGAACTACATATTATACAAAAATCTATGGTTAGATTATATATCGTGTAAATTCAACAATGCATTTCCAGTTATGCTTTTCCTTATCAATTAAATATCTCATACGAATTAGTATCATCGAAGATTATATATTTATATTCCACCATTTTATCATGCGTTCTAAGGAGAATTCAACGTGCTAAATGATCTCTGCTTTCAGCGGAATACAGTGGTTCTTATCTGCCGCTTCAGAGATCGATCTATAGCGCGGTGGATCAGCATGTTACAGAGATGGATATAATTTCTATCTAGATACAAATTTCGAATAACGAACAGAAGATAAATAACTTGTTATCCGTTATTCGTTTTGCATCGAACAAGTAAACAGATCGTTATATATTGGTTTTTCGTTATCTTTTCTTCTTTTGAATATAATTTTGCTCGTCTCTGATATGCTGCGATATCACGATTGAGAGTCACTGTTCTACGCTGAAAACTGTGGTAAATCTATCCGTAACAATATCTCGCGAAGGGGTTCGTGTTATTCGGTTCATAGAATTCATCCTGTAACGCACTATAAGATAAATTTAACGAAGATATATGATTCCATCAAGATAGAAAAAATAATCAAAGTAACCTTCGAATCTTGGCGACTAATGATAAAATCAAACAACGTTTTGCATAAACAACTTCCTTGCATCTTCGGCAGTATGTTAATCGTGTCTATATAATTGAACCGGTTATACTTGAAAATAACTATATACCTTTCGTTAATGTTTATATTATATTTTGTATCTCGTTCAATCATGGTGTTCGCACGCGATGTAGTCGCATACGATTACAGTAAAGTATAATCATTTCCAATCAAAAAATAGTTACTTGTCTTATTTTTGTTTACTTTAATCGCAGAGATAAAACACCGTAAGATTGGGACAGATAATGTAAAATCCACAAGACTGTTCTCTGGCCGGGCGAAAGTTTACAAATTATCTGTACGAGTTCAGCTATTATCAAACGAAATGTTATGAAATGTGGCCGAGTCGAGATCCGTAATTTCACGCTGACCGTGCATTTAATCTAAGAAACAACTCGTTTGAACGTTGCCACGACGAAGAATTTTTGTTCTCTCCGGGGTTTTGTCCTCTATAATTGGAATTATTTAAATCTTCTGGAAGTTACACAACTCCGTGATTTTAACGCGCAATCGGCATTGGTGTAAAAGTACATAAGGGAAAAAGGAAATCGTCCAGAGTCCATTTAGGCCGTCTGAACTGTGCAATGGCAAATTGCACTCTTATTATCGTACCTTCGCGATGGCGATTATCGTGATTAGAATATTCTTCTGTTTAACGCCTGTAAATTGACGTCTGTCCGCCAGTCCTATTAATCGATTGAGTTTTCAATCCTTTAGATAGTCGTTTCAAACTTCCTTTAACGTCACAAGCAGTGAGAATTTCCGAGCAGAGGATATTCTTTATAAAATGCGTCACGCATAAAATAAAAATAAAATATCAATTACAGCGTTTCGTGCACGATGGAAAATCTAATTAAAAAAATCAATTTGAAATTAATGTAGGAAGACGCGGCAAACGGAGCTCGTATCTAAAAGGAGAACAGTGAAAATCTATTGCAAAATCTTTTGTACCGGTTGAGTAATCGTAAGAAAACGCGCATAGTATCGTGCGATGAAAATGTTTAAAATTCCTTTATAAAATGTTGCGAGTGACCAGTTCGGAGCGGACGTTGTTTAGGTATGACGGTGTTAAGATGGTTAAGTACGTTCTTCCCTTTCTCGACAGAATTGTGCCTTTTTTTTTTAAATAATTGTATACTTGTATTGTTCGAACAAGTTGTATATTTCTGATTAGGAAACAGGCTAAAATAGCGACGAGACATCCAGATGTCGGGGGGGGAGGGGAGGAAAAAGTAAGAGGTTACGCCTAACCGGATGTCAGTACTTTGATCTATCGAAATGTTAAGATTAAAAGAAAGAGAGAAGAGCAGAGTCTAAACGGAACAACAAGTTACCGTGTAGGTTTTTTATCATCGAGTATCGTTTAATCGGATAATCGTCAACGACGCGTTTGCCGATCGCGGTTCAGTCTTTCGTTTAAATAATATGATCACACGCCTACTAACTGCTACAGTTAACACTCACAGTTATTTACAGCAAAAAAGAGAAGCGAGTCGATCGATAACCTTCGAAATCGTTCACTTTCCGTGAAATTGACCAGCAGGGTGAAAATTATTACTGAAATCGTTAAATATATCCGCGTCGGCATTCTTTTTCTGCCTTTCGGCTAGTTAGTTTCACCGGGGTTGACTTTAACGGCAAATTTGGCAGTAACACCATGACGTTTTACGATTCGTTCTAATGCTTTTGTTTAGAGATCGTCGATCGTTATCGTCGATGCCAACGATACATGATAACGAAGATAACGATACGCATGCACGATGTGCGGGAGCGGACAGTTTGCAAGGTCGATGATCGGATCACGGAAGAGTCCTTGGAAGCTGTCCGCAATTTTTTTTTTTTTTTTCTAATTTTTCTAAAACAACACCCACGCACCCTCGATCGACCGCTTCATCGACATCGGTTCAAAAGCGTGTCCTGTCCCTTTGGTACTCATAGGCAATATTGTTTCGTCATGTTCAGAGGTATATATTCTCTCGATAATCGTAAAAAAAAAAAAACAAACAAACAACGTCGTTTGAAATAGTCCCACGAGAAAAAGGTACCACCGTTTTATCTTCGCGAATACATCCTCACTTACCGGTGTAGAGGCACTTCTATGTATATTTTTCTCACATAATGATCCAGTCAGTGGCAGTACATTCTCGTCTTAATTGTAATCCTGCTCCTATAAAGAGAGGTTAGTACCCTTAAACACTTGTTCCGAGTTGTTTAGAGTTTGGTTTCGTGCGGTAGGTCGGGTAAACTGGTGCTGGGTACAAAGAGACCGAGAACTTCCGCCTCTGTAGGCTCTTTGGCTAAGATATCGGTACTGTAGCCTCTGAAGACCGACTTGGTATGATCCGCGTCTTTGTAAACCGACGACGAGCTGCCGTCTTCCTCGATACTGTGCAGCATGATCTGGTGGGGAATCGCTCCGTTCGACATTAGGTCTAATCGTGGCGGTGGGCTACTGTCCTCGATGTAATTTATATGTATTCCCTCCAGGACGTTCACAGCGCCGTGAGGACTGGTCGACGAGAGTTCCGTTGGCGTGTAGTACTCGCTGTTCAGATCTTCGAAGCTCATACCGTTAGTCAGATCACTGATCTTCGTCTTGAAGTACATGTCCACGCGGATAGAGTCATCCTCTTTCGGATGGAACACCATCGAGTCGCTTTTGCCGCACGAACCGCTTCGACAGTTGTCGAAATAGAAGCTCGGCAAATTCTCCAGCACTTTGTTCAATGTCTGCTGTTGGTACTTGTAGCTCTCGCGTAGACGCAATACCTGATGAGCGCTGAACTTTCTTATCTTGTTACGCTGGAAGACATAGTTTTCTCGTACCCAGTTTAGCTGGCCGGTCGAGTAGTCCCGTGCTTTTCTCACCTGTTACGGAATCAGAAAAATATCATCGTGAAATATTCGTAGGTTACGGGTTAAGGGTTAGGCCATTGACTGTATAAATACTTTCTGGTTCTTCGTGGAAACGTGTAACAATTTTGTTCGGATCGATTATCTCGTTACGACACTAAATCACGTTGTACAGTCAATCACGTAGAGTACTGGGTTGTTCTACGTTAATCGGAGTTTTTTTACGGTACCGTTTCATTACCTGATCGTAATACTGATCTCTGAGCGCCGTCAGATGACTCGTTCCGTAGTCTCTTATATCCCTTATGTGCCTCATTTGACCTTCGTAATTGTCACGAATCCATTCCACTTGCTGAGCGCAATTCTCTTTTATCCTGTGCACTTGCTGGGTGTAATTTTCACGTAACTTCTCCAGTTGTTGACTCTTGTATTGCTCAATGCTATCCAGCATTTGATAAATTTGTTTGGCGCGGGGAGTAGAACCGACGCGTCTGCAGCACGAACACCAGTTCAAACAGCCGCACCTGTAACGGAAAGAAACAAAACGATTCAATCGTTGCATCATTTCGGGCAGCGATTTAACGTTACGCGTGGCCACCGGAGTCGATTCCTCGTCGGAGGTGTTTCACGCGAAACGATCGCTTCGTTTTTTAACGCTGTACAGATCCGATAAGCAGAGAGTACTTTAGAAATACTTACTTCATCAACAGATAACGAAGCAGTTGCAAGAATAACGTTAAGAGAAGAAAGATCGTGGCGCTCGCCGCGCCTACCAGGATGCTGAATATCTGGATTCTGTGTAACGTTATCGGATTCATCTGCAAACTAATATAGGTAGTGGCATTGGAAATCGGGTTCACCGCGAAACACTTGTACAGTCCAACATCCTGCCTGAGCATCGTCGTTATGTACAATGATCCATTCTCGAGGATTCGTATACGACCATCGTCAACGAACGGTACACTCTGTTCCCATCCGTGTACAGAAGGATGTTCGACAAAAGCGTCGGGAAAAGCTGGATCGGGATTCCAGTGCAGTACCTGGAGAGTCGGCGTGACCCATGTCAAGGATGGCGTGGGATTGCCATTGAACTCGCACTCGAGGAGCACGGAGTTCAACAAGAGATACTGTTGAACGGGCGTGGCGTATACCAAAAACGGCGGGGTGCAGTTCAAGTAACGAAGAGTTTGAAGGATATCTGCCGACCCGTCGATCTCGTCGCCGCACCTGAACCCGCTCTGGAAAGCGGTCCGTAGGTGCGCCTTGCTCTCGGCCCATTTCACGAACCAAAACATGCGACAGTCGCACGCCCATGGGTTCCCTTGCAGCTGCAGCTCGGTCAAAAACGACAGCTGCGCGACGTTCGCCGGTAGGAAGGTCAGATTGCTGTCGCGTAGATCGATCTTGCGTAGGGCCGGCGTGTGATCGAGAGCGCGTCGCGAGATCTCGCGTAACGGGCTTTGGTTGATCTCCAGCGTTTCCAGTTCCCCTAATCCTTTCAGGTCCTCGTTGCGAAGGATCTCCAGCTTCGCGCCGGACAGCAACAGTGCGCGTAGGTTCTTGACCGGGCGCCAGATATCTTGCGGAAGCACCGTGATCGGTAGAAACCTCAAGTTGAGCAGCCGTAAATTCGACAGGCTCTGAAACGTGGCGCTGGACAGATGGGTGATCGGGTTCCCGGAGATGTCGAGCTGCTGCAGGGACGCGAGATCGCCGAAGAGGCCACGCGGTATCATGTCGATCTCGTTGTTCGCCAGCTCCAAGATCTTCAGCTGAGTCAGCCCGGAGAACAAACGAGACGGAAGTTTGGTGAGCCTGTTGCCGGACAATCCGAGCTTTTGTAGGTGCCTGTTGGGCCTGAAACTGTGATCCGGCAGAGACACCAACAGATTACGGGACAGGTCCAAGCGGGTCAGTGCTTTGGACGAGGCGAACGCTTGATAGGGAAGTACCGACAGTCGATTTTGCGACAAACCGATGTCCTCGAGACGATCCAAACCTTGGAACAACACTCGTGGGAGTATGCTCAGCCGGTTCCCGGTGAGATTCAGGTACTGAAGTTGGTGCAACGGATGGAAGACGTCCGACGGCAATTCCGCCAGCCTATTGTCACCTAAGTTTAAATGCTCGAGGAACGTTGTCGCGCGAAACACGCCCGACTCGACGCGTTGTATTCCGCTCGACGTCCAGGCGAGGCTCTTCAGATGAACGGAATCCTCGAGGGCTGCGACTGGTATAGTAGCGGCACCGACGTGTCTCAACACGACGTTCGTGACCTGTCTCGGTAAGCCAAGCCCGAGGAAAGTTCGTTCCTCGCAGAATAGACTCTGTCCATTGTCCACGCACTCGCAACCCGTGGCACATTCTAGATCCAACAACTTCGCAGACCCTGACGACGGAACCTCCCGATGATCCTGCGTATCCGCAACTCGCACCGCTACGAGAAGAATGATTAACCACCACCACGAGTTCCACGCCAAAACCCGTTCCCTCATTCCTATGACCTGTAACGTGACGATTTTCACGCATACAACCAAGAACTCCCATGTCCTGTAGTCTGATCTTCGCGAGATCCAAATCGATGATCCGTCTCCGTACTCTTCACGTATCGAGCCACTATACCGGACACCGTTTCATCGATCATTCGCACTTTCGTTTCGCAAGAGGGATACTCTAACGGAAAAGTATATCTCCCGATCGTCTCTTTCTATTCCTTTGGTACCACGTGCTCTCGCGAAAATGCAAGTTTCTATATATATATATATATAGATATATAGATATATGTAGTATCTCTCTCGTTTTCTGTTTTGTATTTACTCTGTGTGTGAGTGTGTATACGTGTTACCTACCTATCACGAAGCGAGAATCACGGACAAAGCCCGCGAAGCACTTGAACGTGTTTGGCCGTGGACAACGGTGGGTTAACCCAATGGTGTTTTAACCGTTCGCAAAATATCCTGCCCAGTGTCTTACGGACGTATTGAGATTACTGGATTTGTCGATGGCGGCAGTGGTATTGCTGCTATTGCCGCGTCGAGCCGGTAACATAATTGTGTGCGTTCTAATGGAACGACTGATACAGAGTTCCGAAAATTGGACGGGAAGGGAAAATTTGCCACCGATATGACAACACAACGACAACGACAACGACAACGACGACGTCGACGTACACAGGCACTCGCGCGCACAGATACGCATGTGAATGGATATCATATACAAACGAGCTCTACCCATGCATCCATACACACACGCACACCTCCGTTTCTATCCCTTTCTTTGTCGTCGTTGTGTGTTACTTCTATCTTTCTTAGGTCCTGTCAATCGTATGTCACAGCGACCAGAGTTACTCTTATTCCGCGTGTCACATGACACACTCGTGCATCGCGACACGACCAGCGTCGTCCGTCGCGTACCAAAGACAAAAACTAACTGTGAGATCTGAGCACGACCGACTCTCGCTTCTCCTCGTGGTAGGCCCTCGTCACGGAGAACCGGCAACGTTGCCAGCACGGGAACCGCGCCGACGCAAAACCGACATCGCTGCACTTTGCAACGCGAACCGCCCCGTCGGAGAGAAAGAGAAAGCCATAAACGATCAAATGCAGCCCTTTATCCTGATTGTTGCCCACCGGCAGAACGCTTCGCCAACCTAAGATATTTTACTGCTCCAAGATGTCCTCTCTTTGTCGTCTAGTACTTCCGTTACTTGCCACTTAGTTTTTTTTTTTTGCAGGCATATGACTGCGCGTGCGCGCACACACTTAATTCTCGGTATCATACACGTTGGCTACACGGCTGCAGATTAATCTCGCGTTTATTACGTTCAAGCACGTGAAATGGTCTCTTTCGATCGAGTATCGAAGTATCTAATTTTTGTCGAGCGATCGATCTCAGGCTTGTCTTTGTACAGACGCCCGGAGGAATACAATAATCAAACTCTGCCATAATCGATAACATACGACTCACATATTTTATCTTCATTTTTTGATATCGCTAGAAACAGCTGTTATAACTATATCTTTGTTGTTTTATATTAGTTGTTTTTCTCAGAAACACTAGTAAACATCGAAATGTACGTTTAGCATACGATTTACGAGTTCTTCGTTGTTCAGCTGTTGTTTCGATCATTTTGGTAATTTATTCGAAAATGCATTTCATTCGTTTCTCCGGACTAATGAAGCGACCGTCTTCGGCGCGTGAAATAGAAAATGTTAAGTAACAGCATACTGGGAATTTCTTTCGAGAGCTAATGCGCACGCGTGGTAAGAAACTGCTATAGGTTTAGCTTCTCCTCGTATTTATTAATTAGGCGAATTTTATCTACCATCTTTCTGCTCTGGTAAGCAGTGTTACTACCGGTTGCACGGACAAACCTTTCGAATCTTGTTTCGTAAAAAGAGAAAGAACAGTATGCGCGTCTCCGACTGTGCACTGTTTGCTATTTACTTTTGGCTTCAGATCGAAACACGTTTAATTGACAAAGCTCGATGTGGTTCTCTGTTCCGTCACGATCAAATACGGATGGAATTAATCGCTCGAGAATAAAGTCGATTTCGTGGAAAGGCACAAAGTTCGACTAATTTTGCAGGCACATTAAGAGATTAAATATTCCTTTCTCTTGATTAAAATTTGCTCTGTTCTTGCTGTTGGCACGAATTACTTTTTGGTTCTCTTCGAAACATTATTCTGCATAGTGATAAATTCTGTCACTATTGTAACAGTTGTACTAACGACCCTGAAAGAAGATTAATTATGTAGCAAAGTTGAATTCGAAACACCCGATTCGTAACGTTATTTACCGTAAATTCGGAATCAATACAATTCCGCGGAGGAAACAGTGTTACAATTTAGGCGAAGAGTTTGATGCGCACACTCGCATTAATAATGTATCGATCTAAATTCAGTCTGTATAAATCATTCGTACGTAGTTAGGAAAGTATACATCGGTATTAATTTTACAAGAAACTTGAAAATATTGAACTTACCGTGTATCAATTCGTACGTTGGCGGTATCATTACGCGTTTGCATATTTCAATAAGGTTTTGTGGGTTGATACTGTACCAGTCGATACCATTAATTTCGCCTGAAATCTTACGGATACCATTACATAGCATCGATCTAAAATAGCTCAGCCTCGGTTTTCACTTAGCATTGAAGCACATCTGTATATACTATAATTAGTATTTTCACAAATACAAAAAATGTTTGAAAGCTTGTCTGCGTGCTGACTACCTTCGTCAAGGAGGAATGATGGTTTCTTGGCAATGGATGTCGCCATTAGCACATAAATAAAAAAATGAAAGCAGTGTAATGTGAAAACGGTCTAAGCTATACAGTCATTCGTCATAGTTACAAAGAGATTGCAATGTTCATAATATAAATATTTATACCGTAACAGATCGTACGAATAATTTTTCTACGATTACGTAACAGCAAATTAGATACTATATTGGTTATTTGGTAGAAATTGTCTTACATACTTCCACGATGTTCATTTGAATTCGATATCATGCACTAGCCCGATGAAACGTCAATTATGAATGTCTTCGGTCTATTTCTTTTAGAGTTTCAAGCTTGCACTCGGACGAGGTCATTCCTGGCCTGTATATTGCCATTTGTAGTAAAACTTGCGCTATTATCCTCGTTGTTTGAATTATGAATACCGCGTTAACTAAACTGGCGCGAACAAGTTAATTGAGCAAGCTTCGTTAAAAAAAAATTTAATTGCAAGGCTTATATTGTATACACTGATCTTGTTTAGAATTGATAAAGAAAATGTGATTTCCGTTATCTTAATGAAAATGGAGTACCGGTTCACCTATAAATCACTTGTTCAAATTGTCCACTTGTACAATTGTTAAATTAACCTTGGCGACAGCTTCGGCAGCTGTGTAGCCAACGTTCAATTTTGAATACCGTGCAATCTATACAAGTCAATTTTCTGCATCAGGTGAACAAGAAAGAAAGACGAACAGACAGAGATAGTGTTATAATTTAGTTGTTAGAGAACGGTCTCCGCTTTGACTTTCAACGAACGTGCACCAATCTTATGCTTGCGAGACGGTATCAGTGGAATGTCTTTGTGTTTACGAATATCAAAGATTCTTGAATTTACAATTCACGCCACACAAAGTCGACGTCAAATATCTAAAATCTCGTGTTCGAATAAATTTGATATACTTACCATATGTTCTGTATTCGGCGATAAGTTTAAAGTAAATAAACTTCGTTGTAAAAGCATTCGACTGCCAATAACATCGTATTTCAGATAGTCTTGTGTACGTGCTTAAATTAAGGATAATAAACGCGTGAAACGACCGGTTTATGATATTCCTCGGTTGCGTTTACAGATATGTTTGATAAGCCACAGTTTGCACATATTTATTCCCCACCATCTTGTTATTTGGCATCCAATTTCACCTCGCTGTGCCTGGCGAATTGAAATAAACGCCGTTGCAAAACACCGAACGCTTATCGCTCTTTTTTATCAACGTGAATAATTAGTTTGGTAAACGACTGGTCGAATGATGCTTTACACTTGAAATAAATGGCGATTATGCGACACGAGCGAAGTCCGGAAGAGCTCTTTTTCGATCGTACTTCAGAACTCGACTTGTGTGTACAGTCTCACGGAAATTCAATTTGTTCTTGATTTGCAAACTCCCGTAAGTTGCGTGGCAATGAAAACTCAGTTTTCTCCCTTTCTCTGTCTTCTTGGCGGCCATGGCCAAGGGGAGCAACTGTAAGGGTAACGTAGGACCATTATGTCTTGGAAGTATTTCCTGTTAACAGGGTATAGAAAAGTTCAAACATATATTACGATAAAGAATCGTTCGCAAAACAAGAAATACGTTGTCTCGAATACGACACTGAATTCTCAAAGGTGTTCGGTATTATTATTTACACAAAATGTAAACAAGAATACGAAATGAACGTGGACTTGTCGACTAACAGGTGTTACGTAATATAAATCCTTCCAAAGAAAATGCTTTAAGTAGATTGATAGCATTTGCAGAGCTCTTATTCGTGGAAAGAGTAATTAAAAAATTTTCTGTTCTCGCTTGAAAGATCAATGATATTAATGTATTCTTAAATCTGTATGATTTGTTTTTTAATCGACAAACAATCCTAAAGATAGTTTAGTTAGCAGCGTTACGTAACACCGTTGGCACACAGGTTTTAGGAGGGTCGAATACGTAAGACGGGTGTAATAGCGACGATTGCGGCAAGGGAGGAAGAAGTCGGACATTTTTAAGGACAGTACATTCTGTTGCTATCCGAAACGATTCGAGACTGAGATTGACAAAGTTTATCTACTCGAAACGAAAGCAGAATTGTAAATTCTCGAGTTGTATTCAAGAGCAAACACGATGGGTATTTGCTTGTTTCGCGCGTAACACCTTTCTTTATTGCATAATGTCGGTCGCGGCTAAATAGTTGCTGGCTGGAAGGAAGCGTTCGTTTCGTATTCGAGTTAAAACGGAACGGGCGATGTAAGAAAGGAAAGGCCTCTGCGGTCGAGCCGGGGCGATAAAGTGTTGGTTGCCAGTTACAAGAGAGAGACGACGAGTCGGCGCTGAAGCGAGAAAACGAGAAAAAACGGGAAGGGAGAGAGACACGGTCGTGCGTCGAGCCAGTACGAGGAGTAGAGCTCGATCAGCTGGGAACAGAGCGGCGTTGCCGCGTTTTACCGCGTGACCCCCGGCCGGCGACCGTGTCTCAGCTTCATGGATCAATATTACAGAGATCCGACAACCTCGCGCCGCTATCCGACTCTTTATTTATACGTGTCGGTTAGACGGCGCAGGCCCGTTCCGATCCTTCCTTTGGTCGCTTTTGTCCTTCGTCGCCTTCGTCTCCTTGGCCTTTGCCGGTTTGCCACGATTCTGATATTTTTGAAAGGTTAATTCTCCTAGCCAGGGCTGCACAAATCCGCCCAAAACGAGAATGCCAACATAAACAGACGGTAGCCGTCGACGTTAGGCGTTTGAGAATAAACGAGTCTTTCGACGATTAATCTCGTCGCGTGTATAATATTTTTAGGCCGACGTACGTACATACATAGTTTCGAATGATCAGGGACGTACGAGCGCGCGCGAAGTGCAATGCACTTCAGGAGGTATGTAGTCCGTCGAACATATGTCGTTCAACCTCCCTTTGCCGACTTGTCTCGCACCATAAATATTATACGTAATACGAACCACCAAAATCTTGACGCCATTTTAATCCCAAGGTGGAATTTTACGTGAACGACCTATTTCGAAAAATGTCTCGCGTATTATCTTATCTCTGTATTGTATATCTTGATGCCGAGGAACAATTTTTCGTAAGTAAACAGCCTTTCTGTTTGCATGAGATTAACTCGCTGTCCATGATATTCAAATACTCGATCTGTAATAGAAAATAATTCCAGTGTTGTTTGTCAGATAGCGCGGGACATTATCGTGATATTCTTTTACAAGTTTCAAGTATCCATTAAGCTGAAAATATCTGTTCGAGCTTTTCGAACATTTTTCGTAATAGGTACGTACCACGGGGAACAAGAGAATCACTAATTACTCTCCTGTTGAACGTACCCTCTTCCTTCCACTTTATTTTCTTCGTTCTCTCTTATCCCGCCATATTCGTTTTTGCCAGCGTCGCATCAGCAATTCGGTCAAATTAATTCCCAGTCGAGTTTCCGCTCTAGCGTGCTAATAATAATCGATACACGGTATCTAGGAGAACCTGAAAACTACTCAAAACTCGACAACCTTTCGTACGAGCACAAAGTAAGGTCGTATAAATAGACCGAACTGTAAGTCTAAAGGTAGATTTTTCTGACCGGTTTTTAAAATATCAGAACGTTTCCAAAGAGCTCTTTTGGAATACCAACGATGTTCTGCTCACGCTCTCTTCACGAAAATTCTCACGCTTCCACCGCGTGTACTGTTTTATTTTCTAATTGTGCCCCGTACGTGCACGAGTTTAACAATCGTGCGAACTTCGCGATTAGAAATTTTATATTATTAAATGGTTTCCGTGCGTTCACCGTGAGCTGCAAAGGTCGATATACCAGACTTCTCTACCTGTACCCGCACAATTCTACATTCGCCAGATCCGCATCATGTATTCTGGCACATTAGTTTCATACATGCCCATTCGACTGTCTCTTGCGACGATCCACACTTATATGCGTGGACCTTTTCGCCACCGAGTGTCCCAGATTTTTTCTCTCCTTTTTTTTTAGAAAAGGGAACACTTGGATACACGAAGTAGAGACACTACGACGTGTAAATTAGGATTCGCACGTGCTCAACATCAAAATGTAAAACTTCCAAGGATACGATGAATTTTAAAAGTATTTTTAGTTCTACGTATCTCCATTGTTACTTAATAATTGTTCATGCGATTCCTTCTTGAAATCTCTCAAGCTGTAACACGTATCTCAAGACACCCTGTATACTCTATTTTTACACGGTGGTTCTTTACTCGCTACTGGTTTAAAGAAAACGCTAACCTGCCGACTCCAGTGTTCAACGTGTGCAACTATCCACCCACGTGTTACGTGGGCTTGAAATACTCTCACATAGCACGGGATAGTGAATGTTTCCTGCCTATATACGGTTACGTATGGCACACATTGTTATCGCCAAAAATGTACGACTACGTGTTCTCCTGGCGGATAGTTAAAAGTTATCCAGGTGATTAACATAGTGATCGGTATAGTTACCGCCATAGTTAAGTACCCGTACGCTCGTAATTGCAGAGATGAGGGTACGTAACTTTCCAACGAGAAATTCTAGAAAGTAGAAAATTTCATAAGCGAGGTTTGGAAATATTTTCGGAATAACAAGTGTACTTGGAAGAGCGAAGCGCACGCCGAGTACCGTGGAAATGTAATTGTGTCGTGTATACGATGCATTCGTCCCTGGAAACCGTTGAATTTCTTCCCTCGTGGAAGCCATAGTCGGTTAAGTTGGTTCAAGGTCACGTATTAGTATACACATTTATATGAAGTTTATTTCGGTATGAACTCTTGCTATGTTTAAACAGAAAGTGGAAACGCGTTCGATAAATTCTTTTCGAAAGTGTTATTCCACGGCAAATGAAAGGAAACCTAAAAGAAAAATGCACCGCAAAATTACTGCAGACGTGGACAAGTATTTGAATAAAAAAGTTCGTTTAAAAATTTTATAAAGACAACTTCAATTTCGCGCGCGTATATTATTTCATTCTGGTTTTGTTGTTTGTGTTATACATATGCATATGGCAAACGGGCATGGCAACGATGCAAGCGATCGAGAACTCAAGGACATACATCCGCATATGTCGCACAAAAAGAAACAAAAAGGAAAGGTTCCTTGGCCATTACTCTCTTAGTCGCCTTTTCTATTTAACGCTTACATTCAATTCCCGGTCAGATTGCTCGCGAGCCAGATTGACGAAACTACCAAATTATACAATACCATGCTTTATCTTATCCGCCATTAAAAATGGACGCGGAAATCCAACGATATTCGTTGTAGAAAATTCTTGTTTAAAAAAATATCAAAAACCAGTTTACGCCTTTGGTCTTAATTTTTAGTCGACCTTTGTATCTCGTTTCCGTGCCCGCTATCGATGTTTCTACGATAAAACGCTGCATAAATGGATAAATAGAAATCCTTGTATTTTTCCAAATAAATTGTACGTGGAAAATAATACAGGTCAGGAATACGATCGATGTATACTTCGTGCTCGATTACCTTTGCGCACGTGCAATGAAACAATAGAAGAAGCAAATCAATTTTTACATTAAATTCCCTATTGTATCGGCCCTGTACTATTTGGTAATCGAACGTGTTCTGAATTTGCTCGTTCTACGCTCGTGAACATGAAAAACGGAATCGATCGTATGAGTAATACGGAGTTATAAAGGTAAAAGGTTATTTATTCGTCAAAGGAAGACAATGCAACTCCGTTTCTTTGTGACAATATTCAACCGGTTCGACGACACGACACGATAATCGGAGTATAATACGCAGCTGTGACGTTATACGTATTCTCTTTTAGTGAACTTCCCTTTGAACTTTACATTCATAAATAACCTTAAACCGTTTCAATGCAAAATGCCGGATATTCGTATTAACACTAACAATCTATTAATTGATTATTGTTGATACAATTTAATGATAAAATATAACTCGCGTGAGAAACGACGCCAATCCACATTTGGAAAATACCTTATTGATCTTGCTTTAGTGTAGCAAAGGATCGAGCACGTGAATGTACGTGGCATAAGGCCAGAGATATGTACGAGCTTTCGGTGAAATTTAATGATACGTTGGCACCAAATGGTACACATTTCGTTAGACTCTCAATATTTCTACCTTTTCGTTAAATATAACCCTGAAATATTGTACGTATACATACACACAGATCCCAGGAAGTCCTACATTCTTCCAATTTGTCCCGCCATTCTTGCATTTACAACACTGAATTGTTCGTCATCGATGTCGACATATTGGAAATTCTAGAAATTTCTGGAAACTCCCGGGTAGCTTGTTAAAACCTATATCTTATCACTCGTGATCCGTAATAATGAAAACTACATGGTTTATGGATTTCATGAACCGTCGATTAATGCATTGGTACACCTTTCAGTCATGTGCGAGGAATATCTGTAAGTGATGCAATGGCGTCGTTTGCTGATGTGGCAAGCTAGCCTGGAAACGTTTAGCGTTGTAACCGTTGGAACAACGTACGTGACAAGAATGGCGACGCAAATGGCGAGCGGCGAGTCGTGGCGACATCTATCGGATCGACGATCGTCAGATTTATATTTTGCTACTGTAACGCGCCGACTGGTGTCGCCATGATACCGAAAACGATCAGTTAGGAACGTAACAATGATCTAATGATCCCCGCGAATAACAATAAACAACAGAAAATGTTACTTGACCATGTTACTTGTAAATAAGATTAATTTTTCTCGTTAAGGTATACTGTGTTTAACATTATTGTCCACTTTACAGTGTGCAGACTTTGTGAAAGCAGGAGCAGAACAAGGTTTAACACCATCCGATGTTGTGCTTGCTGCCGACATCACGTTCTCTTGCGTAGCCAACCCGCAAGTTGCCAAACACGTGAGTAACAATATAATATAAAATTTTCGTTCACAAGCGTGTCGTTCATCGTATATCGTATTCCATAATTACTACGCATAAAAGAAAATACGAATCTGTTGCAGATGGTTTTCGGTAATTGCGGAGTCCTCACAGAAATATCTCCGGAGAAAGGATACGTGGAGATGACTGGCATAGATGCGGAAACATCGCAGGACATCGCCGAAGCAATAACCGCAAAGGGTGGTCGTTATTTGGAGGCTCAGGTTCAGGGTAGCAAAACACAGGCCCAAGAAGGTACTCTGATAATCCTTGCGGCTGGCGATCGGGGTCTGTTCGACGAGTGCCAGTCTTGCTTCGAAGCAATGGGCAAAAATAGTTTTTATCTCGGCGAGGTCGGAAACGCTTCCAAAATGAACCTCGTGCTTCAGTTAATGGCGGGCGTGACTCTGGCCGGTTTGGCCGAAAGTATGGCATTGGCGGATCGCGCCGGTCTTCAGCAGAAAGACGTGTTGGAGGTTTTGGAGTTAACGTCGTTGGCTTGTCCAGCGATTCTTGATAAAGGGAAAGGTACGATACAAGTAGTTTCGACTCTTGCTCGAACGATACCGATAATTCTCTTCAATTTTTTTCAGCCATTATCGAGGGCGGTTTTCCAACACAGTTACCACTGCAGCATATGCAGAAAGACTTAAGACTTTCTTTGAGTATGAGCGATCAATTAGAGCAACCATTGCCGTTAGCCGCCGCAGCGAACGAAGTCTACAAACACGCTAAACGTCTTGGTTATGGCGCGCACGATGCCTCCGCTGTTTACATCAGAGCCAGGTTCTAACGGAGCATGCATCGTCGAGCTTTTCGCTATACCATATTTATTGCAATATCTAGCGTTTCCCGTCGCTACCAGAGAAGAGTAGTGCGCTATTTGTCGAGGAGTAGTGGAACCACTATCGAATGCTAAACGAAGCACTATGACAGTTGTTAATACGTCGTGAACTTGTTGGGATATGAAATAAGTTCTGTTATTGCTGTAACGAAACAAGAACCAAATTCGACGTATTTGAATGAGTATGCAGTGAATTTGATGCACAGGCCTTGTCGCTCGATATAACACGATGTATGTATAAAATATGAATATACTTATACGTTTTTTTTTTTTTTTTTTTTTACATGTTTTTTTTTTCATGACGACTCTGCGTATATATGAACTTTTTTCTTTTACTATTAACACACGGCGACTACTTTTCTCGATAACAGTATGGGTCATAATAGCCGATCTCTCGAGTCGCGTCCCGACTTCGATCCCGTAAAACGCACTCCCCGCTTGAAAACTTGAGAGGCTTAGGACGTGTCGAAAATGTGCCTTACGATACCGCTTGAAACAAGGCTTTTTAATTGTATTTTTTTTAGGTTACACGAATGATAATTTTACTTTGAGTTTAATTCGGTATAATGAATTCAAGTTGCACGATGAGGATTAACGGGGACGATATATAGAAAAATTACCATTGTTAGGAAGGAAATAACGATGTAGTTAGATTGTATGCTTTATTGGTGCAATTATAAGGTATAATAGAGGGACAGTGATCTCGGTTTTGTAAACAAATTGTGGCGGTATTTTAGAAACATCCGTTAAGTAGAGCGATGATTAGATGACGATTTTTGTATGGTTTCCTTTTTTGTTTATCCTTTTTATTCCAATAGCAATGAAAATTGTACATTCATCTCATTTTCCTATTTTGTTCACTTCTTTCAGAATTTGTGGTGATGTACTTGTTAACCTTTTGCAGACAACTATTTAAAGACTCGTTTTGGTTTAGTGAATTGTCACGTACATATTAAGGTGTAATAATTATTAAGAATAAATTTTCGTTAATTCGTTTCGATTTAGAAAGAATTTCCAGGCGCAAGACCAAAACGGTAAAAGTATGTTGTCTGATATATCCGCCAAGGGTTAAATGTCTAACAACGAAGCTACAAATATTTATGAAATACCGAGGAACATGTTGGTTTTGAATGTTCTTTGTCATCAAACTATTCGTCTGTAGGAATTTTCGGATATATTGCCTTAAAAAATTATATTTTTCGCATAGAAATTAAAAACCTTTTGCGCCTAGCGTGATTATTACGATGCTTTATTCTCATTGATGTGGCTCTTACCGAATAAATTTACAGCAACGTAGAATCAATCGATCTCTTGGTAGCGTTACAAAAACGATAAATAGTAAAAATATAGAACGATAATTAGTAGATGTGTTGTACGTTACTATATATAGAGACTTATCGACTAAAATATTTAATAGACGATTACTTTTCTTTTCCTGTGTTACTTTGCCGGGGCATAATCGAAGTGCTCCTTTTCTACTGAAAATTCCATTCAACGTTCGCGACTGTGTTTTTCATCGTTCGAATTTTTATAGCGATTTACGAACAAACATTTTCATTCTCTGCACGAAAAATGACTATTTGCAGTACGAAAACGATCTTCTCCCAACTTTCATAATTGATGGTATCGCATGTTCAACGAACATGGACGTGTCGGGACAGTTCTTAGAACAATTTCCACGATAAAACGTTCTCTGCTCTCTCGTGTGCACGATGTTGCGATCTTTTTACGAAAAGAAGGTAATCTTCTTGATGAGGAGGGAAGTGAACGGCGCTTCCGTTTCCCAGGACGGTCGTGCGAGTCTCACAAGCGACACGCGACGAAGTCGAGGGCGACCGAAAGTTTTCGAGTTTGTTCGCGGACGAATTTGTTATAGAGTAAATTGTACGAGTTTACCTATGTCGGAAAAATCGATAAGTTTATTCTTTTCGTCTGTCAAATATCGGACGATAGTTTTTACAAACTTTCTTCGCTGACAATCGGTGATTATTTTTCTAATGATAATTTAATATCGACTGAACGGTCCATCGGAGGGGAATACCGGTGGACGATGCTTGGTTTTTAACGATAGATCGATATACGTGTTTAAAAATGTTTTATCGAATTCTTTCTCGATACAAAGGAAAACTCGTATCGCTCGCTCGTTCATACAGACAGACTCTTGGGTGTGTGGAAAATCACGTGCCACAACAAGCTATAACAGTGGCTGGGCACCCATATCATATATTGTATATGTAATTAGATTATGAATAGTTCTAATACTATAATAATAAATTGTACATCTATGAGATGAAACAGGAATGATGGAAATAGAAAATATTAAATATTCTACAGCAAACATAAAGAAAACAAAATATATATATATATGTATATATACATATATATATACATATAGCTAGTAAAGTGTATAAATCACAGAGAGGGAGAATTATGCGTGAGTGCGATTGGATGAGTGAGAATACGTCATGAGCATTGCGTCAGTAACTGACGTTATATGTTTTGTCACGAAATACACTGGTTTTTGAATAAATATCTATTTGAATTACGAAGATTAATATTCAATGCCTGGAACGTTAGCGACTTCGGTGTACTCTTTCATATGTAAATTCTCGTGTCTATTTTCGGCCACCCGATTTTTCTAAAGCAGTAATAGGTCTTCTATGCTTCTTACTCGTGGACGTGTAGTTCGATGTTTCGGTTACATCCTGTACGACGCATAAAAGCAGTCGATAATTAAATTATGCTTGGACAAATGTACGGTGTATCGTGAATAATTGTACAACATTACACCTTATCAATTATTTTTGGTCGAAAGAGCATCGACGTAATAAAAAAAAAAAAGAAGAAAAAATAGTTACCGTCGGTATCGTTTTAAAGACGTGCGAAACACGTGCCGCGTTCGTTTGGTTCATAGGCGCCGCGAGTAGACCGAATGATATTGCATGATTATAGAGGAAGCCGGTTCATGTGCGCACGCGTCTCCTTCGGGTACGGCTAGACGTGTGCGTGAAAGTACCGAATGAGAGTAGGGATTGAAGGCGGGTGAGGGAACATAGGTGGGGGCAGAGGGGTGGAGCAGCCGCCGTCTGATGACACCTGTAGCTCGACCCCCACGATCAGTTCAGCCGCGACCGTCCACGCGCTGTCTTGTTACGACGTTTTTGCACAGCTACCACTTTACATATACATGTACACTGACACATATATACATATACATAGAGTCTCACCTAATAGTCCACACTCGCGCGCGTAATTCACGTGTTAAGTATGTGTACGAACGCCATTAAGCGCACACGTGCAAACGTGCAATTTTTACCCTTTACCACGTGACAAGAACGTCGTGCGCATCTGCCATTATTACGAGCCAACTGTCATTGTGCTCTTTTTCGTTCGAGATAAGAAAGAAGAGGAACGCAAGGAATAATCGTTGATTCTAGTATGTACCATGGATATTGTGTTCTGCCCGACGATCGACATTTTACGAGTATTCTTTCTCCCCATATCGACCAGCCGTCTGTTCACGTACGCCGTTGACAACTGCTGCCAGCTCCCTCTACCCGTTTCAGGCAACACTTTTACGTTTGATTCTAGCGTTGATAGATGCTCGATACGATTGACGCCTATGTAGATCCTAGGAACAAGGTCGTCGATGTAGAGCGTTACTTTCTAGACGATAAAGTACTTCGTGATCGTTTAGATCCCGAGTATTATTTACTCCAAGTATTCGAAACTCGTGATTGGTGTCGCGTTTAGAAGTTTTATCGCCCGTAACCGCTTCCATCTACGTTTTCTCGCAATATCCGAGTAACCGTTGACATTGATAACGTCGATGCCGTTCCGGGCACGGATCGACAATAGTTTTTCTTAGTCGGGATCGAAGACGAACGTTCACAAATTACGTCCGTTTTCTTGGTAGTGTTTCTTGGCACGATCTTGCGAACGACCTTATTCCTAGGGAATGATCGGTGGTATTGCGACTGAGCGCAAGAAAACAGAACGTGGCCTGTATGTCCGGCAATGCGAAACGAAGGTGGCGGAGGGGCATGTTTCTCGCGCGTGTATTCACAACGAATGTCGCACGGCACACGGAAGCAAAAGATTCCAGAAATTGTGCTTGGCAGTCTCGACTGTCTCGCGCACGGAACAGTGAGGTATACATATAGCAACGACGCAATGACGTATCTTTTCGCGTAAACTAACGTCGACGTTCGATTCGGGAAATCGAGGAATTAACACGAAACTTCTGTAAGTAACGAAAGTCAGCAAAAGCTGCGTATTATTTACGTATATTTCGTTGTTGTTCGGAATTGTCCTTGGTACATATTATTTTTATAATCTTCATTTTCTGTTAATTCAATGTCGATTTCTATCTTGTCGTCAACTCTCTTATATATTTTTTAGCTTCGAATATCAACAATGCTTTATGACGTTCTCCGACACATCCATAACGAAGTTTCAAAATAATACATGGGAGATTAAGGCAACGGTTTCGTGAGATATCGTGAATACATCTTTTTGCGTCAGATGCCCTGAACGTCAACCGAGCCGATCGTCTCTTATACGTGCATCGAGTTTGAAAAATAGCTCGTGTCGTTCGGGGCGCTATCTCTTCATTCCTCTTTCTATCTTGGTCTCTCTCTGCTGCTCGGTAAATAAGACGCGTGCTGTATCTACGCGTATCAAGTGTACATGTGTAGGGTAAATAAGCGAAATCGTGTTGCACGTACAATAGCTCGGTAAGTGTTGGTATCCACACATCTTAGACGTGGATCCGACAAATATAGATACTCGCGATGGCAGTGTACGAGCACTCACACCAGGTAAAATAGCGTAGAATAGGAGGTGAAGGGGAAACGGGACAGAGAGATGGTAGAGGAAATAGCGTGTACAAATTCCATTTGTGTTGAACAGAATCATTGCGTTTCAAGTCGAAATATAATCAAAACGCGGCTTCTTTTTTTTGTTTATCGGTTTTAATTTTATTGGGCGTCGTACGGTAATTACATAATTTTTATCCAAAGAACCGGGCGAATTTGTTTTCTTGCTGTTTAAAAAAGAAAATAAAACGGAAACAGTAGTGTCTCTCGTTCTCGACAAACTCAAACGCGTTGTATATGCATGTAAATGAATAATAAGGAGCCGAGAGGCTGACAAACGACGCATCATGTATACGGTTACACGATCGAGCGAATGATGGCATGTTCCTCGGTGTGAGTGCAATCGTGTTTGCATCGTTTAGACCGAGTGGGGATGGGTAACTAGAGTTAGGAGGATCAGCGGCAGGTCCGGTGGGGCAAACAGTGTGGACAGGTTGCGTTCGTGCTAAGCCGAGTCTCGTCGCCTCTCGCATTCCAAGACGCGGATTCCGGAGCGATTTTCTTTCAAGAAAGTGGGAGGGGAGAGACAGAAGAGAAGTGGAACGCTTACGGTACCGATTTTCCAGTAAGCATTCGAGTCTAGACGTTCCTTTTTTCGTGGTAGGCCGGACAGTCCGGCGAGGGCGCTTTTTCTACTTTGAACAGCGCTCTGCACAAACACACAAACTGTAAGGGTAGAACGATCGTTGCACCTACAGCTGCTTATCGAATGGATCACGATCCCACTTAGTGTACGTCCTTGAATCACGTAACGCTTTTACTCCTCGACTTTTCGCCTCGTTACCCATCCCTCGAAAGCATCTTTTTCTTCGTAGACGGAAAATGCATGGAGCATTGCTTCTCAAAACAATATACATGTATGTATAGTATAGTTTTGGGATAGGATTCATTTTTGAACGTTGCTAGATCGAACAATAATTCGTGTTAATTCTTCGATAAAATGTTATACAGGTCGCGTAGACTTTTATTCAATGGTGGACGAATTTTACAAAATTTGGACAAATTATGCCGATGAATCGTTCGAAAATGTTAGCGACTCGATGAGTAGGTCATTTGCCCTTGTTATGCCGGATACTTTCGACTTGGATTGCCAGCGAGAACGGTACATCGGTTCGTAAAAGGATTGCGGGCTGTTCGCGTGTTTCTACCGACCTGAGTACGCTATTATTACGATTTAACGTACGACGTGTATTGGATACTTACTTTGCCAGATACCCGGACTTTTCGTGAAATTTCAGAGGTCATAAACGTGTTACGTACGAGTTAGAATCGATGTTTCACTTTGGTACATTTGTTTTCTTAAAAAATTAATTCGCCTCCCGTGGTAACGTTGGGTTAAAATTAACGAAAGGGTGCAAAAGGGAACGATTAACGAATTAAAGAAAATCTGCTGCCACGGCGATGGTTTTAATGTACATTTGATTCGAGTCGCAGAAGATACAGTGAAAGTGCATAACAGAGATAGAACCTGTGGGAGAAAGGAATAATTATAGCTTATGACACACTGTTGCAACGGACAATTTCTTGCGTACCCAGTAATACATTTCATGCACATTCGTATTTTTTCTTTCGCTTCTTTCTGTTCTCGTCGACGATTAAGAATTTTGGAAGCCAACGTTGAATTGATATTTCCTTGCATTTTCATTTTTTTTATCAGAGGAGATAGAGAAAATGTTTATTCAACTTTTTAATGCAAAATTTAATTTCCTCTAAGATTTATTTAAAGCATTGTTCAAAATTTGTACAAACAGCGAATGTGTATCGTAAAAATAAAAAAAGTACAAGAGGTAGCCATCATTATCCATGGATCGATTTTGCTAAAAATTTAATCAGACCTTGAGATCATAATATAGAACCTAAATATAAAGTTTCATTGGAATCCATTTAGCCGTTCAGATACAATCGTGTTAACAAACATACACCCCAACCTAAATACGTGGATATGCATATTAAACAGAAATTTTTTTAATAGTCAAGACGCGACCAAGAGATCTCGAAACGTGATTTTCCGTAGAAAAAATTTCTTTCGATATATTTTCGTTATAGGTCGATAACAGATTCGAGAATGTTTTCGAGAGTCTATGTTTGTTGTGAGAAATTTCTTCCTCCTCGACGCGGCGTATAACAATCGACCATTACGCTCACGTTATCGTACCGCGAGGGTCACGCCTGATAGAGAAACAATTTTTCATGCACATTGACCTAAAAGTGAGAAACGTTTCGTGCAAACGAGTTCATGGTTGCCAAAAAGACGCATCACGCGTCACGAATTTGCATTGACAGGTCAATAGTCGCGCCATCTTGGAGTCGCACGACCAATCGTAAGATCGGACAAGTAACACGTGGTCCTCGAAGTACGCGCAGAGTGTAGTTTACGAACGGTAAACCGAACGCGAGGGACGCGCCGCGCCGCGCCGTTGGCCTCCGTCGTTCCTGCGGTCTCTCCCGGGTTCCCTTAGTTTATAAATAAACGACGCGCTCGATGGACTCACCTGGCACGTTCCGCTTTCAACCGTGACACTTATCTGAACGTTTTCTACGCCTGGAAGACACGTGTGCGGATCGTTGTTCCCAACCATCCCCGATTCAGGTTCATCGCTTGCAACGATTCCACGTCGTTCGATTACTTTAACCGTGGACGATGCATCGATTTCCGAAATTCGTTGCCTTCGAAGCGTCTCTCGCGAAACGAGGAAATTCA